TTTTCATATGATAATTTAAATTTTTCGTTTTCGCCATCAAATTCAAGTGAATTTAAATATAGAACTATTTAAAGATTATAAAAAAAAATTACAAAATATATTTCTGTGGTCACAAATGAAAACATTCTATTTGGAAATAAGCTTGAACTGCTTAATCTTTTTTGAAGATTTTCTTTCAAATTTCAAATCATTGTAAAGTTTAATTAAAAAAACATGAAGTTTAGGTAATTAATTATTAGGTAATTAATTAAATAGTTAAATTCTTAGGGATTAGGTATTAAACTAAAGGTAGTTAGAAAAATATTTAAGGTTATTCGTAATTCATTATAATGCATTGTAATGAAAAGCGTTTGAAATTGAAAATTGACAAAATTGTCATTTCTGTCTCGTATTATTCAATAATTTTTTAGAAGACAAAAATGATAAATTTAAATAAAAAATTACTGGCTTAAAAATTGACATAAAAAACGTCATATTATTATGACGTTAAATAAATTTAGCTTAAATAAAATTTTGAAGTTATAAATAAATTTTTTATACATATTGATGTTTCTTTTGATTCGTAATTTTTTACATAACATTGTCCAGGATCAAATCCTGTAAATTCCTGTTTTTTTTTAATTTTTTTAATTAATAAATATTTTGAAAAAATCAAAAGATCGAGAGTATAATTTTTTACAGGAGAATTTTGCACAGACTTATGCTAATTTCAAAAGTTTGAACATTACAAAAGTCATTCAGCCATCATATGGGAGTAAAAGAAAAATATCCAGCTTTTTCTTATATTTATTCAAGATTATTAATGAAATCATGTTTCTTTTTTGTAACAAATGTTTTATGAAAGTATTTAAGAAAAATTTCGTTTTCTTTTTGTTAAATTAAAATAGTTTTCATTAAAAGTTTTTATATATAAGCTCAAATTTTTAAATTTATTTTTAATAAACTTGAAAAGATTTAAAATTTATTAAAAATTAAAAAAAATACTAATTAAAATAAACATCATAAATTATGAATAATATAAAAACTAAACTTTAATGCTACACCTTCGCCAAGAAGTATGCAATATTTTTTTATTTTATTTCTAAAATTATCTTTATTATGTATAGTTAGCAAGCTAGCTAGCCATTCAATTAAATTGAGAAAAAAAAAATATTAATAAAAATTCTTCCGATATTAAATTTGTAATTTTTTACTCCTATAGTTGTTGACTTACAATAAAAAATAACTAAAAAAATCATTAGTTTTTATATAATTTCCTTTTACTTCTCATTTTGTTTTTTCTTATTTATTTTTTTTTTAAGAATAAATTATGAAGAAAAACGAAAAATATTGTAAAGTCACAAAGTAAGAAAGGAAAATAATGAAAGGAAATAAAAGTATATTATGAACAATTTTCTATCATTTGCTCAAAAGGAATGGCTATATTCTTTTTTCTTTTTTTTAATAAAAGAACTCATTTTATATACTTAAATATTGTTTCCGTTTATTTTTGGGTTAAAAAAATAATAATACATGTATATTTTTCTTTGTAAAATGAATACGTTATAGTTCATCAAGTAAATATATAAACACGTATATTCACATATAATAGTTTTAATAAATAACATTAATATGTTATATAAAATAGCAATTACGGTTCTATATTAAATTGACATCGTTTATTTTTATAGGAAATAAATAGATAAATACGTATATACATAATAAGTATATATTTCATGTGTTATATTGTATACATTATTAAATATTTGGTGTGAGATTTGCGTCCTAGATAAACATTTTAATATTAAGAAAATTATAGAGAGGTTTAAGAAGAACATAATTTTGTATTTTTTTAATAGTTCAAGTAACTTGATAGGGTAGCACTTTTTTTTTATATACATATATACAACATATATCAAATATGATATAATGAATTATTATTTTAAGTAGAATTTATTCGAAAAAAATTATTTACTTTTCTCACATACATTAATTATAATTCCACAAAATTATTTAAAAATTAAATATAACAAACGCTTTCGGCTAATATATTTTAAACTTATGCTTTTCCATATACAAGGCAATTCTGTAATATGGTTTAATCTCTAGGCGTCAGAAAAGTGATACAATTTTATGAAAATCGTTCTTGGCCATTTAAGTCCATATACCCTTTTGTCGAAACCAAGAATTTTCAACCGGAATTTTGAGGGTTAAATATTCACTAAAGATTTTTAAAAAAAATCAGTTCGCGTAATTTTTGACTCCACATCGCCAAACTTGAAAACACTGTATGGTAAAATACGGAACTCCAAAGGAAGCTATATATAATGTTGTTCAATGATCAAATTTAACGATATGACCAATTATAATTTTAACCAATAATTAAATTTAAAGATATTCCGATAGCTTTTATGAAAAACCCCCCTAACTGTGGCATTTTATACTTGATATATATAATGAGTAATAAAATTGATATATGCATATATGTACTAAAAATCACTTATATTTACTAAATATTACATTCCTGTAAAGCCTGCTATAAATATGCAATTATGCATATCATAATCTTTTACAAAATGATAATATTATAAAACTTTTTTTTATTATAATATTAATTATATTAAATATAAAATAATATTAAATATAAAACTTTATAAAACATAATACTTAATTAATTAAGTAAATATTTAAATATAAGGAATGCTGGCTTATTTCAAAATTTATGTGCCAATGAAAAGAATAGTACAGCACTTGATTTTTTTTTTAATTTCAAACATGAAATATTAAAGATGGAGTAAAATATTATATACTCCATCAATATACAATCAAATTTTTTAAAAAAATTTATGGAAATTATTGAATTTCAACATTTTTAATGTGAAATTTAATCAAACATTCAAATGTGAAAAATGAATAAATGTTTATCATATATAAGTTATATGTAAAGTTATATGAATATTAAAATATATTTTTCAAAAAACCATTTTATATCTGTCGTAACTTTACTATAAATAATTTTGAATATACTCGTATATAATAAAATTTAAATTTCTAAAAATACGGTAAAAAAAAACCGAAAAACACATTTACTGTCTCAATATAAAAATAGAGTCCTAGATGCAAAAGTTATAATTATGTTTATCCTTGATATAAGTACATACTGTACTACGATAAAGTAAAATAAACACAATGTCGTTTAATATATGTATGTATATTTTTTAAGCATGCAATAAATCCATTTGAAATTGTAATGTCATATAATAAATCTAGAATATTAATAAAATAAAATAAAAAAAAAACACGTATGCTTATATAGAAGCAAGGATAAGATGATTTAAATATATGTATGTGGGTATATGAATATAGAAATATAGATAAATATTAATTCCGGATATATTTAAAAAATAACACATTATAATATAAGTATATCCTCGTACTCATATATGTACATATGTATTTCTAAATTCATATGTTGTTAACTTTAAAGATGTGCGTTTGCATATACATATGATCATGAATGTTAAGTGCTACAAAATACAACATACACTTAGGCATATACAAATACATAAGATTTATTTATAGGGAATTAGATTATGTAGCTATAAATATATATGTATATAATTCGCATTTATGAAAAATTTATTTTAACAAACAATGGAAATTTAATAATACTCGTAATTTAATAATTTATTGGTATACGTATTTATCATAACCTTCATAATATACACTTCAATTTTTACATATAAAAATATAAGAAACTTTTACAAAAAAAATTATTATGAAAGCAAATTATTTAAGTAGCTGCATATACATATAAACCATAGTTCAACTAGAAAAAATAAATGTAACGAAAGATAAAACTAAATAAATAGTATGAAATTATATGAATTGTAAAACTTTGCAAAATTTAAAAAAATATTTTACGGTAATTTTTAAAATAGTATTTGCAAAATTTTATGATATCAAAAAATAATTTATAAGTAAATAATTTAATTGAACTATACCTACAGGTTATTGTTATATTCTGTTTTAAAAAATTAGAAAGCAAAGAAGTAAATTAAAAAAAAAAGTAAAAATCATTTCCACTTATTTTACGATATTAATATCAACGTACACTGTAAAGCATGTTATGCGGTTACACCTGAACATAAGGAATTCCAAGGTATCGAAATAATATTTATTAGTTCTCATAAAAAACAAATTTTTAATTATAAAGCAAGGATAGCGAAAATAGTAAGGATTTCCCTTTTATCTTATTACTTAATTATATTTTCGTAATATTTCGTTTTTTTTTATAAAATATTTCTATTTAAAATTTCATTTACATGCAGATGTTAGTCTCTTTATTTACTATATGTACTTAATATTTACGCAAATATGTATATATTATTCACCGAAAATATATGATTTTTAAATTAAAAGAATTTATTCTAACATATTATACGGAATACACACGCAAAATAGCATGATTTTTTTTTGTAACCTTTCGCTTTTACATAAACCCAGACGCTTGGGCGTATGCAGTGCACCATACAAAAATAAAACTAAACATAATAAAACTTTTCATAAACATTTTTTGTACACAATACAATATTTTTAATTTTACATTATTATTAAAAATTTTAATCATAAAATAATAATAAAAACGATAAATAGCATGTCATTTTATAAGAAGCAATTTTAAAAATTATTTATTTTTATATTGTATATTTTTGATGAACATATTATATATTAAAAACAATCTCATTATGTGTGCGTCAGTATTATCTATCCGAATAATAATTATGCATCCGTATGTGAACGCTATAAAAGTTTTGAAAAAATGAGTATGGTAAAAAGAAATATACATTTTTTTCTATTTAAATTTTACTCAAAAAATAGAAAACAAAATTTAATAGAAATAAAACTTATTATAAAGGCAGTGCAAATATAATATTATATATATATGTATATATAATTATATAACATTTTAATTAACAATTTTATTATTTATCATTGAAATTAATGTATGCAATATTTACCTGTTAAGTGAATTTTCTTCTTTTTTTCTTATTTACTCGTATATTCAAATTTATATTCCAAAAACTTTAAAATGAAATTCCTTTGCACAAGAACAGGGAATTTTTTATTCTTTTTATTTTTTAAATGTGTGTTTGAATATATAAATGTATATATATTTATGTATATATTTTATAATCCTTTTTCGTTGAATAACAATTATTATTATTCTATTCTGTTTTTACATTCTTTCATTCGCTTGTCATATAAGTATACATATTGATATAAATTTTTATTTATATGTTTTGCAATACTATGTTATATACATAGGTGTAATAAATATATACATGTATGTATGTGCAAAAACATATAATATATTTTTTTGTTATTTTTTATTATTATTGATAAAATTAATAAAAAAAAAACGTAAATTATTAATTTTATTTTTATTTAATTTAAATATTATTATTTATATTGTAAAAATTTAATTGTATAACAGCTCATTTTAAATTTTTATATTTTCAAAATGAAACACAATGAAGAATTTTTTTAAATTTTTTACTTTTGAAAATTTACTTTTTGTTAATTTCTTTTTTTCTTTTTTTTTTTTGAGTTTAAAATTTATATGTGCATATACGTATGTATAATTTACATAGCTAGTATTTTGCCGTATATTTGCATTTATATTTCAACATACAAATATAAATACATAGTAATAATGTAGTAGTAGTGTAACCGTATCATACTTAAATTCAATAGAAAGCCGCCATATTTGTATAAAAATCGATAAGATGTTGATTATATACATAAAGTAAATATGTATATTTTTTTTCCATGTTTTTATATTATATTTTCGTTTTTTTGCTCTTATTTTTTCATTTATAAGATATAAAAATGTATATAAATATATAATTACATGTACAATAAAATGTACATTTATATACAAATTTTTTTAAAAATAAATTAAAAGAAAATTTAATAAGCGTATAGATTGTTTTACAACTATTATTTTCTAAATTTTTACGAAAAAGAAAAATTAATTTTTCTTGTTCTTATCTTTTGTTATATCGCTTAAATATCGTATTTATCTAATATTTCCCATTTTTTTTTCTATGTATGCAACTTTGTGTGCATATTCATATATGTATAGTATATATATACAATAAAAATCACTTAATTAAATAAATACACATTTTTGTTTTTAAATTAAATAAAGAAAGTGAAAAAAAAATAAAGATATTGTTAGATTTTAATTAAATTCACATTATTATAATATTATGTACGCAAATATAATAGTATATTATATTTAAATATTAATTAATATTTTATAATAGGTGATGTGTGTATATATTTTTGCATTCTTAAATAATTTTTCTTATTTTAAGTTTTACAATCACACACAGCACCACACTACATACATAAAATTGATTATAAAATAGTTTTGCTTTCTCTTATTTGTTTGCTTTATATTTTTTTTGCTATATTTTCTAATACTAAAATGACTGTAAAATTATACAACGGTACTGAAACACGGAACAAAATATACTAAAAAACGATATAGAATGCAATTTTATGAAATTTATTGAAATTTCGTTAAAAAAATTTTTTCGTTAAAAATTGTCTAAATGTGTTATATAAATCCGGAATCGTAAATTTTTTATTATTTTTGTATTTTTTCGTTTTTTTATAATTTATTGTCCTTATTTTTGTTTGCTAATTTACAAATAACAGTTACCGTTTTCTAGTCCTAAAAAAACACAAAAGTAAAAAATTTAACGAACCGATTTTATTTTATAAGTATAAATGTATGTTGAGTTTAAAATATATAAACAACAGTATATTCACAATAAATATATTTTGACTTGCTTAAATATGCAGTAGTTTATATTTGTATAAAAGTGCAGTAGCAATCAAGTATCTTAGAGTACTATTTTACTGTAAGTTACTTGAGTATGTATTTAAAACGGTAGTTGAAGCAAAACAATGCGCAATAATTTAAAATCAGAGTTTTTTTAAATATTCCCTTTAAAAAGTAAGGAAGCGCAGAGTACATTAAACCATGTCCAATACATATATTATTTATGTTAATAATATATTATGTAAGATTACTAAGAAGAAGTTATATTCAACATTTAAACCAAAGATGCAATTTTAATTGCATATTCATTGTTTTTGCTTTAATTAAGTTCGTATTAAATAAAAGTTAATTAAAAAAGTTTAATAAAAGTTTATTTGTATTTCATTATATTTTTTTTTTACATTTTGTGTTGTTTGACTAGTGTCGAGATGAAATACATTTCTTATCACCAGTAACATTCACAATAAATTTCAGTATAGGCATTAATAATATTATATACATACATATATTATAATATCAAAGCTAGTTTAAATAATAAAATTTTTATAAGTGCGTTAATAGAAAAAATTTACAATACGTATGTACGTATTATAAATTTTGTTATACAATATATTACGAATGTATGCAATAAAACAATAAAGAAAAACCCTGTAAAAATAAAAGTTCAAAGGGAATTTTTAAAATACTAAAATTAACTAATAGATTAAATACATACTTATATATGAAATAAATATACGAAAGAGGAGAAAATCGAACACAAAAGAATATGCGTACTTATTCGGACAGGACACGAGTATTTACTTTATACTTTACGTAGAAGGAGACATAGAAGACGTGAATATATTTTTCATTTTAATATAAATAAAATTTAAAAAAAAAAACACAAAATGCAATAAAAACCAGATTTATCATGACAATCGTCGAGTTTGCTCAATTTTAAGACGAAAGAAAAATTCACATAAGAAAAAAATTTATATACATACATATGTGTATATATGTATATCTATATACATAAATTAAAATATGTAGCCGCGTATGCACAATGAACCTAAAATTTTTCTTTATCCCCTCTTAACAGTATTTTCTTTTCTTTGGTTTCGTCAAATAAAATAGAATGTCACAAACCGAAAAAAACGTGTTCGCTAAGTCCTACTGCTTCTTTTCTAGTTTCTTATGGAAGAAAAACGTAGAAACGAATTCGAACGTAGTAGTTCACTTAGTAATTATCTAATAGCATAACTATATTGTTATACTATATATACATAAATTATAACTATATTGTTATACTTCAATTATATATCAGGGTAAAGCATATTGTACCTAAATGGAGACATGTATAATCGTAATACACTATGATTTATGTATACACATACATAATATGTATTTTGGAAAACTATATTGACTTTTATTTTTATTAATCCCGGATACTCAACCCAATACATAAAATGTGATAAAGGAAATTTTACTTTAAGATATAACGTATATTTACCCATCGTTTTATAATTTTCATAAAAACAAACAGTTTATTCAATTACTTTAAAATAAATACAATTAGTTTTACATGTGCCTCTATATACATACTATAAAAAAATAAGTTAAAGTATGTATGTATATAATCATTTGCCTGCCATTGATTTACCATTGTATACAAGCAAATATATCTATTTACATATTCTTACAAGAAGCAACTTGTGACAGTTATATATTAATTTTGCGGCTAATCAATTATTTATTTTGTTTTAAAAACTTTTAATAAATTTTTTTAACTTTTACTCTTTACTCTTAGTTAACATTTAAAATCAGTATTTCAAAAAGTTTGTTTCATCTTAAGATTTGTAGTATTATTTTGCTAATTATTTTTACATAATATATATGTACACATTAACTTCAAAGTTCTCAATCAAATTGTGTGAAATATGTATAATTTAACTAAAAATAACAAAAGTAATGTATATGTAGAGTTAAAACTAAATTTAAACTTAAACTATCACAAATTATCATCCTAAGAATTAAAAAAATTTAGATCAATTTAAAAAATATTCTAAATTCATTAAAAGGATTAATGACAATATATATTTTGGACGAAAATATCAACCTACTTGAGATATACAGCTCAAAGACAAAAAATTTATATTGTTGTGTAAATTCTTAATTTTTTAATTTCTTAATTAAAAACCCTGAATTTCAACTGTTTATATATTTGTCGTATCCAAATTTAGGAAACATAATTGAAATCTCCCTTTTAACAGATTCGGCACTATCAGATCCATGACAAACATTCCTTGTATCAGATATTCCGTACAGACTTCTGAGAGTATTAGGATGTGTATGTACACTTTTGTATACCTTTGTAGGACCCATTATTTCTCTCCAAATTTTGATACTATTATTTCCTTCCAATATTAACGCAAGGGTAGGTCCACTAAAAAATTAAAGTACTTTAACTTAATCAAAATATTATTTTCATTAATTTACCTGCACATTAATTTCATTAACCGGTCAAAATAAAATTTCCCAACATGTTCTTCATAAAATTGACACGCCATTTGATCATCCATATGAACTTTTTTTATTTCCAGAATCTTAAATTTTTCATTGATTACGTTCATAATTCGTTCTACAACAATTGAATTTTTTACAATATGCGGTTTAATAAGAGCAAATGTTAGCTCTTTCATTTTTTTCTCTATGACAATCAACTATTTTTTATTTACAGTTATCTATTATATTAACTATTATATTATTTTACATTTAATCTCCAAATCATAAAAACAAACGAAATGAGAAGAAACAAGAATTGAATCAATTGACATTTCACTAAGTGTAAAAAAGACCTATGTACATTCTATGTAGTTAAAGCTAGTACGTCAATTGGTACTATATTTTTGATCATTAAATCAAAAGTCAAAGGGATCTATGCACATTTCTGAAAATTTTGTTAAGGAAGAAAAAAGTGTTGATTCGAATGTTGAAAATACTTAAAAAAAAGCAGAGAAAAGTAAAAACAAATCATACACAAGGTCTGTCAAATTTTAAATTAATTTACGTAGAAACACAAATTTAAATTATCTTGCGTAGATGTCACTTTTAAAAATAATGTTTGACATTTTTTGTAATTAAATAAGGTGAATTAAATATATAACCAATGTATTTATTTTTGAATAATTTAAGAATTTTGGATAAAATATTTTCAACTTCCACAGTTGAAAATAAGCTTAATTAAAAGAAAATGAATTAATAAAACAAAGTAAAGAAGACAGCTATTAACTCACTTTTAAGCCGAAGACTTTAAGATCAGTTGTAATAGTATCACGGAAATTATTATTTCATAAATTAAAAGCACGTAAGTATAAACCTATTAATCTAATACATCTATTAAAATAAAACATCTATTATCGTTTGTTCATTTTTGTTTATCGGCAAAAAATCGCAACAAAGAATTAGTGCAACTCTGTATATATTTCTGCGAATTTTAAATGATGCAAAAACATAAAGTTTTTAATACTTATTGAACCAATTTAACTTTACATGGAAAAATAAAGTACGAAAACATATAATTATTGGCATACGTGTTTTAGCATGTTACTCTTAGGGTTGTTTATAATTTGCCAACACTATCATGATCAAAGGCAGTGATAAAAATGACATTGGCAATTAAGCACCACGACCAGCAGAGTCTAAAGTCAAGATTTATTTTCAAAACGCAGGGTTTTTGGTCATATTTTTGATCCAAAACTTCAAAATAAGATTTTTAAAATTTTTAAATTTTACATACGAAAATATCTTCAAAATTAAGGTTTTTTGATAATACTGAAGTTTTTCAAAATTAAACTTTTTAACCTTTTTCCATGTTTTTCAAAGATCAGAAAAAAGCATTTTAACCAAAAAGTCAATTTAATAGGCAACGCTACTTCCATGACATAAAATTTATGATATTTTTTGAGGTCTGGTTTAGTTCGAATTGAAATTGTGATAATTTGGGTTCCTACTTTTTTTAATTTAACTTCAATTGAAAATCGAGGTATTCGTAAAGACTTTTTTTAATCGAATCTTCAAAATGAAGATTTTATTTTAGAAAAAGTAAGATATTTGGACTAATCTATTTGGCAGCACTGACCACGGCTGACAGTAATATTGTCAGCTTTGAAAAGAATTCTGCACAAACATATATTTATCACTCATTATTTTATTAAGAACTTTCGGTAATTTGAATTGTAAACAAAAATAATTGTTTGAACTAAAAATTATAGATAAAACAATATTCTTCCAACTTGAATGCAATTTCTAAATATTGTCAATATTTTTAAAATAATTTAAGTAAAATATCGCAAAATGTCTTCAAGAAGCTCTAGCACGTAAGTAGTCTTGAATTTATAGGTTAGATAGAAAATATTTAATAAATGTATACATCTCAAAAGGCGTGAAAAATATCGTGAAAGGAAACGTTCTAGAAGTCGCAGTAGATCCAAATCCCCTTCAGAAAGAGAACGAAAAAAGAAGGAAGATAGCAAAAGCTCTAAAAGTCGACTGAAAGAAGAACGCCGTGAGGAGAAACGTAGAAAACGCTCTCGCTCGAGGAGTAAACAGTATGTCTCGGTATATTTCTGTAAACAGCTATTAAAATGTTTTTTATAGTAGGGAAAGCAGCAGGAGGGATCGTTCGAAAGATCGAAGAGAGCATGAACGAGAAAAAGATCGAGAAAGGGAGAGAGAACGCGAAAGGGAACGGCGCACAGATTCTATAAAATCCAATTGTGAAAAAGAGTTTTTTAACAAAGAAAAGAATGTCACTAAAAGCAAAGAAGATGAAATTGAACAAAGTGAAAGTTCAGAAGAGGAGCTTGATAAAGAAGAAGAACAAAAACGATTGGAACAAGAAATGATTAAACGTAGAGAACGGATCGAACGTTGGCGAGCTGAACGTAAATTAAAGGAATTGGAAAATAAAAAGGACATTCCAAAAATAGTTCTTCCATTGAATGTTAAAAAATGGTCTTTGGAAGATGAATCTGAAGATGAAGATGAAAATACGAAAGATGGAAGAAAGAAACCAGGTTTGGATTTAAACGACGAGAACAACGAAAATGATGAAATTAAAAGCCAAAATAAGAAACCAGAAGAAAAAAAGGAAGATGAAGAAGAAATTGACCCTCTAGATGCTTTTATGCAAGATATTGACAAAGAAGTTAGAAAGGTAAATCAACTTTCTAATCCACCGGATCAAAACAAGAGCAGTGATTCGAAAGGTGTGGTTATTGTTACAGGATTAGCTAAAAAGAGAGTAGAGCGTAGTAATAAAGGCGAACTTATAGAGCAAAATCAGGATGGCCTTGATTATTCTAGTGAAGAAGAATTAGAAGATATTAAAGATGCTGCAGTTAATTTAGCTAATAAGCATAAAAAAGAATTGGCTAAAATAAATCATTCGGAAGTAAATTATTCGTCTTTCAGGAAAGACTTTTATGTTGAAGTTCCAGAATTAGCAAGAATGACTAATGAAGAAGTAGAAAAACATCGCAGCGAATTAGAAGGAATTCAAGTTAAAGGGAAAGGATGTCCAAAACCAATAAAGGTAAATATCGTCGAACGCATGCCCTTACGCACACGCACGTGTCCCAGCTACTTTATTTCATTTTTGTTTATTACTTAAAATTACATACTATTAAATTACTTCATACTTTTGAATTTCTTCATAACGAATTTGTCTTATTTTCAAAATGCATACATATGCATGTATAAGTTTAGAAATTCATTGCTACTTTATCGTTTTATAACGTGTAATTTTATATCTTTGGTATCAAACGATTATGCGGCATAACATTAAAATTGGAAGTTACCAAAAGTATAATACAATATTTATACTTTAAGCTTTAATGGTTTGAATTTGGTATGGTTTGTTAACTTTTATTCTTTTATTGTCACCTTTCATAGCGAGACAAATTCAAAAAATTCTAATGTAATAGTATAGGATTTTGTTCCATACCAAAAATGGATAGTATAAATAATAACCATAAAAATAAATAACGGATGCAAGAATAATATTTTTAATTTGCAGACCTGGGCCCATTGTGGAGTATCTAAAAAAGAAATGGATGTTTTGGTGAAAAAGTTATGTTTTGAAAAGCCGACACCTATCCAATGTCAAGCTATACCAGCTATTATGTCTGGCAGAGATTTAATAGGTATTGCTAAAACTGGAAGCGGAAAAACAATAGCTTTTATTCTACCAATGTTCCGTCATATTCTTGATCAACCACCATTAGAAGAGGGAGATGGACCCATTGCAATTATTATGACTCCAACCCGTGAGTTATGCATGCAAATAGGAAAAGATATACGCAAATTTTCTAAATCGCTAGGTTTACGACCTGTTTGCGTCTATGGTGGAACTGGCATTTCTGAGCAAATAGCTGAACTAAAGCGTGGAGCTGAAATAATAGTTTGTACTCCTGGAAGAATGATTGATATGCTTGCTGCTAACTCTGGTCGTGTAACAAATTTGCGTAGAGTTACGTATATAGTGCTAGATGAAGCTGACAGAATGTTTGATATGGGATTTGAGCCCCAAGTAATGCGAATAATTGACAATATTAGACCAGACAGACAAACGGTAATGTTTAGCGCAACATTCCCACGGCAAATGGAAGCCCTAGCACGTCGAATTTTGAAAAAACCAATTGAAGTTATTGTTGGCGGTCGATCAGTCGTATGTAAAGATGTTGAGCAAAATATTGCCGTATTAGAAGATGATGCTAAATTCTTTAAACTTTTGGAACTCTTAGGTTTATATCAGGAACATGGAAGCATAATTGTTTTTGTTGATAAGCAAGAAAATGCCGACAGTTTGCTAAAAGATTTGATGAAAGCTTCATATCCTTGCATGAGTTTACATGGTGGTATTGACCAATTTGACAGAGATTCCACCATTTTAGATTTTAAGTCTGGAAAAGTGAGATTATTAATCGCAACGTCAGTTGCTGCCCGTGGTTTAGATGTAAAAGACTTAATATTAGTCGTTAATTATGATTGTCCCAACCACTATGAAGATTATGTCCACCGTGTTGGAAGAACAGGTCGAGCTGGAAACAAAGGTTTCGCTTGGACTTTTTTGACTACTGAACAAGGAAGGTATGCTGGAGATATAATTAGAGCTTTAGAATTGTCTTCAACGCCTGTTCCGTTAGAATTACAAGAACTTTGGGATACATACAAAGCTTTACAAGAAGCAGAGGGTAAAAAAGTGCACACCGGGGGAGGTTTTAGCGGCAAAGGTTTTAAGTTTGATGAACAGGAGGCAAACGCTGTCAAAGAGAGCAAAAAACTTCAGAAAGCTGCTTTAGGTTTAGCGGATTCTGACGATGATGAAGACATAGAAAATGACATTGATCAGCAAATAGAAAATATGTTTGCTGCCAAACGTAATATAAAAGAAACTTCAGTTGCGCCAACTATTCCACCACCCCAAATAGTTGTACCTTCTATTGCTGCAATAACTGTTCCAAATTTGCAACCACCAATAATACCAACTACTGGTCCTGTGTCTGCTGAAAAACTTGAATTAGCAAAACGTTTAGCATCAAAAATAAACACTGCTAAGAATCTTGGATTAGATACCAAAACAACCCAACAAACAGCCGAAGCTATATTAAAAGGTTCATCATCAGCTCCTCCTCTAATTACGGTAACATAAAAATCAAATTATGGTAAAAATTCATGATTTATTATCATTAACTTTTACATATTTAGGCTCGCACAGTTGTTGAACAGTTAGCTGCTAAATTGAATAATAAACTTAATTATCAACCTAAAGAAGATGAAGAGGGTTTACTTCCTGGAGTACAATCAGTATTTACGAAGTACGAAGAGGAATTAGAAATTAACGATTTCCCCCAGCAAGCTAGGTGGAAAGTCACATCGAAAGAAGCATTAGCTCAAATATCGGAATATTCAGAAGCTGGATTGACCGTGCGTGGCACTTATGTTCCAACTGGAAAGAACCCCCCAGAAGGTGAGCGAAAATTGTACTTAGCAATTGAAAGCTGCAGTGAATTATCGGTTCAGAAAGCAAAGCGTGAAATAACTCGTCTTATCAAAGAAGAACTATTAAAACTGAGCTCTGCACATCATGTTTTCAACAAAGGTCGTTACAAAGTTATTTAAGAAAATTAGAAAGATAGCATAGTAATTTGTATGATTAATAATTCTTTTAAGAATTCTATTTTTAATAATATTTTCTGTAGCGTTAGAAATCAGACTATTTTAAGCTAATAAAAAATATAGTTGCTAAAATACAAATCAAAAGAAAATAAGAAATTTTTATACATTACTTAAACAGCTGTCGACTCAAGGTTTTTATATAAAATTCGTAGACCCCAAAGTAATTAAATAAAAATAATTTCACATTAAAGTTCAAGTTCAATTAAACAAAAATATGCAATAAAAGCATGGATTCTTATCATACAAAAATATAATAAAAACAATAATAATATAGAATTCAATTTTGGTAAAAACTGGGATTTTAAATAGATAGTAACACTGACATCAACATTTACTATCAAAGCTTTCCTACAATTTAATTAAATCAAAATATCTCAAGGTTATTTTAAAATATAATCAAATCCAAAAAAAGTAAAAGAAAATTCCAGGATGGATAACTAAATGTTTCATATTATTTGATAAAGAATTCAGAAAAACTACATTATATAAAAGAATTACCAAATCGAGGAAAGTACTTAGTTGATAGAACAACTTCACACTGGAAAGAAATTAAAATGAAACTTTCAATAATCATTTTGGCCTGCTTAGCCCTTGTGGCTGCGGAACCTCTTTTGAAGCGTGATGGAATTAAGGCAGACAAGGATTTTTTGCTCAAACAAAAATTCTTTTTGGAAATTTTGCATGACATCCATGAACCACTCCAATTTCCAGAGTACTTGAAAGCGTCAGAAACATTTGTTGAAGATAAAACATTTTACTTGGTAATAAACTATTTGCTTTAGAATTTCAAGTTGATATGAAACTAGTTTCGAAATTATTTTAATTGTTTTTTGTTTACATCTATAATAGAACTGGGAATATGTTAAGGACTTCTTTATTTATTGGGATCATCAAAACTTCTTACCAAGAGGTCATGTGTTCTCAATTTACAATGAAGAACATCTTGAACAAGTTATGTATCTATTCAACTTCTTCTACTATGCTAAAGATTGGACCACTTTCTACAAAAATGTCTGTTGGGCTCGTGTACATATGAATGAAGGAATGTTCATTTATGCCTTAACAATGACTGTTTTACATCATAAAGACTATACTGGAATTGTTCTTCCAGCCCCATATGAAATTTGCCCATATATGTTCTTTGACTCAAGGGTTATCAATGACGCATATGAGTTCAAGATGAATTATCTTCAAGATAAAACTGTACTGAAAAAAGAATATCCAATTAAATGGTGGGAAGATAAATATTACTACAATCACGATATTGAAAAAGACAATGAATTTTTCAAAGGATATGATATGTGGTACGTTTGGGCCAACTATACTCAAGACTATTATTATTCACATGAAGAGTCATCTTTGTCCTACTTCAGAGAAGATCTTGGATGGAACTCGTACTATTATTATTATCATATGGATTATCCATTCTGGATGGACGGTGAAGAGTTTGGTTTGTCAAAGGACCATCGAGGTGAACTTTTCTTACATATGCATCAACAAATCTTAGCTCGTTACTATATGGAACGTTTATCACAAAGATTAGATGAAATCCCAGAATTTTCATATGTTAAACCAATAGAATATGGCTACAACCCACATATGATGTACTACAATGGTCAAGGATTTACAGTACGTAAGAATTATTATGAGGTATACAACACTGAGGAATTCCATGATATTCAATTAGTTTTGGATTATGAGCGTCGTTTCCGTGATATTGTTGATCGCGGTTTCTATGTAACATTTGAAGGCAAGAAAATTGATTTAAGAACTCCAGAAGGTGTAGAATATCTTGGTAGTTTGATGGAGCATAACGAAGACAGTGTTGATAAACGTTTCTTTGGATACTGGAGATTGTTATCTCACTCACTTTTAGGAGGTTCTTATGGAATTTATTTCAACAACGACAAATGGGTTATCCCAAGTGTTATGGAACATTTTGAAACTGCAATGCGTGATCCCGTTTTCTACATGCTTTACAAACGTTTAATCAACATTTACATCAAGTATCAACATTTCTTACCACATTACCAATACAACGAACTCTTGTTTAATGGAGTTGAAATCACAGATGTTCAAGTTGACAAAATTGAAACTTTCTTCGACTATTTTGATGCTGATTTAACAACTTTAATGGGATACAATTGGATGTTTAATGAACCTAATGTTTTATTCAAAGCTCGTCAGTGGCGTCTTAATTATAAACCATTCAATATGAACATTGAAATCAAATCAGATAAAGCACAAAAAGTAATTATGAAAGTTTTCTTAGGACCAAAATATGACCAATATGGAAAACTTTATACTCTTGAAGAAAACCGTGAAAACTTCTACCAAATTGATCAATTTGTATATGATCTCCCAGCTGGAAAATCAGTTATTAAACATTCATCAGAAGATTTTTACTGGAACGTAAAAGATCGCACAACTTGGACTGAATTATATAAACGTGTTATGTTAGCTATTGACGGTAAAATGGACTTTACTTTAGATATGACTGAAGCTCACTGTGGATTCCCAGAACGCTTATTAATTCCAAGAGGTTGGGTTAAGGGTATGCCAGTTCAAATGTTCTTCATGGTTCTTCCATACCAAGATGTCAAACATTATGAAGGTTACAATGAAAAGATCTCATGTGGAGTTGGATCAGGCTATAGATATATGGACAATTATCCATTTGCTTATCCATTTGACCGTGAAATCGTTGATTTTGAAACTTTCTATGTGCCAAATATGCATTTCGAAGATGTGAAAGTTTATCATTTAGATAATTACCATAATTTCTTTGTTAATTATTAACTTTATTTAAAATATTAATTTATCTTTTTCTTTTATTTAAAAAAATTGACACATTTGTGACAACAAATTATTGTTAAATATTAATAATTTTTCTTTCTTAATTGAAAAAAAAATTTGTTGTTTTGTCTTTTGCTTTTATTTTACAAAAATTGTCACATTTGTTATAATAAATTATTGTTAATAAATTTTTTTTCTCTATTGAAAAAGAAATACATGTGTATGTTTTTGTTAATTGTTTCGCATGCATATGTACAGTAAGTATATTGAACTACGTTAATTTAAATTTTATGAAAGAAGTTTTCAAACGTCAGTTTGTACTTTGTTTTTTACAAAGTTAAACAAAGATAAAAAATTTGCAAAATTTTGCGAAATATTTTGTGTGTATGTATGTACATAATTAATTAAAATAAATAGATTGTTCAAGCTTTTGTTTTTACACGTTATTTTGATCGTTATTTTTAAAAAACTAAGTTCTCATACCTCCCTATTGTGTTGGGCTTAAGTGATCGATCAAACAAATTTGAATACACTATCGAACTAATTAAGTACATATACTTACATACATATATAAGTACAAACAGAATGTACATCCCTAGATACAGCATACTTATTTTCAAGATTTAAACCTTATATTGATCGTATTTATATTTTCTTACAAGAAACAACATAACTTTAATTAAGAATTTAAAATGTTTCGATCATTTCATTAGTTATTAGGAAATAGCATATGTATATCTTTTGATTAGACCCTCTAAATTATACAAGTGCAATTCAAATTTAAAACACACATATTAAAAGCGAAAAATACCAAAAATTTAGGTGTTAGAACAAATATACCTAATTAGTCTTTCATAATGAATTTAACTATACATACTTATATAACAAATATGTATACCCACCTGGTTTTTATGTTAAACCAAATGAAACCACGATCTTGTTGTACATTCATTCACATCTATGTATGTAGGTATGTATTTATAACTTGGATGATTTTTAATAACCTTTTTAAAATGGCTTATTTCAATTAATGATCGCATTATCGCATTAAAACAAGTAAAATATTAATCAAAAAAGAAGCTGGAGGCAAAATCTGCTAAAAATTTGTTTTAAAGTATTTTTACTATCACATAATTTATGAACTCTTATTTAAAAAAAAACGGAGACATAAATCAATGGATTTTCAATAAATAACAGTCACCTCAATATACACAATGTGCAATTAAATGCAAATAATCGTGTTAAAAAAGTCGTAAATCTTATCCTAATGTTCTGACTAAATCTTATAATTACTTTTTTACATGCATACATACAAATGTATGTACATACATATGTTTTTCTGAAAAACAGATGACAAAGAAAGGACGTCAAAAAAATGCAGATTAAGATTAAGGTTGTATTATATTACTGAATAAAACAAATTGATGTTAGATCTTCATTTTGCTAAATGCTTTAAGGCACATTTCATTAAAAAAGTTAATACTGTAGTCTAAGAGTTTATGGTTATTTATAGAATAGTACATAACCTGAAACTTACCTACAATCAATTTTTTTAATAAGTCATAAAATTTAATAAGTATCCTAAAAGTTTTAAATATGTTTGTATATTGTGTATCAGCTTTTAACCAATGCAGTTTACTATATATTATTAAGAATTATATATTATTAATGTATATTAATACTTACATTTACATATGTATATAGTATGTATATAAAAAAAAATAAGAAAAATTAGTTTTTATCTTTTTTATTTTATCTGTATAAGAGCTGACATTACTTTTACAGAATTAAAATTTTTTTTCTTCGCTAGACTTTCTAATAAGTAGTGTAATATTCACCATATTGTTCCAAATGATAGATATTAACATCTTCGAAATGCATATTTGGCACATAGAAAGTTTCAAAATCAACGATTTCACGGTCAAATGGATAAGCAAATGGATAATTGTCCATATATCTATAGCCTGATCCAACTCCACATGAGATCTTTTCATTGTAACCTTCATAATGTTTGACATCTTGGTATGGAAGAACCATGAAGAACATTTGAACTGGCATACCCTTAACCCAACCTCTTGGAATTAATAAGCGTTCTGGGAATCCACAGTGAGCTTCAGTCATATCCAAAGTAAAGTCCATTTTACCGTCAATAGCTAACATAACACGTTTATATAATTCAGTCCAAGTTGTGCGATCTTTTACGTTCCAGTAAAAATCTTCTGATGAATGTTTAATAACTGATTTTCCAGCTGGGAGATCATATACAAATTGATCAATTTGGTAGAAGTTTTCACGGTTTTCTTCAAGAGTATAAAGTTTTCCATATTGGTCATATTTTGGTCCTAAGAAAACTTTCATAATTACTTTTTGTGCTTTATCTGATTTGATTTCAATGTTCATATTGAATGGTTTATAATTAAGACGCCACTGACGAGCTTTGAATAAAACATTAGGTTCATTAAACATCCAATTGTATCCCATTAAAGTTGTTAAATCAGCATCAAAATAGTCGAAGAAAGTTTCAATTTTGTCAACTTGAACATCTGTGATTTCAACTCCATTAAACAAGAGTTCGCTGTATTGGTAATGTGGTAAGAAATGTTGATATTTGATGTAAATATTGATTAAACGTTTGTAAAGCATGTAGAAAACGGGATCACGCATAGCAGTTTCAAAATGTTCCATAACACTTGGGATAACCCATTTGTCGTTGTTGAAATAAATTCCATAAGAACCTCCTAAAAGTGAGTGAGATAACAATCTCCAGTATCCAAAGAAACGTTTATCAACACTGTCTTCGTTATGCTCCATCAAACTACCAAGATATTCTACACCTTCTGGAGTTCTTAAATCAATTTTCTTGCCTTCAAATGTTACATAGAAACCGCGATCAACAATATCACGGAAACGACGCTCATAATCCAAAACTAATTGAATATCATGGAATTCCTCAGTATTGTATACCTCATAATAATTTTTACGTACTGTAAATCCTTGACCATTGTAGTACATCATATGTGGGTTGTAGCCGTATTCTATTGGTTTACCATAAGAAAATTCTGGGATTTCATCTAATCTTTGTGATAAACGTTCCATATAGTAACGAGCTAAGATTTGTTGATGCATATGTAAGAAAAGTTCACCTCGATGGTCCTTTGACAAACCAAACTCTTCACCGTCCATCCAGAATGGATAATCCATATGATAATAATAATAGTATGAATTCCATCCAAGATCTTCTCTGAAGTAGGACAAAGATGACTCTTCATGTGAATAATAATAGTCTTGAGTATAGTTGGCCCAAACGTACCACATATCATATCCTTTGAAAAATTCGTTGTCTTTTTCAATATCGTGATTGTAGTAATATTTATCTTCCCACCATTTAATTGGATACTCTTTTTTCAGTACAGTTTTATCTTGAAGATAATTCATCTTGAACTCATATGCGTCATTGATAACCCTTGAGTCAAAGAACATATATGGAACAATTTCATAAGGAGCTGGAAGAACGATTCCAGTATAATCTTTATGATGTAAAACAGTCATTGTTAAGGCATAAACGAACATTCCTTCGTTCATATGTACACGAGCCCAACAAACATTCTTGTAGAAAGTGGTCCAATCTTTAGCATAGTAGAAGAAGTTGAATAGATACATAACTTGTTCAAGATGTTCTTCATTGTAAATTGAGAAAATATGACCTCTTGGTAAGAAGTTTTGGTGATCCCAGTAAATAAAGAAATCCTTAACATGTTCCCAATCCTATTTGTTAAATGAATAAAAGGATTAATATTATTTTAAAATTAATGTTAACGTTAAATTCAAACTTAAATATACGTAAATAATGTATTACCAAGTAAGACGATTTATCTTCAACAAATTTTTCTGATACTTTCAAGTATTCTGGAAATTGGAGTGGTTCATGGATATCATGTAGAATTTCCAAAAAGAATTTTTGTTTAACCAAAAAATCTTTGTCTGCTTTAACTCCATCACGCTTCAAAAGAGGCTCTGCAGCCACAAGGGCTAAGCAGGCCAGAATAATTATTGAAAGTTTCATTTTGTCAGTATCCACTCAGAAAGCCTAAAACAAACTGATACCCTGATTGCCACATTCCCTGGTATTTATACATTTTCAGATAAGTTCCCTTATTTCTAATCTTAAAAAAATTATTTATTAAAGTCAGAAAAATTGTTTGGTACCAGATAGTAAAAATTATGATTATTTTGAGAAAAAACAATATTATTTACATATCTATACAATATGTATGTATGTACATATATGCCAATTTTTGTAGTTAATTGCTTTTGACTTTCTATTTTGTGATGTAAAGCTATTTTATACATAAATATGAATGTGTATGCATTATATATATTATGGTAAGAAATTTTAAATCTGCAACGACCTCAAGGTGAAATTTTATTAATTTGATAAGGTAAACAATGGACATAGAGATTATAAACATAAAGACAGAATTATATTTTAAAATACGAACCTAAACAGAAATTAACATTAAAGAAATTTAAATTTGATATTATGTATACTTACGTTTCTTTTATATATACGTAATTTATATGCTAACGGTAGCTGTAACTTAATCGAGACTGACTGTATGATTCACTTAAATTGTAATACAGTTCTAATAATAGTAGTTATTATATAGTATTAAACCCCTCTTTAACATGAGAAAGAAACTAAAAACTAAGACGACAAAAATCAAAAACCTTTGCGTATGTGAAGTAAAACAAGTAATTATTCTAAAGATAAACTTATTTCTAAGAGATCACTTTTACGAACTCTTAAAAACAGTCAAGACAAAAATAAAATAAATGTTAAATTAACATTAATAATTATTTTATATTTTTTACACTTTTTGATTGCTGCCATCGATTTTTTATAACAAGAATTTATACATGTAAATTCTAATAAAAGTATTTTAATTTAAGTAAAATTCTTAATAACTCTAAATACAAACGTATTTTATCGATTTTTTAAAATAATCTTTTGGATTTTATGCATTTTTTGATTTGTCGCTAGTTTACCTTTAATTTTTATAATATTATTAATATAAAAATGACAATATACACACATACATATGTATTTTTGTTCCTATACATTATTATTCCTATAGCGGTAATAAAATTAATAATAAATCAAAAGTCTGGCATAAAAAGTTTTTTAATATTAGACAGCGAAAATGTCTCTACAAAATAGAGCGGTGATTCCTAATGTTGTCTATATAGAGCCCCAAAGGTCCATGAAGATTTGCTAGGGGTCTACGAGGGTGGAAAAAAAATTGGAGGTCCATCAAATGAAATGGGTGTTTACGAAATGAAAATGGTGGGTCTATTTAATGAAAAATTCCCTTTTAGAAAGACAATATGCTATTTCATCTATACACCAAAAATTCAAATCAAGCGGGAAAACATTATAACGAAAAACCCAAATTATAGGGGAAAAAAATATGTTTCATTTGTTTTGCATTTTTCATTTCGTTTCTTCTTTCGTTTAAACTACCACTTCAACTGCATGTGTCGCTTGAAAATTTTTTGTTTTTTTATTTAACTTTCTCACATCATAGAACACATTCCTTGCTACAGCTGTTAGAAATTTAAATCTATCAAAGAAAATATCAGGGGTCTATCAAAGTCTATCATTGAAAAACATTAATAAAATTGAAAAATACGACAGGAGATCTACGAGATAGAAAAGTTTGGAAACTTCTGGACTAGAGGCACTCAACTGAAACACTTTTATGTTATATAAATATTTTTGAATTGAAGTTTTTTAATTTTTTAAAAAGAACAAATAGATATTTAATCAAAGCTTTTTCATTTAATTGAAATTGCTTTAAAGTTATTCTAAAAGTATACTTTCAATTATCGACATAAGAGAATAAGAATTTTTTCTTTTATGTTTCAGTGTCTACGGCGTTATGTTCCATTAAAATAACATCTTACGCTTTTGTGGTCATCGTATTAAATATTTTTTCTTATTTATCCTACAATAACGAACTTTATGTGATGGCACCAAATTTCAGATGTCGAGTTTTCGTTTGCAAACTGGTCGGTCTGCCGGTCTGTGTGTACACACGTGTATTTCAAGTTTGGCTGGTCCAATTTTGCAGAACTTTTTTATGTGAATTTACTTTGGCTATGGCGCGGATTGATCAACTTTTGGGATATATCGGTCCTCGGGAACTGGACCTTTTTGCGGTCCGATTCTACATTTTTGCCTATATAAAAAGTAATTATCAACCAATTTCCTTGAAATTAAATATTTAAATTAGGGATGTTAAAGCAATGAACCTATAAGTTTTTTGGAAAGATCAGCAGTCGGGAACCAATTTTTCATTTTTTATTATATTTGCTTATATATATAGAACTTATTGTTAGAATTTCTTGAAATTTAATATCTGAGTTATGGTTATTACCGAAACGAATTTTTCAGGGAATTCGGAAGAAATAAAGCGAAACTTTATTCTAAGACAGAAATTTACATTTTTCTAGGTAAATGTCAACTAAATGTTTAATAATTTCATTGTACTAAATTTAATTACTTGATTTCTTGTTCTGACAAGGCGTGAACTATCAGGTTTTGATTGTACATTAAAACTATTATAAGAATACGCATTATGCATATTCAAGTGCCCACGTATTTCAGTGTCAGTAAACAAAACAAAGACTTGCATACATAAGTATATTTTAAGTAGTAAAGTTAAGTTAACGTTAATTTGCTTGATGTTGGTGTTTTTACTAAATTTGTCTGATAAAATTAAAAGCTAAATGCATACCTACCAATTAGTATATGAATCCGGACCTGGAAAAATGAGAAGCTGGTACGTTAATATTAAAGAAAACGAGAAAAAAATAGAGTTGACCTTGTCAACTCTGTGATACCCGTACGAATTTGTTAACCTATGTGCGAATAAAGATGCCATAACTGACTACAGAACAGACTATGACTTTTAGTTGCCGTATATTAATTTATGCAAATGTATGAACTGATATCAATATTTTTTTTTTTAATTGTCTATAAGTATATGTATGTATGTTATAGATTATATTAGGTAAGTCAATCTCTATTTAGAAATATTATATACGGCTTTTTATCAGAAACGTATATCTACAATGTACGTTACAATGCAATACATACATATATACAATGTGCGTGTTAAATAAATTCTAAAAAAATTTTGAAAAAGAAACCTATCGCATGTACATAATGTACAAAGATATATGTACATACACATATTTTTAATATTCTTTTTGTACCTTGCACCTTCCCGTAGGATATATTAACATTGATACGGAGGTTTTGAGGGAGCCATCTGCGGTATGGAGATGGATATGTATCTTCTTGCACAGCGTAAAATTTTGCGTTGATTTACACATGTATATCTGTCTGATCGCACGATAACTGAAGAACAACTAAAGGAAATACGACCAAGACTTTCACAAGTTGCTTCTTTTGTGCCATGAATGAACCTTATTGCTATTGGGCCAATTCGAACAACATGTTCAGGTAGCTGTCATACAACTCAAAAACATTATTTAAAACATTTGAAAAACCAATAAAGATATAAATATGAAATTTTGTACACGTGAGTTCAATTACGTTTTATATACTATGTATGTACTCTAAAAATTTTAATAGAATGGGTGCACTGATTCGGGTAGCTGCCATACCAATCCACAAGCTAATTTTATATAATCGGGAGAATAATAAAGTTTGGTTCATGAGATTTGGCAGACATGTGTCCAAATATATGTTTTTGTGGAATGGTGTGAGAGGTTCGAGTAATTGCCATACAACCATGAAATTGAATTTTAAATATTTCAAAAGCAAGTCTTTATACTCAGACTGTCAAGGTGCAGGGTTTTAAATCGTTTTTACTTTTTATTAATTTTACTGTATTACTATTTGGCATAGTGAAAGTTAGGGTAAAAAACATTTTCTTACATTTTGATAATGCGGAACTGAAAATTTCGAAAATTCGACTAACCTTATCATGCTGCCAATTTTAGAAAATATTGTTGAATCTTCAGGTAATGGAAAGCGTACAATTAAATATGTAAATAAGTATTAAAGTATGTCCTGCTTAAATTTTATTTGTAACACATCAGGATATATGTATATTAAGCACAAGAACCCAGTCACGTACATACAATCACATATACATATGTATGTGCATACTTATATCGTAAAAGAAAATTATTCGAAATTAGGTTTGTTTTTTTTTGTAAATATTTATATATTTAATATGCAAAACATCAACAAAATTACAAAAATATCACTTTTTACAAGATTTTTTACAATTTATTTTTTCTAAGTTATTGAACCTTTGCTAATAACCAACATAATAATCATCATAATGTTCCAAATGATAGATATTAACATCTTCAAAATGCATATTTGGCACGTAGAAGGTTTCGAAATCGGTAATATCGCGATCGAATGGATAAGCGAAAGGATAATTGTCCATGAATCTATGACCTGATCCAACTCCACATGAGATCTTTTCATTGTAACCTTCATAATGTTTGACATCTTGGTATGGAAGAACCATGAAGAACATTTGAACTGGCATACCCTTAACCCAACCTCTTGGAATTAATAAGCGTTCTGGGAATCCACAGTGAGCTTCAGTCATATCTAAAGTAAAGTCCATTTTACCGTCAATAGCTAACATAACACGTTTATATAATTCAGTCCAAGTTGTGCGATCTTTTACGTTCCAGTAAAAATCTTCTGATGAATGTTTAATAACTGATTTTCCAGCTGGGAGATCATATACAAATTGATCAATTTGGTAGAAGTTTTCACGGTTTTCTTCAAGAGTATAAAGTTTTCCATACTCATCATATTTTGGTCCTAAGAAAATTTTAATAATGACCTTTTGTGCTTTATCTGATTTGATTTCAATATTCATATTGAAGGGTTTGTAATTAAGACGCCACTGACGAGCTTTGAACATAACATTAGGTTCCTTGAACATCCAATTGTATCCCATTAAAGTTGTTAAATCAGCATCAAAATGTTCAAAGAAAGTTTCGATTTTGTCAATATGAACATCTGTGATTTCAACACCTTTGTACATAAGTTCGTCATAAGTATATTCTGGTAAAAAGCTTTGATAAGACATGTAAATATATGTTAAACGTTTGTAGAGCATATAAAAGATTGGATCGCGCATAGCAGTTTCAAAATGTTCCATAACACTTGGAATTATCCATTTTTCATCAGTGAAGTGCAATCCGTGGGAACCTCCCAAAAGTAAATGCGATAATAGTCTCCAGTATCCAAAGAAAGTCTTATCCATACTATCTTCATTATGCTCCATCAAGCTGCCAAGATATTCTACACCTTCTGGTGTTCTGAAATCAATTTTTTTGCCTTCAAATGTTACATAGAAACCAAAGTCAACAATATCACGGAAACGACGTTCATAATCCAAAACTAATTGGATATCAAACAATTGATCTGTGTTATATACTTCATAGTAATTTTTACGAACTGTAAAACCTTGACCATTATAGTGTACCAAATGTGGGTTGTAACCATATTTTATTGGTGTGAAATATGTGAAATCAGGTATGTCACCTAATCTTTGTGATAAACGTTCCATATAGTAACGAGCTAAGATTTGTTGATGCATATGTAAGAATAGTTCACCACGATGATCTTTTGTTAAACCAAATTCTTCACCGTCCATCCAGAATGGATAATCCATATGATAATAATAATAGTATGAATTCCATCCAATATCTTCTCTGAAGTAGGAGAGTGTTGACTCTTCATGTGAATAATAATAGTCTTGAGTATAGTTAGCCCAAACGTACCACATATCGTAGCCTTTGAAAAACTCGTTATCTTTAACAACATCATGATCATAAAAGTATCTATCTTCCCACCATCTGATCGGATAATCTTTTTTCAAGAAAGTTTTATCTTGAAGATAATTCATTTTGAATTCATAAGCATCAGCAATAACTTTTGAGTCAAAGAACATATATGGAAGGATTTCATAAGGAGCTGGAAGAACGATTCCAGTATAATCTTTATGATGTAAAACAGTCATTGTTAAGGCATAAACAAACATTCCTTCGTTCATATGCACACGAGCCCAACAAACATTCTTGTAGAAAGTGGTCCAGTCTTTAGCATAGTAGAAGAAGTTGAATAGATACATAACTTGTTCAAGATGTTCTTCATTGTAGATTGAGAAAACATGACCTTTTGGTAAGAAATCTTGTTGATCCCAATAGGTGAAGAAATCCTTAACATGTTCCCAGTTCTAAAGAAAAATATAATTTATTTATTTTATACATATTTATGATATATTTTTTTATTATTTTACCAAGTAAACTGACTGGTCTCTGATGAGTATTTCTGAATCTTTCAAATATTGTGGGAAGTGGAGTGGCTCCTGAATATCATGTAGAATTTCCAAAAAGAATTTTTGTTTAACCAAAAAATCTTTATCAGCCTTAATTCCATCACGCTTCAAAAGAGGTTCTGCAGCCACAAAGGCTAAACAAGCCAAAATGATAATTGAAAGTTTCATTGTATTATCCTGTATCTACTCTGAAAGTCTAGAATAGACTGATAATAATTACGACCATCATTTAGCTATTTATACATTTACAGCTTTCAGCCATCAAAAAGTTCAGGTAAACACTTAATCAAAATTATGTTTATTAATTTGAATTTTTATTTACATACATACTCAAATCATATAAAAGCTGATATAATATTCTACATAATATGTACCAAAAATATTTTTATAAAGTTCTTAAAATGACCTTCCTATGGTTTTTAAATTTGATAAGACTGTTTTATAAAAGATATTATACTTGTATAGAAGCCATAAAGAATATTTAAAACAATGGATTTTGAATAACCATTTGAATTACATTGCCATTTTTTCGTTTTAAAATTCATGATACCACAAGAATGTTAACATTTTAACCTTTATTTCATTTCTACTTTAATTTTAATTGATTTAGTTTAGTTTCTTTCAAAAAAGAAAGTAACGGATGGTGAAGAAATCATGCCAACTCTTACCTAATTGTTATAATATCTTCTACGTATGCTAAAACTGAAAATAATTAATTTGATTTAGTATTTAATTTATAAGAATCTCATACTTTATTTGCGGTAAACGTAGAGTTATCAAGAAATTTTAACCAGGATTCTAGAAAGTCGAGAACCGAAAATTCGAGAACAAGATTAAATAAATTTGGAGATAGAAAGTAAATTCATATTAATGCAAGTAATATTGCATATATGAGAAAATGAAAATGTCATCATTTTCTCTCATTTTTGTTCAAAAAGTATTGTCCCAGACACTTTGCATCCAAAAACTTTAAAAAGTTTTTAAAAGTTTTTAAAAACTTTCTTATACCAGACAGACCTATTGTTATACCATATTTCGCCTCTTTGTTTATAGTTTTACAATGAAACCTTTTTTATTAATATTTTAATTTCCTAACGAGATAACGTTGTTAATCTCTCTAAGAGATATAACTTTGAAAATTTAAATGTAAATTGGATAAAATTAGTTTAACGAACCATTAAAACAATACGAAAATATTGAAATGTCTAAAAAGTAATTTCAAAATATATGTACGTACATTACAAAATATAAAATATGTATGTATGTATGTACTTAAAATATTAGCATGAAGATGTCAAAATCTCTTTCGGATTGTTCTTGAATAAATTAATCTTCGGAAAGATACTTTACGTAAACCTTCATAAACTTAAAAATATCCTATAATCTTGCACACGTTATCAAAGTAGAATGAGCAATATTTTTAATTACGTATATATGTATGTACATATACATTTATACTTACACAGTAATTTATAACATGCATTTTTATAATTTGGTTGCAATTGTGATGAACAGTTATATGCTACATACATATTTAACTTGAAAATAATAAAAAAAAAATTTTAATTGTGTACAGCTTTACAAAATATTACTAGTTCACAAAATGCTGTTAAAAATATATTTTTACATAATTATTTTCATAAGTTTTTCAAATTTGATTTTTAATCAAATAAGTGGTAATTCTCAATTAAAATTTTAACAGAATACTTATTAGTACACTAATTTTTATATAAAATTATTAATAATTAACAGTTTTAAATCGAAGTTTTTGGATTAATTAATTTAACAAGAAACCTTATAAATGATTTTTAATCAATAATTAATTTTTAGTTATTTAAATGTTTAATTGGACATAATATCCTAACGAAAATTTATTAAGGAAAAATTATGAAACTATAACAGATTTTTACTTTTGTAACTTGTGATACTGTAACATATAGTTAATATCTGGTGCGGCTGTAAAATTATTGAGGTTGAAAAAAAGGTCAAATTCATAATAAAAAAGCTGAATATTTGTTTTTCAAATATCAGATACAAATGTAAATACTTATTGCATTAATGGATATAATGCATTTCGAGAGTGAAAAAGATCTGTTGAAGCAAACTGAACAAATCTACGGAAAAAGAAATCTTCATTACGATAATTTTTGAAAAAATTGTTGTTTTCGAAGCTAAACAAAAATATTTTTAAAAATCAAATCTTCAAAGAATAACACCAGTAAAAATCAACATCACCATGTAGCTCGTAACCCATGTGAAAGTAATTTTCCAAAACATTTGTTTTTTCCCTATTTTTCCTTGACGTCCTTTTCATCCTTTAAGTGGACGAATTATTTACCTATTCTCTTTTTCTCAAAAAATTTCCTGCAACACAAAAGGGAAAAGTAAGAAGGAGCATGAACATCATTTAAACAATTACAAACCAAAATATGTAATTTGTTATTGCTGATCTACATCCCATTAACGTTTTCTTTTCAACATTTTGTTAACTTTTCAACATATTAAATCGCCAAAAGTAACGAATGAAATGTTATTGTTGAAAAGTAATTTTGAAAAACAAAATTTATCTTAGAGTATTTTTTTTAATAAACAATTAATCTAATTATAGATAAAATTATTATAAATAACGAATGGCTCTAACACATTTTTTTTAAATTTCAGGTGATAACAAGTTTATGTCCATACAATTATTTTTCAATGATGTCTTCAGTAATATTCAAATACCATTTGAAAAAACTTCAAAATATTATGAAGATTCTAGGCAGCTTGTTGTTGAACCTATATTTTACACGGTATTATGAGAATGTTATAATTTCTTCACAAAATGTGTTTTTAATTTTAAATATTGCAGAACTACAGTGAGGTTTTATCTTTTTTTGATTTAATCGAACGTGGTTTATTACCGCAACAATATTACATCAGCCTAAAAGAAATTTCGGTTCAAAATGAGATTCTTCAAGTTTTTAAATTTTTATATTTTTCTAAAGATTGGGAAACATTTTACAAAAATACACTATGGGCTCGTGAACATGTAAACGAGCAAATTTTCGTTTATGCTTTAAAATCAGTTATACAACAAAGGCATGAATTTAGTAACATTGAAATTCCATCGCAGGATGACATATTCCCGTTCTACTTTTACACTAACAATATTTCTGGAACTTTTTCAGAAGAGAAAATATGGAACGATTTTAAAATTAATTACTTACTAGAGGATGTTGAATTGAATTTATACAATTTCAATATGAATTTACACTTTTTTGGTATTACATCTAATTTTAACGAAAAAAGTTGTAAGAAAAATTTAAATAACCTTTTCTTTTACTGGCTTCAACAATGTTTAGCTAGATATAACCTAGAATACTTATCTGAATTGGAAGAGGACATTGCAGATTATGAAAGCGTTTTTCTCAATGACTTAACGAATAGAGTTAACTCATCGAAACAATTTAACTATAAATCAAATTTAACAAATTATAATGGAACTACAATTTTATATGAAAATTTAGAAAGTTCTTGGGATGCTATAAAATTTTTAAAGCAGTTAAAGAAGATTTACTTTGAAAATTTGAACTTGATAGCGAATAACAATACACTATTACATGAGTTCATAAATTTTTTACGCCATTTCCATATTAATAGCAAACAGTTGGTGCTACATGAAGGTAAAATTAAAATAGTTCCACATTTATTAGAACAAACCGAGACCCAAATGAGGGATCCGTTATTTTATCAAATTTCTAAATTACTTTTGAATATTTACTTCATGTTGAAACCTTCAGAGTTTTATAACAAGGAAGATTTGAGTTTTCCAGGTGTAAAACTAAAAATTAAAGTATCAGAACTAAAAACATTCATGGAAACTGTTCACAAAAAAATCAAAACTGTTGATTTTAGAAATGATTTCAATTATAGTAGTGTCCCCGAATTTCTTACTTTTTATTTTAAAAGATTAAATAACGAACCATTTGAAGTTATTTATCAAATAAACTCTGAATTGTTATTTAATACTCGAGTTTATATTCAACTCTTTGTAGCACCCATAGCTAATTGCAAAAGAAAAACTTCCAATTTATTTGATAAACAAGCAAATTTTTTTAAAATTGATCAGTTTTTGTACAACTTACAACCGGGCAAGACATATTTCACACGAAACTCTCAAAACTTTTTTGCAGCCGTTGATAATTATACAAAAGAGGATAACTTTAACTACAAATCATACGAAACATCACGTAATTATTGGTTCCCTAAAAGACTAAATCTGCCTAAAAGCAACACCCGAGGTATCCAGTTTTTGGCAATTATTAGCGAAGTAACATCTAAATATGGAGAAATACTTAATGAGGAGTCAAAAAATGAAGATTATTGTGAGAGTACTTTATTTTACAAATTAGACGGTAGAAATATAGGTTTCCCATTCGATCGCTATATTATGCATGACGCTTTCGATGTTTCAAATATAGCCACAACAATTAGTTTAGTTAACCATATAACAAAGTAAGACACATAATCAATTTTCATTTTTTAAAACTTTTATTTTAATCAACTTATTTTTTATATAATTATTTACATATTTATGTAATTATATGTATAAATATTAAACACTTCACATAAATAAAACGATTTACGAAAACAAACAAATGTTATCTAAGTAGGTACCTAGGCAAATTTAAAACTCTTAAGATTTTCTTTACCAAATTATAAAAATTTTTAACATAATGTATTTACATATTATGTATGTACATACATATGCTCATAACCTATCTACAAAATTTAAATGTTTTTAGAACTATAAATCGTCTTTCCAACCATATTTTGGAGGTTTCTTATTTTCCTTATAATTTTTTTTGTAATTTGACTGCTGTTCTTTATATCCATTATAGTTATTATATTTTTGATTAAAATCTGACGACCCTGCACCCCCACAGTAACAAGATCGTTCTTGAGAATCTAAATATGATTTACAACCCAAAGTTAGTGTCCCTGTAAATAACATTTTCGCTGCTCCTTTACATCCTTTGGCATATAATTCTTTAGCAAATCCATCTTGAGGACTGTCACAATATTTATATAAACATCTTTTGAAATCTAAATCACATAATTCTTTATCGCTGTTGCACGTATCATAGCTAATTTAAAGGCAAAATTTATTAAGCGGAAATTTATTTTATTGATTAAATCACGTATCTCACCAAATATCATGTGCATTGCAACACGCTTCCATTTCTACAGCTGGTAAATAATTTGTGTCAATACTTAATCCTAGAGAGCCACAACCATCAGAACTAGGTGTGTAAAACTTATTTTTTACAGGTTTTACCCCATTTGGACAAGTATATATGCAATTTTCTTCTACTGCAGCATCAAATACTTCGTGAACGGTTTTAAATTTTTTTGCAACTGTAATTACATTTTTAAAAACGTCCCCAAATAATGCTTCAGCTATAAAAATTATATTTAACTTTTATTTGTTTATAATAAATGGAAATTCGAAAAAAAGATATACCTGCAATTATCGCATCTCTTAAGGTTGATATCATATGAGAACCATATCCAGAATAGGCATATGTTAAAAAAGTTAATACGTAAATAGCAATTTTCATATAAGGAAAATGCATTTCGACTTCTGAAAATTTTTATAGAAATGTTTTTAAAATTTTGTACAATGACGTGTCTCTTAATAATCTAAAAATATATAATAGAATTTATATTAATACTATAAAAATGCCAAATTATGTTTATGCACACTCCAAATTTGTTCTAAGCATGAATTCGGAAACGATTAGCAAACCGTTTACTTAACATGATATATGTACATCTGTGCGTATATTTTACCGCAAAAAAGCATTTATGTATGTTTATATTTTTGAACTCAATTTTATTTTAAGATCTTGATTGAATACTGTTTTTAGGACAGGTACTAATTGAAGTTGTACTTACCTAGAATTTTATTTCCCTCTTGTTATCTTTTATTTATATATTGAGATATATTTTAATAACACCAGAAACAATTATTATTTATTGGAATAAAATTTTCTTAGGCCTTAAACTTACGTACACATTTAAAAGTATAGAAATGGAACAAAATAAGAACATTGAGAACTTCAGAAGTCAAAATCGAAAATGTCAAAATAAGTTCTTATTTTTAATTTCTTCATTCAGCAGTGCTGCCACTTGAACTTTTTATATGCAATCTATTTTATATATGTATTTATATATTTAATTTTTTTGAAAAAGCTATAAACAAATATTTTTATTTAATTTTTTTATTTAAAAAACTTCTGTTTTAAAAACATAAAGGAAACTTTCGTACGCTTCTGAAGCTGAAGGTGAAGCCGATAGGAATTGTAAAAACTGCTTCATTATTTTTTTAAATGAATTACACAAGTTTTTTTAGGATACAAGAAAAAGTATCGTTATCATAAAAAAGAAAAATAAAAATAGTGAAAGCTCAAACAAATGGTTTGCTATCAATTTGATGAAGAAATGCTTCAGAAATTCGCATTTATGTATACGCTTATATAATAATGCGAATTCATGTAAAAATGGTTTCGTCCACATGTAGGTCGCCGTTGTAGCGCATTCGTGTACAATACCCGCTACTTTTTGGTGAAACTTTATTAAAGCGAAACAAGTTTAATATTTTGTTAAACAAAAATATTTCGGAAAACTATTTAACTAAAAAAATATATTTTTAGCAAAAAACTTATTAAGTTAAAAAAGTTGCGTTTCAAAAAAAAATTGAAATATGTAACATGTAAATTATATTTATTCTTAATATTAAATAGCATAATATATATATACAATACAAATGTAGAATTTATGTATGTAGCTTAAATGGAAGATTTTATAGGGCTTTGAACATACTATATTGCTATGCCTGTGTAACTCATCAAAAGTCAAAGTGACCAGCAGTCATATGTATTTGACAGCTAAAATATTTTTCAAATTAACTTGGACCGAATTTTTAGCAAAAAATAAAAAAGATAAAGCCTTAAATCCTCATTGGAACAATAGATAGCAAAGATAACAACAATAATTTTTTTTTCACAAGATATGGCAGAAAAAAAAGGTTGCAAAGAAAATATGAAAAAAGTAATTTGCAATGTCTCTAAATCTTGCAGGTGTATATCCTTATGGAGATTATCCGTTCGCACCATCCGCCCCACCTCCATCAACTTCTCATAAAGAAACGCCCTCGTATATTCCAGATGTAAATATTTACTGAATTTCAAATAAACACAAATCTAATTTAAGTAAATTTTACTTGTAGAGGCCTCCTCCACCATCTTACGAAGAAAGTCAGAAACAGTATTCTAATGCACAACACAGTAATGTACCTTCAGCACCATTTGGATCACCAGCACACATGCCTACTTCATCTGGTACAAGTATCGGATATCCACAAATGAATCAAGGGTACGGTCACATCCCAGTTGCTCAAAGTCAATATCCTTCAATTATTCCTAGACCTGTGCATCAGAATATTCAACAGCAACAGTCAGCAAATAAGTCAATTCATGTATAATTTAGAATATTTTTATTTTGCAACATATGAACTTTAGTAAACTTATTGTATATTAAAGGTTGTTCAATACGCTGCCGGTACCAGATTTTCAGGCAAAGGTAACATGACTAAATATTAGCTTTCAAGTCTTCTGTACGAGTTTTTAAATATTTAGGTGGAGGATCCGTTTCAGTTCCACCACCACCTCCTGGTATAGCTCCCACACCAGCACAATTGGCTGCACTCCAAGGACAACCGGTAAATTAAATTTCAAAATAAAAAGTTAATCAAAATTTTTAACTTTTTAGGTAATATTACAAAAAAAAAAAAAAATCATTTTTTTAAATTGCATCTAGTTTAACAACTAACAGGTTGTTGAAGAAACATTAGAAATTAATTTGAAACAAGACTATTAAGGAAACATATAAAGAGATCTTCACTGTACATATAAGCTGCTCTTATCATTAGTTTTTTGCTTTAAAGATAGAATGTTAACATTCTATTGTATAAAATTCGTAAAAATTTTCTACACACTATATTTTTACTGATAATTACATGTAAATAATACATAATTTTTTGTACATGTGGATATTTGTAATTCAATTCTGATTGACTTTTGCCTTAAAAGAACGAGAAAAAAATTGTTTTTAAATTATTTTTGTATTGTCAAAAATCTTCCCTTTTTAATATTTTGATGTATAAAAAAACTTTGATTTCGAAAATACGAAAGTATTCACCTTATACAATGAAAATATATTTTTACTCTTATATGTTGGCTATAATATGCATAATTAATAATAAAATAAATACATACATATAATTTTATTAATAATTGCCTGTACTTTTCTTGAGTATACAATGTTAATGTCTATCAATAGAATTTTGAACTCTGTTTCTTTTTCAAAATTATAATTTCATGAGCTATGAAAATTGAGTATGATGAGGTCATCTGTTTTATCTTTGTCGCCATAAGATCTACGTTTGGCAGCGATCTCTAGTTTTTATAAATATCAACCAAATCTGAAACATGCCTTGAGGATACCGACAGACAGTCTCGGTCTTTTTCTACAAAAGATCCCAAGAGCTCACGAACTCTTCTTTAGGCACTCCTGCAACAGAATCGGATTAGTTTAAATGAATAAAACCCTAAATCTCTGAAATTTTAGCTTATAACTCAAAATGCGTTTACGACGGATTATATAATCTCCGTTGCAGATATTGTATAAGATATAAACATTCCGGTTTTTTATTTAAAAGAAGTTCTATTTTCGGAAAAAGAAGATAGTACTATCTATGACTCTCGTCACTTTATATTGTAGTCGTCTGCAAAGGTCACACAATTCTCACTATAGTTTTCTCTAATGATGATCGTCCGCGTGTCCCTAACATCCAAAACAAATAATTATGCAGCTATGCTGGATCCATCATCCACAAAGGGAGCTAAAAGTACTATAGTGATGCGTAAAGGATTTCAAAAAAAAAAACCTTTTCCTAATGAACCTTTCGCAATATACATACATACATGTTCGTTACTTTGATATACAAATAATATTATACAAATAAGTACCATTTAAATTTTGTATGATTAGTCTCTGACTCTCTGATAGTATGACTCTCTGACTCTCTCACTCTTTAGCTGGTGGTGTTATCCTAAAATATATCTAAAGTAGTAACGTGTTAAAAGTAAAATGTTTGTGGAGCAAAGCTTTTACCAATTGTATGAATTGGTAAAAGCTTTGGTAATAATAAATTTTGTTAATAAATCTTATTAAGTTAATCTTATTGAGACATATAGCAGTTGTTGCCAAATTTCATATTGTAATGACGTCTGCATTTAGCAAAATAATTTTTTGAAATGCATATCTCTAAAATTAACATAAAATATTTAACATAATATTTTTCAATAAAAAATTTGAAATTTTATAACCAACTTCAAATTATAGAATAACATTTGCACCAGTCCCCTGTATTTATCTCAAAAAGCTTGCGTACAAAATGAAAAAGTGAATCTAGAAAACCTTGGCCATTGAAAACTTCAATAATTTATCTGTCAACTACATTAAAATATAATATTAGGGTGTATCTTGCCATTTGTTGTTCAAATTGGTTTTTGAAGTTTTACATTCGCTTATTGTATTGATCAAGTCGATTTTTTCTACCTTTTAACTATCAAAATCAATAATTGAATAAGCGTAACAACACTATTTATGAGGCTCTTCCGCATGACCTTGTATATGTGTCAAAACTGACAATTTATTGCTTTACATAAATAGAAAACAGTTTTGTTTTAATGTAAAATAAAATGAACTAATCAACTATAAATAAATCTGAGTTTTACTGCTTTATACGAAAAGGTTTTTTGAGGGATTTTTTTAAAAATGGAGAATAACAGATCGAAAATTTATAAATATTACAACTCCTTTTGCGAATACATGCAAGAAGACACCAGAGGTGCTAAGGTGAATATTCAATTGCAACTTTTAAAAAAAATTATATAATACGTAACTTCTTTATCATATATTTATAATTTTTCTTTTTAGATTGCAATTTATTCAGTAGCAGGTGTTATGTTTTTATATGCGTATCATAGAATCCGACCGGTGAAATTTTTAAAAATTCTAGACGGACATCAATTTGAATCTTTTCTTTTAGATAACCAAATTTGGGAAAGCGACAGATATTCCTAAACTATTTATTAGAGAAAAAACGACTCAATATGGCAAAATTGAAGGTGTTGATGCCAGCCATAAAAATGGCCCAGTATTGCTAATTAACCACAAACCTCCTCTCAATTTTCTAATACCATTCAAAAAAGTTTTACCAGTAAATGTAAAGTTTTCATTTAATAAACAGGGTAAAGTTTTATTATCAAGGTTATTTTAGCTTTCTGGGGTTTCCGTTAACGCAAACGGCTGCGCTTGGTTGCAAACTGTAGCAGTGGGCCGTAAAGTAGAATTCATCCCCATTATTGAAAGGAAAAACGGGGTTGCTGAGTGCCAAGTAGTAATGCTCTGTCCCAATTATCAAAAGGTATAAAATAAATATTAACTTTACCTAATAAAATATGTACAATGTATTTTAGGATAAGGTCGACATTTCTAAAGCTATCTTAGAATTAGGTTTTGGAAAATATGAGCAACCTAGTAAAAAAGTTCTTTCTGATCCGCACTGGAAAATGTATCACAAATACTTAACAAACTCTGAAAAAACTGCCAAAAATCAACGCTTAGGGTTTTGGTTAACAAAGTAAACTATCATCTAACAAATAATAGAAATAAATTATTTTACATTAACTTTACTTTTATATTTTAGTCTTCCACCGAAGCCGTGGATTTTCCGAAAGTCTAAAGAAATATCAAAATCTTTAATTTTATCAATTCTTCCAAAAAATTATCGTCTTCCTGAATTAGTGAGGTAAATTTACCTGCTTGTTAATTGTATTAGAAATAGGTGATGCAACTTAGTGCCTCAAATTAAATTACTGACAGAAAAGCATTTAGTTTATTTTGAAATTTAATGCATAAAGCCTCTGGCAATTTTTATACAATTGTGCATTTTTTTTAATATTAATTTTTAGGTCAATTTTTACAGGTTAAAATAAAGTACCAGTACGACTAATAAGAATTGGGTATTTCGTGTCTTCCCAAAATATACCAAATTTAATATACATATATTCAACCACATTATTATGAAAGAGAATAAATTAATAATTAAACGAGAAAAAATAGAGTTGACCATGTCAACTCTGTGACACTCGTACGAATTTTTTATCCTATGTGCGACTAAATTTGCTATAGCTGACTATGGGACCGACTATGCTTTAAATTCCCATATTACCATATTGATTTACACAAAATTTCAGTACTGTGTTTTCAATATTTTCTAAGTTTTGGTCAAACTACTATTGAAGTTGTATGGCTGCTACCAGAAAGAGCCAAACAAATTCAACGAGTTTTATAAAAAACATTGGCCCTACTAATATATTTACTTATGCAAAATTTCAATACCACAGCTTTTATAACTTCTAAGATATAGTCAAATTAATTTTGAAGTTGTATGGCAGCTACCCGAATCAGTACCCCGATTATATCCAATTTAAATAGGGTTCTGGCACTTACTATAATAAATCATTTTTTGGTGAACTAAGCTCAATTAGTTTTTGAGTTATCGTTGGGACGGACGGACGGCCAGACAAAGCTAAATCGATTCAGAATTCAAACATACACTTGAGTCTATATCTCAGATCGTTATTTCTTAGCGTTACAAACGGTAAGGCAAATTTAGTACACCCTTCGAACGGGTATAAAAAGTGACCGATTACATTTAAAAAATTAGATATCGTATTGAAAAAATAAAATTCTGATTTGAAAGTGATAGCAAAAGGGAAATGCGTATGCAGGCTGCTAACATAAGCCTAAGAAATTAGACACTAAAAAATACAAAGAAAAATGAATTTATATTTATATTTGTTCAATTTAAAACCCATTATCAAGACTCTCACACAAAATGAATTATTCTAAAACATATTCATAATAAGAGCTATCAAAAGTTTGAACCCGAACAAAACCATCTTCTCCGCCAGATGCATAACTTTTGCCATCGGGATGAAATGCTAATGTATTTATTGGACCAAAATGTCCCTTCAATCTTGCGAATTCTTCTTCGTAAATTAAATGGAAGAACCTAGAATCAAATTTACCAACTCGAGATGATGTCATTGTAACTTCCATTGCATCTTGTCCACCACCTAAAACAACGTGGTCAAGGATAGGGGAAATTGAAGCAGAATTAACTGGCCTTTCTGTTTTGTAAGTTTTTAGACACATCAGTGATTCTGAGTCGAAAAGTTTTGCAGATGTGTCCTTTGATGCAGTTACAAACATTGTTCCATCTTTATTCATTTGCATATCATTTATAACGGAAGTATGATCATTTACAGCATTTATTTCTTTACCTATTCTAATATCCCATAATGTTACTTGACCATTTTCATGACCTAAAATTGTGTGATCATTCAAACAATTTTACATTTTTATTTTTTATAGCACTCACCTGTAATAATCGATTCATCTAAAGGTCCCCATAGCATAGATGTTACTTTTGACTGCAATATTGGTATTCTCATGATTGGGTCTTGATGTGATAAAGTGGAGTCTACATTTCTCACATCAACAATAAAAAGTTCACAATTCTGTTGCATAGCTTTATCAGTGGTATACGCTGCTTGATTTCCTGAGTAGCTGAAATTACAAGTTCGAACTGCTGATTTCGAGCCTATCGACGCGGTTACTTCTCCTCGTTCGACATCCCATAATTTAGTTGTCATATCACCAGATCCTGTCATTAATTTTGAAGAAGTCCAATCAACATCCAAGCACCATACAGCTCCTTGATGTCCATTATAGGTACCAAGCCTTTCTCCGTTAACTGACCACCACACATTCGGTTTTTGATCTTTCGAACACGAGAATAATAAATCACCCTCCCGATTGTATTTAATTTGCGTTACAGAACGCTCATGCCCTTGTAACATTAGCGGCCTCTGAAACAAAAAAGTATTTTTTTATTGGTAATTTTTGGTTAAAAATATTCAATGAAATTGTAATTATTAATTTTTCTTTTAAACGTTACGATTAAGATAAACGAACTAATTTAAACTAATTACCATTATTTTGCTACTATTTATTTACTATTTTAAATATGTTAAATATCTTTTTTATGAGAATATCAATGCAATGTGTGGCAAATTTTTTCAGATCGAATTCAGAAAGAAAAAATAAAATGCTTTTGATTTGACTATTGACATTGTTTGACAGAATGATTTTAAACTTGCCAACATACGGTAATTATTTAAACTTGCCAACATACGGTAATTAAAAAAAATTTTAATGAGTAATATTAGAAGGCCTATACACATATCGAAATCCATGTCCATGTTAGGAAATTTCAGATTTTGAAAATTTAATAATACTATATTTCAAAATATATTTATTTGAATCCTGATGTACTGAGTAATGCAAAGCCAAAATAATTTTATGCAGCCATTTCTCTCTCTCTCAAAAAACATGGATCGAATTTGACTTTAGTATAATACAGAACCAAAGCGAACGAAAACTGGAAATGATTTCCGTTATTAAAACAGAAAAACAGCAGAACGGCAAAATCATTTGTTCATTATTTTGCATATAAAGTGACACGTATATGGAAGCAGGTGATTCCTAAGGTAATTACCAACGATAAAATAACATTTTAAGCTATTTTACTGCCCTCGATTAAATTTACGACGGTAACTTTAATTCATTCAGATTACCCAGCATTTACACGTACAAGTTACTTGCAAGAAAGTTGCAATACATACAAAAATTTTACTAACACATTGAAATATTTCTACTTGCTTGTTTACTTGCAGTTCAACTTGCAAGAAAATTTTGCTGCCAGTAATTTGAGCAAGTAATTTGACATATTGAGAAATTCACAAAAAAAAATTTGTTGTTTTGATTTTTTTTTTTTTTAATTTAAAATTTTTGAATTTTGTTTTGAAAAAATTAAACTTAGCAAACTTATGGTTTCTAAAATTTATAAACAATTATATATATTGCTAGTTGTTTTCTTCTCAAAGACATTTTCAAAAATTAACTTGCTAAACGCCTACGTCATAATAGCAAGTAATTTGACATTTCGAAAAACTAATTGACAATTAATATTATACAAACTTGCATGCAAGTAACTTGTATGTGTAAATGCTGGGTTAGTCCCATTTATATATGAATTTTGATGTTTCACCATTGAAAATAGTTCTTATTCTGTTTTCAGCTATAATGCGATTACGATTAGAACAGTATTTAGGCCAAAATGAAATTGCTTAGCTTGAAATTTATGAAGCAACTAATGTCCCTTTAAACTATTAAAACAATAATACTGCTAAATGCTTAACACGGTTTTTTTCGTTCATTTATTCCAAAGAATCAAAACTAGAAAAGTCAAACCTTGTTTGATTCTTCAGAGCTAATTTTGATTCTTTAGAGCTTCAGTTCTCGACTTGAAAATATCTCGAAGTGCCAGTTTGACAAAATATTCGGAATGAATAGAAAAAACCAACTCACCAGACCAGAATAAAAGGGAAAAAACTTAACTTTATTCATTTTATATTCTATTACTTATAATATTACTTATATTGTACCTTTGAAATGAAAAAAAAAATGTTTGTAATATACTGGGATTTCCGATATTATTATTATTATTAAGAAATTCGATATTATTATTGTAAACGCAAACTATTTCAGACAAATGATTCGGGTCTATAATAAAGTTTTTGAAACTTTTACAATAAATATCACTTTCAATTCGCTTTTGAAAATAACATATTCCGAATTTTTTGAAATCGGAAATGTAAATAATAAAAGCTGAATTTTTTTATGATAAAAAATGATTTTAGATTTGAATTAACAAAAACAAAGCTGTAAGCACAGACGGTTAAAAAATTTTAATTAAATCGATCAATTGGTTAAATGTGTGAAAAAAAAAATTTTTAATTTTTTATTTTGTTCAATTTACTCCAACTTGTCAGATTCATGATTTTTAAAGAAAATTAAGTCGAATGAATACACCACTCCTGTAAAAGTAAAAAAACCTAGTATTTCAAATATTCAATGATATGGAATTAACATCCATTTCTCTAAAAACCACTACTTTTAATACAAATTTGATAAAAAATATTTGATTTCATGTGAATATTATGATATATTAAATACGATTGTACGAAAATATAGCTTATAGTGTCATGGAAATGGACTTTAATTTGTTACATTTTCTTCTAATTCAGTAGGAATGATAGAAAAAGAAACAAATTCTACTTTATTATTTCAACGTTATATCTGTCTCTACTATTCATTTTCCTTTTTATAGGACATCAGTCAGTCAGTACTCAGTAGCGAAATCCAATTCAAGTTAATAATTGCTTATATCGAAGAATTGTGAATCATTGTGGAGAAGTGTAAGTTTTTATTTAATAAAAATATATGTACATAGGAACAAAATAAAAACACCGAACAACCTGCGGTTTCAAATTTAAATATCTTCATAAGCACAGAAGAAAATTTCTAAATTTTAATATAGTAACCGAAGTAGGAAAAATACCTAAAATACGTATTAGTATATATGTATATATAAATATTTTCTAACCCCGAACATATTTTATAATTTCAGTTTTAATACAAAAAAAAATTATTTCACTTTATTGAAACAATATTACATACGAACTTTCTAGATCTTTGGAGAACTTCATTTTTTCGGTGTGTGCGTGTGTTTTTGATTTTGACAGAAAGTAGTAAAAACTTCAAATCTAAAAAAGCCTAGTAATTGTTTTTCAAGGCGGTATCAAAGCAAACGTTTTTAATTTTAGATAATCAAGAATAATTCAGAAAATCAAAAAACTGAAAAGATTTTTTATGAAAAAATGTCTGTGATTGGTATTGATTTTGGTAACGAGTCGTGTTTCGTAGCAGCTGCAAAAGCAGGAGGCATTGAAACTTTGGCAAATGATTACAGTTTAAGAGCAACACCGTAAGTATTTTGTTTTACAAATGAAATAATTATTTTAATAATTAATATTTTTAAAGCAATTATAATTTATATTTTAATTCATATTCAACTTCTAAGTTTGAAAACATTTAATTTTTTGCATTCCATTTATTTTTTTGTTTTACATAACCTCAAAATTATTTTCCATGTTGTTTCACAAATCACCAACTTTATGTAGGACGTTCATATATGGTGAAAAATGTTACTAGCAATACAATAGATACATATATAATGCATCAGCAAATGAAAAAACTGCCAAATTGTATTAAACTTTAACTTCCATAACAAATGACGGTATAAAATTCTCATCTTTCCTTATTAAGATATTTCTAGTGCCATAAACAGATTACTATATACATAGATATGTACAATATAAACTTTAAGTTATATGTATTACATTATGTTTAATTTATTGATTCCGAAAGTTTAGAGTTTTAACATTTCAAAATTTTATTGTGAAAGTAAGAGTAATATAGGTATATAGAATAAAAGTTAGTATATCCATATAATTTTTATTGAAGTACATCATTAAAAATTAAGAATTTCACAAATTTATCTAAGAAATTTCCTTCCTTCTTAAACTCTTTTCTCTAGTTTATTGCATATATATGTATATTCATTGTGCATGCAATAAAAATCGATATTAATATGTCTAGTTTCTGTAATGTTATCTATTAATTTTATTAAAGTAATATTGTCTATTAATATTACTAATTCCTTTTTTTTAACTTCAACAAATAAATTTTTTAGGTAGATAGTTAGGTCACCTGGTTAGCTTTATTAAAAGTGAAGAACAAAAAATAGCACAAAATTTAATTTTTTTTTAATATATATTTTAGGGCATGCGTTGCATTCGCTGGAAAAAAGAGAGTTCTTGGTGTTGCTGCGAAAAACCAGCAAGTCACAAACATGAAAAATACTATAAGTGGTTTTAAAAAATTGTTGGGCCGCAAATTTAATGATCCTCAAATACAACATGAACTAAAAACCATTCCATATAGAGTAGAACCAATCCAAAATGGAGGTATTGGAATCCGGGTTAATTATTTGGATAAAGAACATGTTTTTACACCAGAGCAAATAACTGCAATGTTATTCACAAAATTGAAAGAAACTTCGGAAACTGCTCTGCAAGCAAAAGTAATAAAAAATTTCCCTTATTTTCTATAAACTCTTTTTTATAAAAACCAAAATAAATATATATATACATATGAAAACTAGGTAAATGATTGTGTGATTACTTGTCCAGTATATTTCACAAATGCCGAAAGGAAAGCTCTCCTGGATGCCGCTGCAATATCCGGACTTAATTGCCTCAGACTAATGAATGAAACAACTGCCACTGCACTGTCATATGGATTTTATAAGCAAGACTTGCCTGAAGAAAAACCGAGAAACGTAATTTTTGTAGACTGTGGACACGCATCTCTGCAGGTCAGTGCTTGCGCTTTCACAAAGGGCAAATTAAAAATGCTGGCTTGTTCTTGGGATCAAATTGGTGGACGAGATTTTGATTCTGTATTAGCTGATTATTTTGTACGTGAATTTAAAGAAAAGTATAAAATTGACGCAAAGTCAAATGCCCGTGCCTATTTGAGGCTTCTTACAGAAGTTGAAAAAACAAAAAAACAAATGTCTGCTAATAGCACAAAGCTACCATTAGCAATAGAATGCTTTATGAATGAAATAGATGTTTCATCAAGTATGCAACGCTGTATAATGGAAGAGCTGTGCGCAGATTTATTGCAACGCGTAGATCAAACTTTGAGAAGATGTTTAAATGATTCAAAATTATCTCAAGAAGAAATTCATTCCGTAGAGGTCGTTGGCGGCTCTACGAGAATTCCTGCTATAAAAGCTCTTATAGAACAGGTATAACTTGCAATTAGTTTATTATATTTGAAATCTTTTAATTACATGTGTTAATTTTGATTTTAGACATTTGGGAAACACGCCAGCACTACTCTCAATCAAGATGAATCTGTATCTCGTGGAGCTGCGTTGCAATGCGCTATCATGTCACCAGCTGTTAGAGTACGTGAGTTTGGTGTTACTGATATACAAAACTATGCTGTCAAAATAAGCTGGGAGGGGGATGCATGCAGTGCACCTGGTGAAATGGAAGTGTTTCCGCAATTCCATCCAGCACCATTTAGTCGTTTACTGACAATTTGTCGTAAAGAGCCTTTTGGAATGCAAATATCTTATGCTGGTAATGTTGCATATCCAGATCCAATTATTGGACGTTGGTATATTAAAGATGTGAAACCCAATGACAAAGGAGAAGCGCAAGATGTCAAAATTAAAGTTCGTATCAACAACCATGGCATAGTATTAATTTCCAATGCTTCTCTTGTTGAAAAAAAAGAAATCGAGGAGATCGAGCAGGAAAAAGATGTACCAGCACCACAAGCAGCAGCATCCGCAGAACAACAATCAGCAGGCGGAACTGAGGCAATGGAAGTTTCGCAAGAAGTAAGTCTAATTTAAATATAGCTATTTTTATGGTATGTTTTTAATATAATCGTGTATAAGCAATAAAGAGATATAGAATTAAAAACTATTAGAATAGAAAAACTTTAAAATATTGAAAAAAAAAATGACGGGTTTATTATAGAACTTATGTCTTTTGTAAAAAAAATTTATATACGTATTACAATTATGTGTGTAGGATTATTATGATGATAAAGATGGCGCAATTAATGGTGGTAATTGTACATCTCCTACAGCCACATCGCCTGGAGGACAAGGGTGGGCCCAACGGGTCAAGGGATGGTTTACTTCGGTACGTTTCACATATGATAAAAAGAATTAAATATGGACAAATTATATAAAAAAGATACTGGAAATTAGCTTTTTAATTTATCAATAAAATTAGTTAGTGCGATTTTTTTTTAAATATTTGATCAATTTATAATTTATTTAAAGAAATACCTTAATGATGATTTCCAATTTCGTTTACATATAAAATAATATATAATATATTATGTATATACAGTTTACTTATATATATACATACATATATGTAATATGTATTTACCATTTGTATTGTTTTATATTTTATTTAAATTTTTTTTGTTTTTTTTCTTTTGAAATTTTGATTCAGAGAAAGAGACTAACAAACATAAACTCTTGTGCCTACCCTATGTGCTCCACGTCATGCTTTCCATTTATTTCAATAGAAAAGATAGCTTAAAATTCCCGAGGGAATTTTATTGAAAGTAAACAAAATTTTAATATATTTCTGTTTTACAATGTTTACTATATATTGTTTGTGTACATTTTCAAATGAAATTGTATTATAACTTCAAATATAATCATAGGTTAAGAATAAAAAATAAGATTAGTTGCAAATAGGCATATGTAAATATAATTTTCAACACTGAATTTTTTTTTATAAAATGCAGTTGATTAATAACAGATTATTTAGAATTAAATTTTCATTTACTTTTTCAAAATTTGTTATTTTGAGCTACATTTTAATTTATCGGCTGTTAAGGGAAATGCATACGCTAGTTCTTGATAAATATTGAACTTAGTGTTTAGTATATACATATGTGGCCTGGTTTAATTGTTAGTTTTTGTTGCATGTATGTACTACTACTGTAAAAAAATTATTTTATTGTTTTAACTAATTTGTTTCTTAGTTTATTTTTAAGTTTGCGAGTTACATAATATTTTTGTTTGAACAAACTTCAAAAACTTAAATTTGCCATAAAAACCATAGCGCCTTCCATTCATAAATATATAACAAAGAAAGCAAATCTCATTCAAAATAAACAATTATTGAATTTTTGTTGATTATATCTTACAGTAATATCAAAAGTTCTATTTATTTGAAATATTTTCAATTATCTTTTCAGGGTTCTGCTGAAAAAAAAAAGAAAACTTCAAAAGTTATTGAATTATCTTTTGATTATCAGACGCACGGATTTTCCCAAACCGAGATCTCCAAATTACATGAACAAGAAACAAAAATGATTGCTAATGATGAGCACGAAAAACAAAGAGTAGATGCAAGAAATTCTTTGGAGGAGTATGTTTATGATATGAGAGAAAAGCTTCAGGTAACTTTTAAAAAATTAAATTCTAATGTTTTTATTAGGTTTAGATAAAATATTTTTACCTCTTTTTCTTATAATTAGGAGGATGGTCCGTTAACTCGTTTTGTTTCTGAGAATGATCGTAATAGTATTTGCTCACAATTAAATGATTTAGAAAATTGGCTTTATGAAGAAGGAGAAGATTGCGATCGTAATACATATAAAAGTAAATTAAATATATTACATCAACAAACTGATCCAATTAAACAACGTTGTCAAGAATATGAAACGCAGCCAGCTGCTTATGAAGATCTCGGTCATTTGATACAAATGACTCGTAAAGCTGTAGAAGAATTTCGGCAAAATTCCCCTAAATATGACCATTTGACAGAAACCGAAATATTAAATATTACTGAGGCGGCTGATAAAGCTGAAAAATGGCTAAATGATGCTCTTGGGAAATTCACTAAAGCAACAAGAACACAAGATCCTCCATTTAAATATAATGATATACGTAATGAATGGCAAACATTATCAACATGCGTTAATTCAGTTCTAAATAGACCTAAACCAAAACCTCCAACGCCACCAACAGCAAATAAGCAAAATGAACAAAATGGTGATGTTGATACAAATTCAACAGCAGATAAACAAAAACAAAATTCAAGTGCATTTGGTGACGGTGATAAGGCTAGTAATCATGTTCCAGAAGATTCTACAATGGAAGTAGAATAGATTTATTATTTACTAATAAAAAATTTAAAACAACAATGATTTAAAATTAATAAATTTAATAAAATATTTAAATAAATATACTAAATCTTAAACACCTTAAAGAAGAAATTTTAATTCTTCCAATTTTTCAAGTAGGTCACAAAAAATAAAGAAACGAGAAATTATCAATTACTTTTTTTGTATATGCATGAATTTAGAAGATTTAAATAGAAATAACATACAAAACAAGAGCTTGTTTTCATCATTGAAATATATATGTTGAAAGTCAAATTGTTGAGACCAAAAACCATAAATGGAATAAAACAAAAATTGCATATTAAGTGTTTAAATTATATTTATTGTAGTCTAATATGGTACATAGATATTATACGTAAGTCCTAAATATTAAATATTTCAATACTTTTTAGGAAATAATTGGATAAAAACTTATTAATAAAATTATTACTAAATTTTTTTAAGATAATACTACTTTTAAACTTATTATTGCACAAATATTTTCCCATAACATAGCTATACAAATTATTTAATGTACATATTTATAATGATATGAGAAAATTTATATATGCAAGTTTAAAGATATTATTATCTTAAAAATGTGACTTGTAATAAGATCCATCTGTTGACATATTATGATGTGAGTGAGCGGCATAAGAAGGATTGTAGTTATATGAAGAATGTGAGACGTAGCCACTTTGATGACTAGTTGACGGATTTTCATAATATCCAGGAGGATACTGATAATGAGTATTGTTAGAATAATAAGTTGAATCCTCTGAATAGTGAAGATTATTATAAACTTGTGTATTAACGTAAGTTACATAACTTTTAGGGTGTTGTTGGCGCGGGTGAATGTATGCAGTCTGAGAGTTTCCATAAAATTTTTTAATATTTACATTGGAACTCTTGGAATACTGCGGCTGAGTTCTAACTTCCTTAGTAGCAATAATATTTTTTTCTGTTTTAACTGGAGAAGGTATTGCTGAAGTATCTATTGAACCATCAGGTTCTTTGATATTACAATTTGCTTCAACATTTGTATAAAATTGATCTTGTTCCATAGGCTTTTTCAACCAATTACCAAGTCCTTTTGTTTGAAATGCCTGATACAACTCCTTTTTTGCCAACTAAAAACAAAATATTTTACAAAAAATTCAATTGTTAAATAGTGTATATACCTGAAACTCTTTTGACAACAATTTTAATTCGCCATAACTCAAAGCTTGATCTAAAATCATTTTATGCGTCATATATCTTTGTGGAATTTTTTTCAATAAATATTCAAATCGTTTAAAAAACTTAATTTTTGCTAGATCTGATGTTTGATCTTTAAGGGTTCGTCCTGTTGCGCAGTTAACGATTTCTATTTTGCTATCACCCACTGTCCAATTAAAACTATAATTAGGTGATTTTGAAACTAATCTTCTGTCAGATGAAGTTGTCATAGCTAAGTATGGTTTATTTAGTTTAAACTTTGGTGGTAAGTTTTCGATCCCATCAACTCTTCCACAAATTCCACGAAAGGTATGAACTGGATGTAATAAATTTCCTAAAACAAGTGAATGAAAATAAATTGGTTCAATAACTGAAGATAAAAGAGATCCTTGAACACCGACGACGTTCCACCGACAAACTTTGTCAGAGCAAGACATCGTCAAAACTCGATTTCCCTTAAAAACAAAAAGCAAAAAATGTGATCAGGTTATTGTGGTTCCTTTTAACGTCAATGTTCTTACAAGTAAAATTCCATCCCAGGTTTGAATAGAAGCTTTCACAGGAATAGTTCCTTCACCGGATTCAATTTTAGTTCTAAGAAGCCCATGTGTTCTTCTGCAAAACAAAGATGTTTAATTTCAAAATTTTACTTAAAATGTTTATATTTTATTATTTTATGTACCTGTTTTCTTTGACATCTTCTTGTAAAGTACTGTTTTCTCGTGGACTAAAAACAGCCGAGTCACCACACGGTGCTGTGCTTATATACAAATGAAAATCGATGCCTTGTTTCAATTTAACTTTGAATTCTTCTCGGTTGTTGATGCTTTTATCGAATACAGTATCATAGTGCGTAGCTGCGTATCAAAGAAAAATTGCATTAAGAACGTAAATTGATTAGATTTAACGATATTTTAGCACTTATATATAAAATGTGAGGAGGCTTATAAGTAACACATTATAGTAAATTACCTTTGTTAAAATATTTCCTTAGTTCAGAATATAAAAATTTCATTAAGCATCTTCTCGCTAATATTTCCGCGTGCATGTCATTTAAAACACTACCTTCTAAACATAAACTGTCTCCTCCAACAACTTTGGTACCTGTTGTTACAGCAATAACCTAATTAAACAATTTGTTTCAAAATAAATTTAAAGAATTTGCTTCGCAGAATAAAATGCTTACTTGCGCATTTTCAAAATCTTTGTCTCTTGTCATTACAATTCCAGCAAGAACCTTCTTTGCTACATATGGCTCAGGGTAGCCCTCTATCAGTTCACCATATTTATTACTAATTAAAAATTCAATTTTATTGGCATGATTTTGATCAAGCTCAAGACCACTATTAATTTTCATATTTAACGGTGTAAATGACATTTTATATATTTGAGCTAATGCTTCTTTACATGCAGCTAATTTAGCGGTTTGTTTAGAAAATCCTGTAGGGAATAAATATAAATATGTAGTTGTTCAAAATATAAACTTTTTTACTCAAATACCTTTTCCTTCAAAATCTTGTCCGTCAATTTTTAAAATAGCTTTATATACAACAACGTTACCAGTTTTCAGTACATCTTCAACTTCAAGTACAAATTGTGGGTTTTTGTATAACTCATTTATTAAACTAATAGGGTTCTTTTCATGGGCAAGATGAGTTGGTAACTTTTTGCCTGTGCTTATTATTGATGTCATATGACTGTTAGGTTTATCCCTTTTTTTAATTGCTGAAATGTATTATGTTAAATGGATATGTTTTATTTTTATCACTATAGCTACATACATTTAGGAGCAGGCATTTCTGATATAGGATTCGTTACGAAGGCTGTCTTGGAAACACCATCAGCAAATACGTAAGTGCATGTATTTTTTTTTACTTCTACAAGATATTTAAGAGCATCTATAGCAGCTAATGCTTTGGCTTGCTTTTTACTTCTTCCTGTGGCAACGAAACTTCTGTCGTCGATCTACAAATTATATCAGAAAATGAAATAAAAATTTGTTTCAAGCATTTTTATATTGTTGCTTTTTAAACAAATACCTTACCTGAATAGAAATTGTGAATTTTGTATTATGAGGTGGTCCAGACTGTTCAAGCACATTGTATGCTATTCCAGGTATATTTTCATTCAGATTTATAACAGAATTAGATTCTGAAATTTGTACTTTTCTAAAAGTAGATTTTCAAATAAATTTACAATTTAAAACAAACCTCTTTTACTTACGATTTACGAATTTTTTTCACCGGAGCATTTTCCATTGCTTGAACGTTTAGGGTACGAGGTATTTCTTCTTCAACGGGTCTTTTTATACCATTACTTTGATTATATTCCATACTTTTGTTAATTTTCAAAAAAATTTGTTTTTCTACTCAATTTTCTGCCATAAATAATAAATTTAACATTATATTCCCGAAAATTACGAGGTCTGGATAAAGTTCACCACAATTATTTAGCAAAGTATTTATTTATTTTTTCTGCACTCAGTACTCACTAAATCAATGTATTAAAAATTATCGACTCTCGCACTCATGAACAATGTTACCAGATAACTAATAAAAGGATTAGTGAGTTGTAATATACAATATGTTTTTGAATAATTTAGTTGCCTTAAACTAGCTAAGGAATAGGAATACTAGCTAGTTCCGCTGGTTGTAATAGACTCATATGTTTTATTTTTGTTTATGTAAAATTATAATTTAACTTCTTGTTCCAGTTTAAAAGTTTGTTTGACGTTAATTTTAAGTCATATCAGTTCTCTACAAAAAACATGCATATTAAACCATTAAAATTTCCTAATTGCAACTGATGACTACAAAAAAAAATTAGCAACTTCAAACCTGAAACATATTTTATTTTTGCAAGGCGTTTTAAATACAAACTTTGAAAAGAAGTAATTATAAATAGAAATAATTAAATAATACAAAATATTGAAGTATGCGTAAAACAAAAAATTTTCTCCCAAAAGAAATAGCCAAAATCTGCTTTTTCTTTTTTAATTCCTTTTGTACAAATTTTTTTAAAGATTAGTTAAAGAATTATGTACATATATACTATAAAAATATTCTTTGTGGAAGTAAGTACTTTATAGACAATAGAAAATGAAAGATATGGTAACTAAACCAGCAACAGACGTTTTTTATCAAGTTAGATTTTAAATTTTTTAAAGCAATATCCGGCAGCTGTAAAAGTCGATGACACTGACTGAGCTTTCACTACAACACCTGTTATATTCGGTGCCACTTGTTATGTTATTTCTTTTTTCCTTAAATATAGCATTTCCACATTGCATAGCATTGTTAACCGAAATATCTCGAAACTGCTTTCTCATTTCAAATTCCAAGAAAGAAGATGAAAACGATGTTTTAAAATTTTGTGCAAAAATTTAGCTATATAACCAATTGTTTCAAATTGAAAGTTATAATCCGACACGGAAATTTCATTATTGAGAAAATTTCGCTCTTTTTTGTTAACAAACTTAATCCGCATCAATTAAGTTAGTACAAAGGAAGACCACACAAACATTTGTCCCTTTCATCACAAATATGTGTGTATAGTTTAAAATAATCCAACTAATAACAATTTCGCTATTTTACTCGAAATGTGAGAAAAAAGTAAGTATCTATCGTATACTTGCATAATGTAATTTTTGAGTGAGAAAAATTATTTGGTATTGCATATCTCGTTTTTTTTAAAAGCATACAAAATTTATTCACCTTGTTTTTGAAAGTGTTGCAGTTCAGTCGATAATTTGAGAAAAAATGCAAAAACCCAATTAAAAAAATGAGCAATCTTATTGAAAAAGTGTAATGTCTGTTGGAAAATATAGAGAATTCTGATTTGAAAGTGAATAAAAAGTGATTAAAAAAGTGAGACATTCGATTATGCTGTTAATGTTCAAATTTCAATAACAATTTCCTAATTGTTCCTCGTATTATGTATATGTGTATATGTACATCCCTGCAGAAAGTGTCAATTTTGCTTGTCAACTGTTTCAATTCTAGCTTGATTTTCAGCCCGAAGGTCAATAAAATAAAAAACGAAAAATAGTTTTTCATAAATTGAGACAATTTTCTTTAAAGCCAAAATAAAATTAAGAAAAATTATTAAGGTAAGAAACAGAAATAATATTGTTCCAATTTTGTTTTGAAATTTACACTTTAATTTAGATATACGAGAGCTATTCGTTAATATGAGTAATTATATGGATTCTAAGACTGCAAATGCAAGCGGTTCCTCACCACAGCAACAAAATATAATTTCCTTTAAAAGTAACGTAACAAACAAAATTACAAAAAAAATTATAGGAAAAGATGTAAAAATAATTTGCAGCAATACTGGTTCAGAGCTTGAGCACGGTAGCTCAAAAGTTCGACTAAAAAATATTGTAGATTATACTTGGGAAGAAAAAAGATATCCAGGTCACCTAATCGCAGTTCACATGGATGGCAAGCATATTGCTTATGTTATTAAAGTTAGTAATAGACAAACGGGAGCTGAGGAAGGGATGGTTCGCGTTGTAAATACGACTACTAGTAAACGTGCATTAATTAAGGGTATGGCTAGTGAAGTGTTAGATGTACAGTTCGCTCATATTGAACGCACACAAGTATTAGCTTGCATAGATTCGTCTAATTTATATGTACACAAAATCGACATGCTTTCAGATAACTTAATTTGTAGTTTATTGTTAAGAGTTGAAGATCCTTTAGAAAATTATCAAGCAAAAGTCAACAAAATTTCGTGGTGTCCCCTTTTTCCAATAAGAGACGATGAATTCAGTAGCAATTCAAATGATGAAGATGATCAAGACTCTAGTCAATTGATTGTGTGGTCTAGAGGAAAAGTTTTCCAGTGTTTTAATGTTAATATTATTATTAATTCGCATGGTATTGGGAAACATAACCCGAAAGATATTTCTGATGGCTACTTACAATCGAAAGATAATAACACTATTATTACATGGATATCATTATCACCTGACGGTACTACTCTCAGCGTTGGAAGTGAAGATGGTTATATTCGATTTTACCAAGTTTATTTCCATGAAAAACAACCAAGATGCTTACACGAATGGAATCCCCACAATGGTCAATCCATTTCTTCTTTCTTTTTCTTAGATAATTACAGAAAAAAATCTTCGACAGATACGTTTTGGAAACATGCGTTAACTGGAGCTAAAAATAATACTGAGCTAAAATTATGGGATTGCGGCACGTGGGAGTGTTTGCAAACTTTATCATTTACGTACCCAATACCAAATAAAAAATCACCATCTGCTTTGTATTTTAATGCAGATATTGATTCCTCATCATCGTATTTGGTTCTTTCAAATATTGAATCACGAAATCTGTACATATTGCAAATTGGTTTTGATAATAATATAAATGATCAAAAAGTAAAATCGTCGGACAACCGAATTAAAAAATTAAATAATAGTGTAAATATACGCGGTATTTCTGAGTATCCCATCTCGTGGCCTATATTAAGTTTCTCTATAGTTGACACTAATATTACTCAATTGTATACGTATAATATGAATGAAAGTTATTTGATGGATGATGTTGATGAATATGATGAAGATAACTTAGCTATATCAGGGGTAGTCCTACGCTTGTTCGTTGTTCAACCAAAAAGTGTGCAAGAATGTCTAATATTTTACCAACCACTCTCCGAATTTGATGAAAATGACAATTGTGACTTAAACTCAACAAGTTCTGAAAATAATGAATCGGTATTGTTGGCTGATTTACTTGACGAACCTTTGGATTACGCGAAAGCATTGAAAACTGGAGAAACAAACTTAAGTTCAAGTATAAATGAATCTTCAACAGGAGCATCAACAATAAAGAAATCCATAGAAGAAGTGGATATTAAAAAAAAACTCAACTGCTCATCTCCATTAATCCAAGGTTTATCCAATTTTGACAAAAGTCAAGAAGAAGAAAAAATGGCGGTTGCAGCGGCAACTGTTCCTTCTGGTATTTTATTATTTAAATGTTAAATGAAAAACAATAACTAATATTGTTTAATAATTTTTTTAGGACAATCACAGAAGTCGTCACAGATCAGTTTAATGACACCCGAATCATTCAGCGCTAAATTAACCTCAACAAATACTTCAAAAGATAACAGCAAAAAATCTCCGGAGTTGGTAAATTCTGACGTTTTATCAACAATTTTGATGTTAGCTAGTGTAACTGGATCGCAAAGTACAAAAGCTCAAACAGAAAACTTAAACTTTTTGAATTTAGTTAATAACAAAATAATTGAGGATCAGCAAAAATTGAGAACTCAAGGAAATGCTTCGGGTATGCCGATTATTCCTTCGTCGATTGAGGAAAAACCCAATAACGCTGTAGTTGACTTTGGAATGGAAGACATAGATAACGAAGAAGAAGACGATGAAGATGATGACGATTCCTTAACTGGAAAAAATAATTCTTCATTAACTAGTGGTGGATCGAGTCCTCCAAGTCGAGAAGTTCAAGAAATCATGTCATCCAAAGATTACGAAACAAAATTACTTTCGCATTTTGTATATAAAATTGAAAACGCTAATAAGGAAACTAAAGAAAAAGTAAATAAGTTTCAAACAGCATCTGAAATAGCAGCTGGTGTTATAAATGCTTCAGTTTCTTCTGAAAAAACGCAGCAACAGCCAATTTCCAAAAATTCTTCTACTTCATCAAATAAAGTGTGTAACAACGATGGAGTGGATTCTAATAAAAAAAAACTTTCTGCAACGGATTGGCCTAAGGTTCCGGATCTAAAAACTGTTGGTGGTCCCACAGAAATATTACCTTCTACACCAAATTCAATTCCTTTACCATCTTTAGCGCAACCTATGCAACCACAACAACAGCAATCTATTTTAAATTCCAGCCCACAAGTTAAGTCTAATACAAATGTGTTATCGTCAACACCACCTTCAACACAAGTTATTAACAGAATGGATATAACTGAACTCAACTCAAAAATTGATACACTAATTCAAGTTCTTCAACTGCAGTCTACTCAAATTAAAAATTTAGAAAAAGAAGTTATTGAATTACGAATCAAAAATGAAAGTTCTATTAAAGTTAATAACACAAGTATTCAAGACTTGAGTAGACAAACAGAAAATCAAATAATAAAAATATTGGAAGATTATTTAACAAAGTTCGATAAAGAATATTGCCGCAAATATGAAGAATTCTTGTTTGAAACCGAAAAACATTGTCGAGTACTTGAAGAAAAGTGGAACGTTAAAAACCAAGTATTCTTTAATCAAATTGTCGAGAAGTTTTCAAACACTATTGTTCCAGTATTGTTAAAACGATTAGATGCAATTCAGACGCAAATGCAAGCAGAAGTGGTAAAAAAACTAAGCACGTTAGAACAAGCTTTACGTGAGACGATCACACATTTATGTCGAAGTAAACCTATTATTGATACTTTTGGAAAATCAGTATTGATGGGGGTTCAAGGTAATTCAATTTTTTAAATTAAGAAAACTTCAAAAATTGAAAATTTTAATCTTTTTTTTTATCTCGTATTCATAGGAAGCTTACAAGCAGCTTTTATAGAATCAATGTCAAGTACATTAATACCAGCATATGAAAAATCCTCTCAAAACATGTTCAGGCAACTTCATGAAACATTTTCTATTGGCATAAAAGAAGTAATGGAACAATTTGATAACTATTTGTCACAAATGCAACCTGTACAAGAGACTACTGACCAAATATTGAATCGAATTGGAAAACTTCGTGAGGTTCTTCACGGAAACTTATCTAGACAAACACAATCAATCAATGATAATTTATTAGAGACAAAGAAAGAAATCAAGCAACTGGAAATAAATTTTATAAGACATTTTTCTGAGTTGATAAAAAAAGAAATACAGCGAAATTTCGAAACTCAAGTCGCTTCTTTGGAGGATTCAGTATTAAGTGCTGTACGATCACAAGCAGCCACTCCAGCGCCATCTTCTTTATATGAGTTACAAGATCAAATCAAGCAGCTTTTAACACAGAACCAAGTAAATTCTGCATTTAATCAAGCTCTTTTAGCAAATGATCTTAGCTTGGTTGAATATACTCTTGAGAAGGCTGATTATAAAGCGGTTTTTACATCGCAAGGATGCTGTTTAGAACAAACGGTTTTACTTTCACTTATTCAGCAAGTTTCAGCCGATATGAGCAATCATAACGAACTTAAACAAAAGTATTTAGCTGAAGCAATATTAAATTTAAATTTAAGTGATCCTATTACAAAAGAACATGCTCCAAAGGTGATGAAAGAACTTTACAGAAACTGTCAAAATTACTTATCGACTAATTCTAAAAGCCCCTTGTGCAGTAATGTTCGTATGATTATGATGGCTGTTTTAGGAATGGGTTACAAATTTAATTAAATAATTAGAAATAACTGTTAAGAGGATAGTTATGTAAAAAAATGGAAAAATATTATCAAGTCGAAAACCAACCAGAAAACTAAAATTAATCTTTAAAACCTCATATTGTTCTTTAAAACAAAAATTAAATTAATTTTTTTTTATTTCAATCATACACATTAAAATTTTTTAGTTTAGATTTTCTTATTTAATTATATAAATTTCTTTAATAGAAATCAAATAACTTAAGTAACTTTTTTTTGACTTTAAAAAATAAATTAATTTTTTCTTAATGAAATAATAAAATATAATAATAATAAAAAATTTCGTATATAAAATATTTCACGTTTTAGTTTTCTTCATAATTGTTAAAGTTTTATGTTTTTGCAGATTTTTGTAATATCCAATATCCACCACAACGGCAATTGTTCACCCATCTTTGCTCCCACGCCTTAAAAGAACTTTTTTAAAAAAATCTCTTAACTTTACTTACCCTACCTTCATAGCAGCGGTTTTAGCAACACTCCCAAATATACTGCAAGCTCCACAGCGCAAGCATTTACGCAAAGTTGATGGTTTTTTACCTAACCACAAATTACGAACACTGTCAATATAACCGTCGTTTACCAAACCACCTTCTATTGGTTGTATATCTTGATGGAAAGTTAAAAAGTCTGGTTCAATATTGTAGAACAATAGCAAAGGCAAACTATTCAAATGTAACACAGGAGATGAAATGGAAACGATTGGAGAATTATGCTGTATTTGAGGTATAAGAACTTGACTTGGCAGCAAGCAGCATTCATCTAAAAGAACTTCATCGGGTTCAGATGGATTCAATGCGAGACGGGTTAATAACCTAAACAGGGTAGAGAGAATGTCCAAGTTTTCCACAGATCGCGAAAATACTGGTAAACACTGCGAGTTTAAAAGCCCCCAAATACGAATCATTACAAGGAGCTCTCGAATGCTATTTAACGCGACAATGTCTTTGCTAATATCATAACCACAATTTTTACTAGAAGGTCCTTGATTATAATTCTGTGGCAACTTCGCCAAAATATTTAAAGCTAGATCTGACACCCATTGAATGAGCTAAAATATTAAATGTGTTATAATACAAAATATAAATTGTGTAAAAAAAAAAATTTAATTACTTGTTGTAAACTCTGAACAGTAAATGATTCCACCGTAAAATCTTTAGCGTGCAGATTTGTCAAAACTTTATCAATATCTAACTGAGAATCAGATAAAACCATCGCCAAATTTTCTGCCGGTCCTTTATCGTGACTACTTAAATCCGAGGGTCTTAGTAAGCTTTTGAATGCTATTAAAATTGAATGAAGCATTAGTAAACTTGTCAAATCATTTGCTTTCGATTGTCCAGTGATTTGCATTCTATATAAATTAATTTTAACTGTTAAGAAATTAACGTAATAATATTGTTGTATTGATGACGATTGGCGAGTAAAATTTTCCGTTAATTTTTCAATTATATTTTCAAGTAAATTTGAGCGTACTGATACTAATAAATCAGAGGCATCTATTCCACTAACAATACTATATTCAAAAAGAGATACCAAATGAGAAAGTACTATGCTGTTTTGCTCATGATAATGTTGTGGCAAACGAATTGCATGAATTTGACTATGGCTGTCAACTACTAATAATAAATGACCAAAAAATGTCACATCCATAGACATTAATGTACCTCCAGCTCTTTGAATTTTTGGCTTTGGTGTACCTGAACCGCTTTCAAAGGCGTAACTTGTTGTTACTGTTGTACTTGTAATTTTTTTTAAATCTTTTGTTAATATATGTACCGTATTGTCTTCCATAGCCAGAAATATATACGAGTTATCAAATAAAATTTTTGAAACAGCTATATCCACTACAATGGAACTAGGGTATCTAAAACTGTGTTGGTTTGTCCAAGCAACAGTTTTGTAAATTTCAGTTTTGTTTGTTTGTAATAATTTATGAATTGGAGTTACTTTTTCTACTAAAGACCAGAGTTCTATGAAACTCCCATTCATTGTTTTTGTAGCAACTATTAATGAATCTATGTCTTCCGAAGAAGTCCAGCATAAATGCGTTATTTTCATATCCAGCAAATCTCTTCCTGATCCTTCTAGTAAAAAGAAACTTGGCAAAGCATGACTGTTTATCAACAAATTCCCATGATCAATTATCTTTAAAGTGACACGATAGCTTTGTACCATCAGTTGCATATTCTGTTTATTTGTTTCCGAATTAGCTACAGCAACACGAAAATGTCCATCTGAATAATCGTTTGTACCAAAAGCTATAGATGCTGTAGTTATATGACTTCTTATCAAACCTAAGCTTTGTGTTACAGGTTTTAAGATTATCGGTAATTGCATATTGTTTACAGGTCCTTGAAAAACATTTTGCTGTTGTTGTTGAGATTGGTGATTTGTTGGACTAATACACTGGCCAGGAAGTAGAAAGGCACCTATCAATCCTGTTGATGTTATCACTATACAGCCTTCTGCGGCAACACCACCAAATTGCCTTACACTAGGTGAAAACTTAGCACGTTGAAATTTTTCCATGTAATAAACCATGTCCCGTTTTTCAGATGCAAAATTTAATTTTCTACCATTATGAAAGAATGCAGCTTTAACAATTTTCTCACTTGGAAGCTTAACGACATAAACCTGATGCCATTCTGATAATAAATTAGTTTTTTGAGTCCAAATTTGAATATTACCTTCTGAATCACCCAATAATAAATTTTTGCTAGCTACATCCCACTCTAATACTGTTATTGTTGTTTTCCTCGTCTCTGTAACTCGAAATACATAAAATGGTGCGGTAATATCACAGACGTAGACAATGGAACCACTAATCATTTGATTGTTTATCGATTTATTAATGTTACTTTCTGACGTTGCTTGCAAATCATGTTGACTTGTAAAGGCTAATATATTTTTTGAAGAAAGTTTTGAGATCGATATGCAATTTAGTAGAGGAGAAACATTTGCCGGCATCCACTTTTTACGAACTGAATATAAAACTTCCATACTTTTTTATCGATGATTAAACACTTTATAAATTCTGCAGCAGAAAATTAGTTATTAATGTTCACTCGTTTTAATAAAATCTTTTTGATAAACCATATATATACCTTGTAGTTAGCACGTATATATATATTGTATATCATCTAAACAAATTCAATTTAATAAATAATTCGTGTTTTAATTAAATATCAGGCTGACACAAATATTTTTGTTATGTCAAGTTGAATATAATTATTTTGACGTGAGTTATGAAAGAGTCAGTGTTGTAAAGACAGTTTTGTTGCTCCTAATTTTAAAATTGAAAAACACTCGCATTCTCAAATTTAGATTCTCTTATAATATTTTATCAGCAAAAGAAATTTTTCCAGCTAAAAATTTTTTACGAATTTTTATATTTCAAAACAAATCACACGTAGAACCAATTTTCTTTAACAGTTCACACTATTTTCTCTAAAATTTTTTTTTTTAAATAGTTTACATGCAAACTGTATCAAAATTCTGCTTATTCTAAAGAACTGACGCATGTAATATTTTTTATTAAACATAAATTTTATTTAATATACGATAAAATCTGATGAGCATTTAAACCTCAGATTATATTTATACCTTTACGTCAAATTTTTAATGGCAATGTTTTTAATATTTGTAATCTATAAACTGCCAACAAGTAAAAAATTAGCTGATCATGGAAAAACTTTTTTGCAAGTTTATTTTCCGCCATATTATTTTAAAAAATCTAACAGAATATCTAATGATAATTGGATATATTTCTATTTTTTCACCAGATTTTATCTTATGTTAGAATTTCATCACATCAGATTTTAATCAGATTCTATGATTAAATCTGTTGTATAACAGGCACCTTAAGCATAATTTTTTTAAACTGTTGCCAGAAATATACCAAATGCATACAAATGTATGTGTGTTTGTTGTTTCACGTTACAACCTAAAGGTAAAATATTTTAACTCAAACAATTGAACGTTCGTTCTGTCAAGTCATTTCCGTTTGGTATAGCAAAATTGAAATTTTTCATTTTGTTTAAAATTTTGATAGGACGCCAGAAATTGTAGAAGGGAGTGGAAATCAACCGAATATAAAATTTTGCGTGAGCCAACCCTATCATTGGTTTTAATTCAAATTAATCGAAATTCGGAAGGAAAGAATTGATGATGAAGTAAATTACATAGAATTTGAATAAAATTGTTAATTTTTAGGTGAACAATTGTATTTTGGTCAAATTTTAGTCATGTGTATTTAAAATTCTTAAAATTCTTTTAACGCATTAATAGCTTTAGTGAACTTTCCTTTATAATTTATGTAATATTTTCTTATTTTTTAAACTAAAAAATACAAAGTGAGATTAAATTAAAGAAAACTTATCGCAACTTAATAAGATGAATGAAAATGATGAAAAAGTCATTCGAGTTGGTTCAAGAAAAAGTGAGGTAAATGTTATATTCAGCATTACTAAATTTAAATTAGATTTAAATAAAAATTATGAAATTATTGTGCAACCTGTAGAATTGTTATGTCACCATGTTAATTTGGATAGAAAAAAGTAAATACTTATTTAATTTAAATAAAAAAAAAAGGTGGAGCAAAGCTAAGAGGTCAAAACTACTTGAAATAAAAATGAATTTAATTAAAAAATTAATACAACCTTAAATACCATGTTTTGTAATTTAACATTTTCCAATGAATTGAAACACGTATTTGTCATTTCTACTCAAAATTATTTAATGCTTTTAATTATTTTTATATCTATTTAGCTGGCACTGATCCAAACCAAACATGTGATAAGTGAACTTCAAAAACAAAATCCTGGAAAAATATTTGAAATACGTAAGTATTTATCAATAGTGAATATGGTTTAAGACGTAAGAAGTAGTATGTACATACATACTTATATACAATTAGCTAATTAAAAGTGAAAGCTAAAATACTAATACTAAACACGTGTTAAGTATTTGCATGTTGTAATATTGGTTTATGAAACTTGCCTACCTACTGGTTATTATAGTGGTAGCTAAATAAAAAACTAAATTGGAACAAATTGCATTCGTTAAAAACTTTTTCAAAACAATTATGTGTTATGTATTTAACTAGCTACCTTTTATTTTATTAATTTCGTGAAAAACTCTCCCATAGTTAGATCCTTTGAATTTCTTTAGAAGCACTAAAAAACATATAAAAATACAAGTTTAAGATCGATAGGTACATACCTATCCATAAACTTATTTTATAGTGTTTAAGTAGGTACATAGGTACCTATTTAGTTAAACGAAACACAATCATTCTAATATAGAAAGTCCAAACGTATTAAAGTACGTACATAAAATTAAGTAAAAATTTAATTTTTCTTAAAATCCTTAACGATAAAAATTTGCCCAGTTTTCAAATGTAATTTAGGTTTATAAGTATTAAAATACACGCAAACAATGCGTTGTTCGTTATACAAAAGGAATTTTGTTGTTTAATAAATTGTTTTATAATATAAAGTACAAAAAATATTCGAATTTATCTATTTCAATAAAATTTATATTTTAGATACCATGTCTACTATAGGAGACCGAATATTAAATGTTTCACTGCCAAAAATAGGTGAAAAAAGTCTGTTTACACGAGATTTAGAAGATGCATTGAAACACGGCCGTGTCGATTTTATTGTTCACTCACTTAAAGATTTGCCTACAACTCTTCCACAAGGTATGACGATAGGAGCTGTTCTGGAACGTGAAGATTCTCGGGATGCTTTGGTGCTAAATGATAAATATAAAAGTTATACATTGCAAACTTTACCAAAAAATGCTTTAATAGGTAGAAAAAATTCTTTAATTAAATATTAATAAATTATTTTGAAAACAAAGCAACACTTCGTATATTTAAGGTACGTCATCGCTGCGTCGAACAGCCCAAATTCGACGCAAATTTCCCCATTTAGAAATTTGTGATATTCGCGGAAATTTGAACACACGTTTAGCAAAACTAGACGCTCCAAATTCAAAATTTGCTGGTATCATATTAGCTCAAGCTGGTTTAGTACGAATGGGTTGGACGAACAGAATCAGTCAAATTTTAGAACCCTGTGAGCTTATGTATTGTGTTGGGCAAGGGGCTTTAGCAGTTGAATGCAGAACCGACGATGAAATTACTCTTTCAATGCTAAAAAATCTTATTTGCTTACCGACGACGTGTAAAATTTTAGCTGAACGTAGTTTTTTGAGAACCTTGGGAGGTGGTTGCAGCGCTCCAGTCGCTGTTTATTCTAATCTATCATCAACATCACGTGATAGCATTAAGTGTTTAAATAATTCTAATTTATCATTACGTGGAGCAGTATGGAGCCTTGATGGTAAATCAGAGATCATGGATGAAGTCAAAGGTTTACTAGAAATAAGAAAACGCAGAAAAACTGAAGAGTACTCAACAACTGAAGACGAAGATGATTTGGAAGTAAGTCCATCAAAACGCTCCCGTCTTGATAAAAATGTAATTAATGATTATGAAGGTGAAAAGAAAATTGAAAGCCCACGAATAATTAATGATGACCCAACCTTGGAAAGCTTTGATGGAAAAATTCCGAACATAGAACATTTGATCAAAGTACATGGAGATTTATTTAAAAAATGTCCTCATTTACAAAAAAAGATTACAGAAAGTGGATTAACAAATTTAACAAAAGATAAGTGCCCTCTAATGTTACCTGTAGGAGACGATTTTATGGGAGAATGTCCTGTTGCAGACACCGAAGAAAAAGTTCAACTTGTAGACTTACATACTAAAACTGAATTTGAAGTAACTAATGGAGAGCTTAAGGTACATCATCAAGAAGAAAATGGTAATATTTCAAAACCTTCGTTTTCAGATAAATTCAATAATAGTTTATCTAATGAAAGTCACAACCAATTGCAAGATTTTGCTAATAATAATTTGAAGGAAAATTCAAATACGACATTTGCTAGTAATTCCAAGAAGCCTGAATCCACTTCGACAGAGAAAATCTCTATTAGTGGTGAAAAACACGAAGGTTGCCCTTTCTTAAAAGTGAAGTTAGTCGATCACGTAGATGAAGGAAAATCAAATGAGATAAGCGAGCGTTCCCTGTCTCCGGAACTTTTAGAAAGTGAGTGCAGAAATCTTTTTTGTGGAATATTCAGACATAAATGCTTCGACAAAAATCTTTTCAAAAAATGCGATGATTTGGGTCGTGATTTGGCTCTCAATTTAATAAATAAAGGTGCCTTAGCAATTATGAAAATAGCTCAAGATGAAATTCGTCAAAATGTTAAGTAAAAAGGTGTTCTAATTTATTTTGTTAATAAGTTTTTGGTTGATTTTTATTTACGTGTTACAATTTTATAATTATGTTTATATTTTTTCTACCTGTTAAAAAGAAATGTATATTTTTATAAGTTCGAAAAATTTAAATTGTATGTAAATGGCTCTTTATTTTATTTAAAGTCCAATATTTTCATATGTGGAAAAAGTATCACAAAATAAATATTGTTATGGTAAAATAAATTTTTATTTTTTTTCTCTTTTTTACAAGAAAAAATAAACAAGTTTTTGAAATTATAATAAAAATTTTTATGACTAGATGACATTATATTTCGATTTATTCAAACACAATGTAAAAATACTTTGGCCAAACGCTCAAAAATAAAATAAAAATTGTTTTAAACTAAGGACTATATTGAACTTTCATCCTTATAAGTGCAAAAATCGTACGCTGTCTGATTTGAATGTATTAAGTTTAATCATTTGCTTTATCCATATTCAGATTGTATAGTGAGAGCAAATTGACCTTTAGGAATAGATGTGCCATGGTACCAAATTCTTGTATCAACTAAGACTGAAATACATATTTTAAAAATTCGTTATTAAGTAGATAAAGAAAGAAAACTTTAATAGTAAATAAAAAAACCTGCATCTCCTGGCTCAACATAAAAAGAAAAAGAATGACAAATTTGATCACACTCAGGTGTAGGTGCTAAGACCCAACTTTTATTCCCCTGTAATTGAGCTTGCCACATCAATCTTGGTATGTAATCGAGCTTTCATAAAATTAAAAAAAAAATGTCACTTTTTTTTTGTTTCAAAAAAAAAAAACATACATGCATTATAGCTCCTTGTTCGTATCCTAAAAATATATAATCAGTATTCGGCATTTCAGCATCTTCTGGTAAAAAATGAGGTCTTGGATATAATTTTCGCAATTCCTCTAATATAACTGGATGGCAATTACTCCAGCCAACATACCACGGAGGATAACCATCTGTAAACTTAGATCTAGCATCTGACATTTGAAATACTTCCCTCAGTGTCATAAAATCTGAACGAAAATGTAAAAATTGGCAATCTTCCTCTAATGCACCAGGTACTTTTAAATACAAATCTCGTAAAAAAGTAAAATTTAAAATTTTTTTTGCTGGCCAATGTCCAACAGCATTTTTTATAATAATAGGTTGCGAAGAATAAGCAAATGGAGAAAATTCTTCCCTGGTTAAATTTTGTAATATTAAAGGGCCTTTCACTTGACTACAAAAGCGACAATCACTAATAGGACGTGTTGCTTCCCATACTAAATAATTATTTGGTACAAAACATCTAACACCCAATAAGAAATGAACAACTTCGTACACCACTGGTGTAGCTAAAAAAATGAAAGCAAAAACTCCGCAAGCTATCCATAGATTGATTCGATTTGGATTTTGTTGTTCAATTTGAGTACGTAACGCTGCATGGAGATCATCCGATGTAACGATTCCCGTTTCAAGTACTCTTGAGTGTAAAGTGTTTAATTTTTGTATAAAATCTTCGCTAAAAAACTGTTGGTTTCTACGAGTCCTGTTATGATGTGAGAATAAGGTTTCTGTGGAATTGATGGGAATATTCGAAGACTGTAAACCATTATCCGAAATTTCATTATGGCTTGAACTATTGTTTGTCATTTTCTGTATTAATTATTTTAATTCTTATTTTTTTTATTGCCTACTCAATTATTCCAATTTCGATTTTGTATTTTTGTCTCTCATTTTCATTACTGCTAAAAGTTCAACTGTTGAAGTTTAGAATAAAGATGTTTAAATGTCATTAGAATCGTTCAGTAACCAACTGTTACTCCGTTAATGATTGAAAATATATTTAGTTTCATTCAATTGATTTTCCATCAATTTACTTATATGTATGTTTAATAGGCAATTTATGATAACTTTACGAAACAAGAATTCACAAATAACTCAGTTCAATTATGAATTTTACTAATACAACATTATAGTTGCGGAATCAATAAGAATGTGCCTATTACACTACTCAGTTCAATTTTAATTCTTGACCACTGAATGATTTTTCATTTCTTTCGTTTATAAAGCTGAATACGGAGCAGCATTTTTAAAAATATTTTCGTATTTAGAAATAATTACATTTATATATAAAAGCTTTCTTCACTATTAAACAAATGAAATAACGGATATAAAATAGCTCATTTATTAAAAATCAAACACTCAATTAATTTTTTGAGTAAGTGAGTAATCTCTCAAGCAAATATTTTTGTTGAGCCTAACATATATCGAGAACAACAGCATGACGGAATTTCCCGTAATTATTCTCTTATGCTAGTCTGAACTTATGCGAGACTCTGGGAATTACCGCACAAAAAAACTGAAGGAAAATGGAATAGTTTAATTTCAATTATTTTATTTCAATTTTATAACATAAAATTTGATCATAAATTATGTACATTTAACATAATAAAGTTGAATTAGCAAACCAATTACATATATCTTTGTTAACTTAATAAAGTAAAATGTGAAGCGAAGTTGATTTGTTATCAATATTGGATTAAAGATATTAGTATATCTTTAAATATTTAGTTTCATTCAATTGATTTTCCATCAATTTACTTACATATATATATTTTTAATAGGGAATTTACGATGAGAGAATTTATGATTTAAATATCTTCACATTTAGAAACACAATCTACATCATCACAGTCACTCTCTTATTCATCTCCATCTAATTTTTAATTTCAGCGGGTATAAAGTTTAAGCTTAAGCAGGGATTCCCGTAATTTGCAAATTTACCCTTTGTAAAATGACAGGAATTCCCGTAATAAAAGTTAATGAATGTATTGCATTAGAGTGGTTTCAATATAACTTGAATAAAAATGACTTTTATTTTGTGACAACTTACATTTTGACAAAGTATACAATATTATATGTTATATGTCAGTTACTGTTTAGCTATAGGACAAAATTTGTGATTTAATTCGAGTCTGATGAAAGTCGTGTAAACATTGTTTGATACCAGGATTGTCTGATGGCAAAAAATAAAAATTACCATATTTTCATCTTTTTATTTAGGATATAAATTTTCATAGGAAAATTATTAAATCTTGACGTAAAGTCTGAACTCTATCAATTATTTTCAGTCTGATGTGTACAATCATTAAGCGCCAGTTAAAATCAGACTAAGGACCTAATCGTTTATCCCGCTATTTTACACGGAAAGTGAGAAAAAAGTGAGTAACTATCAAATACAAAGTTGAACAAAATTTTGTCTGTAAAAAAAAAGAATGTATTTTAGTCATAGTAAATACAAAGAACAAAATTTTGACCATCAGCATATTGTGCTACTTCGTTATTGACGGTAATTTGAAAATAAAATAAACAAAATACGTTCATAAATATTTTTTTTCTAAGTTTCACATTTTTATAAGCGAAAATTAAAATTTGTAGTTTTTTATATGTATAACCAATAAATACTTGTTTATGTTTGATAAATATTTTGATGTTTGACGTTTATCATCCATCCTGTTTAATCGTAGATTAAATCTAAAGTGTAGCACTTTAAACTTTTCCGCAGATTGTAAAACTCGAAATACATTTCTTCAAAATCATGAATACAATTTTGATTTATTTAATATGTATATGAATTTTTGATGTGCTCCAAAATTTATTTTTATATATAAAAATTGCAGGTTGTAAGTAATTTTTTTAAGAGAAAATTTGAAATGAAAATAGGAAAAAAACATTCATATTAGAAAGAAGGAAAAAACTGTCTGTATTTCAAAAGTGATTTAGATTTTTTATACAAATATACATTCACATTTTTGCTATTGCATTCACAACAAAAACAGCGCCCACGGTACAAGCCCGTATTTTTATTCGCCGTCGCCGTAGCTTCAGGATGTTGAAATGTCAGATTCTTATATTTTCGCATTAGATTAAAATAAAAACTGACTAAGTTTTATTCCAAAAATTTTTACGGAGGACGACTTAAAGGTTTTTTTCAAAATTTGTCACCTCATGGTTTTAGGGTTATAAACTAAATTTATTAATTTAAAAATAACTTTTTTAAATTTCAAATTCGGCGAATTGAATATTAAAATCGGGGTTTCTTTCAGAAAATAATAACTTTCAAAGACTTTGGATTAAAAATATTTTATTCATTTCAACAAAAAAATAATATTAAAATCTATAATAAACGGAAAACCCCATTTTACTTAAAAGTGGATTTAGAATAGTTCGCATCTAAGAGTGCAATATATTTTGTTGTTTTGTATTGTTTGTATTGTGTTTGTACCTGAAACAAAGTTTACTTTTTGGAAACAAAATGAATTATAATTTATAAAACTTATTAACAATGGATTTCGATGTCGAAGTAATTCTTGAAAATATTTGCCGTGCTTGTTTATGTAAGGATCCCGTATTGGAAATTTCACATGAAGTTTCTGAGAAGCTAAAACTTTGCGGTGGAATAAGCGAAGATGAAGTAGTGTTTCATTGTTTATTTCTTTTCAATTTTATTTGAGTTTCTTATTTTAGATTGGAAATAAAACTTTTCCCAGTAAAATATGTCACAAGTGCTTTATGAATTTAGAAATATCCTTTCAATTTCGACAATTATGTCAGCAATCAGATAAAAGGTTAAAAGAAGGTTTACGAAGTTCATTGATAAATTTTAATGAGCATGAAAATTTACTGGAAAACTTAAAAGTTGAAGTATAATTAATTGCACTTAAGGAATACATTAAAAAATAAGATTCATTTTAGTTTTTAGCACCTAAAGAGGAACCAAATGAAATTGTTGAAGAAGATTTTATTTCAAACAATTCCCCAATTGAATTTACATTAAATTTAGATAATACTGAAAATGAAAGATTTACTTCAAAATTTGAAGAGGGAACTGAATTGAAATATCCTACAAAATCAAATTCAGATCTTGATGCTAAAGATTGTACTAAATTGGATTTTGAATTTGCATCTAAAACAAAAACTAAGCGAAAATATACAAAACGTTTAAAAGATAAAAAATTGGATAAACTCTCTGATTCAGGAAATTCTTCTCACACTTGCGAATTTTGTGGTATAAGTTATGTTTCGAAATTTTCTATGGAAAATCATATGCGACTACATTCTGCCCGTCTTAGATTTGTTTGCGAGTAGTTTTGAATACTGAAAATTGTTTCTTAAATATACTTATTTATTAATTTGATTATAGAATATGCGATGAATCTTACGCGGGTAAATTTCAACTAGAACAACATATGTGTTCAAAGCACACTGGAGAAAGAAATTTTAAATGCGAATACTGTGAGAAAGCATTCTTTTCAAAAACTTTAAGAAATAAACATCAAAAACGGTAGAAATTTTCAATTAATTTTCATTTATTATACATAATGCTTCATTATAAACTTCTTAATAGGTCGCATTCTAAACTATTCAAATGTGATCAGTGCGATAAGTGTTTTGGAAGATCAGATTCGCTAAAGGTAAAATTTTAAACTATTAAATCGATTTTTCGAATTATCACAAGAGACCTTATACTAATTTTAGAAACACATGAGAGTTCATACTGGAGAAAAGCCTATAGTGTAAGAACTCATTTAGATATGAATTTTTCAAATTAATATACTTTTTTGTAGTTGTGACAAATGTGGAACAAGATTCAAGGAACTTCATCATTTGAAAAACCATAATAAATCAATGACTCCTTGCATCCTAAAAATGAGTATAAAAGTCAAAGATGGGTAAAAAACACGATATGGATACAGTTGCTTACAGGTTCATTTTTCCTGTACAATTATGTAACACATACATAAATACATATATAATAGATGTTCCTTTTGTATTTGAAAAGTATTTGTATAGTATAAAGAAATACGTATTTGAAGAAAACAATTCGTATCACCGTATAATAAATTTTCCAATTCTTAACGGAAAAATATTTGCATGTATATTGGTAATATATTATGTATTTCAGAGAACATTTGATTTAAATTATGCATTAAGTATACATTTCATAAAATGTCAGTTAGAAAGCTCTTCAACTCATCGTTAAGTCATGGAGGCGGAAATGCGCTATAAATATACCTAAGCACAAGTATTGACAGACACCAATATCCATTCGCACAAACACAAAAATTTCGTCATCCTCTATGCCCATCCCACTCAGGGAACCTTCCTAAGATCTCACAAATTTTGTTAAAAAATGGCTACGAGTCCTTGTCTAGATATTGAGTTAGCATGAATATTCAAATCCTCAGATCTTATGAAATTTTGATCCAAGAAACTAATTGACAAGGAATTCGGGACGGAAATTTTTATGGCTATAATTCTCATAGAAATATCAGGTTTTGACGTAAATTCTGAGTACTGTCACACAATTTTAATCAGATATGCAAACAGTCGTTAGAATCGCGAATTTAATTTTAGGTTTTGTCACATATTTGTATAAAAAACACCTTAGATTTTGTCATAAAACAGTAACTTACGTAAATATCAAAAAGAAGAATTAAAACTTTGCTAATGTCCCAAAGAGAGCAGTTTGGCTTTTGCTGTCATAAAATTAAATTAATAATATTTTTAATGTGCGCTAGCAGAAATACCTATACTTTTGTTATGTCAAGGTTAATATGGTTACTACACTGGCAAAAAAGTAGCCATGTTTGCAGGGTGCATATACGTATCTTTATGCCCTTCAAGAAATCAGAGTACAATCAAATTATTAAGTATAATTGATGCTATAGCTGAAATGAGTTCAATTAATTTAAAATCGAACATCATCTAAGGAATTCTATTATTTGTCGTAAAAATGCAGATTCTCACAAAAGGCAATGGAAAAAATTATGCTGAGTAAAATTTAAATAATGAATTTGAATATTGAAATTTTTAATGGAAATGTTTGTCGCGCTTGTTTCAGTAAAAATCCAGCATTTGAAATTTCGCAAGATGTATTTGAGAAACTAAAAATTTGCGGTGGAATTAGCAGCGAGGAAGTGAATTTTATTACAATACGATAATAAAAAATTATATAATATAAAAATGTACTTTTTTTAGATCGAAGATAAAACATTTCCTCGTAAAATATGCCAAAAATGCTTTCTGGATTTAGAAACATGTTTTGAATTTTGGCGATTATGTCAGCAATCCCATAAAATATTAAAAGAAAATCTACGAAATGCACAATCAAGATTTAAGAAGCAAGAAGATATTCTCAACAACCCTAAAGTTGAAGTATACAATAATTTTTTTAAAAATATTACATCTTAGAACGTGAAAAACATTTGCAGTTTGTGGCACCTGCACAAGAACCAATTGAAAAGGACGAGGAGTTTTTTGAGAACAAATCCCACGCACGATTTACCTTGCATTCATATAGTTCCGAAAATGTACGACTTTCTCAAAAAATTAATTTGATACCTGAGAAAATCCATTTAAAATTTGCCGGTGAAAAGCCTCATTCAACAAAAAGTATTGATGTTAAAAATATATTCAATACCAATTTGGGAATTAAACCCAATAAAAAATTAGATGAGCAAAACCATTCAGAAAATAGACATCATTTATGTGAATTTTGTGGCAAAAATTATGTTTCTAAATTTTCTATGCAAAATCATATGCGGTTGCATTCTGCCCGCCTTAGGTTTGCCTGCGGGTAGATTATTATAATTAAAATGTTTTGAATATTCGTTAAAATAAATAGCTGTATATTTAATTTTCAGGATATGTGATGATTCATATGCTAGAAAGTTTCAGCTAGAGCAACACATGTGCTCAAAACATACAGGGGAAAGAAATTTCAAATGCGAATATTGTGACAAAACATTCTTTTCAAAAATTTTAAAAAATAAACATCAAAGAAGGTAATATTTTACATAATTGTTTCTGTATTATATGTATGTATATCTAAACTATGCTAGATCACATTCTAAACGGTTTAAATGCGACCAATGTGATAAATATTTCGGAAGACCAGACTTGTTAAAGGTAAAATTTTGTAGTTTCCATCTTTGAAAATTTTCTGAAAGGCCATACATATAATGGTTAATTTTAGAAACACATAAGAGTTCATACTGGAGAAAAACCTATAGTGTAAATATTTATAGAACTAGGTTGCATATACCTATGTATTTTTATAAATATTTTAAAATATTTCCTCAGTTGTGACAAATGTGGAACAAGATTTAAGGAGCTTCATCATTTAAAAACTCATAATAAATCAATGAGCACTTGTGTATTGAAGATGAGTATAAAAGTAAACGATAAATAAAATAGTGTTTTAACTAAATTTTATGGATTCTTCTTTACAACATTCCATTTGTCAGCAAAATTTTGTTTCCTATTTTTCAGGAATAACATACACATTTGATTTTTAATTTCGAACGCAACGACTGATGAACTAATACATTTGTAGATGCAAAAAATTAATTTTATTTGTCTTAAATTTGCAACAATAATCTTGTCTATTTTTGAAAATGTTATAATCTGCAGTTACTTTTTTTATGCTTTTACAAAACGCGTACATACATACTACGTACAAGTTATACATTACTTATATTATAAGTTGAAATACATCTTTCAAAAAAAAAAAAAAGTAATAGTGTACATACGGTTTCATCTTGAAAAACAATTTGTGTTTTATATTGTTTATTGAACTTTACAATTTTTGGTCTTGAATTTTTTGCTAAAAATGCGTTTATAACAAGCAATTGCGTTATTTATAAAACTGGGTTTATTTTAACAAAAAAACTTTGAAAATGGTTTTAATCCATTGGTTTTTTATTATTTTCTAAATTTTATTAAAATAGATTATTCATAAACATCCTCCTTATCTGCTATGTATCGTATAATATCCTTAGGCTTAAGTAGCCTTTCGGCGTCACTATCAGGAATTTCAAAACCAAATTCGTCTTCCATTGCCATAATGACTTCAACGTGATCTAAAGAATCTAAGCCCAAATCATTCATGAAATGAGAGTCCTCTGAAAGCTTTTAAAAAATTTTTGCCATATTATATTTAAACTTTTTAAACAGCAGAAATATTTTTAAAATTTGAATTATTGTAGTAAAATTTCTAAAAATTGATAATCAATCGATACGTTTGATTAATTTTTTGCTTGTAACATTAAACTGTTCGAGAATTTTTTTTTATAAATTAAAGTATGTAATGAATTATTGATTTATTTTTAAATCGGTCCCATTTTTATGATTCAACAATCTCAATAAACAAAAATTCGCATTTCAAATTAAGTAAAGAAGTGTATTTAATATAGAACTGGATAAATTTTGTAATTTTACAATAATTCAATTTTAAAATTCATTTTTTGAGTAAAAGAAATTTTTTCTTTAGTCTTTACCTTTGTGGGTTCAATTTTGTCGTATAGTTTCAATACTAGAAATACCCGCTCTTTAATTAATTTTAAGTTAAGTGGTGGTTTAGCTGAATAGTTACGTATCGATTGCATCTCAAATTTTGATTTTTCCTTTAAATAAAATTATAAATTATTTTTTCAATTGGAAATTACCTTATCGGCAGTAATTTTATCGTATGCTGCAATTACTTTAAGTACTCGTTCACGGATTTCCGATATCATTGGTTTTGTAGAATATTTTTTTGAAACATTGTTTTTGAACTTGTTCTTTTGAAAAATTTAGAGACATAAAATATATATTTTAAAGATGCAAATATGGTTTTAATCAATGATTTTGTTCTCAGATTTGCAGATAGATACATATGTATGTATATAATGTATTTAGGTTGTTTGAAATTTTTCAGTTCAAACAAAATTGAGGTTATTTTAAAAAGAGCATAAAGTAAATTATAGCTATACAAAGTTGTTAATTTTAAGTGGTAAATACCAAAATGATAATAATATATTAACGTTAACTTACATTGAACAGGCCAACAAAATTAGTAGTGGATGTATTTCTAGATAACATGTGTGACTGTGAACCAATGATTGATCGTAGAGCAAGCCTTTTGTAGACTGTAGATGCCGCAAATCGTCCTACATTTCGTCCAACTTGTGTAAAAGACATTTTTGCTACCTAAAGTTTTATTTTAAAATCAAATAATTCTGCAATTCCTTTTTTTTTTAATCTTTTACCAAAGTCTTCTTTTGAAATGAAATGTTATGTAAAAACCCTGGACATTAAATTAGACTTTTGACAGTTAGTTTGACATTGACATTAGTGATGGACATGTACAGAATGCGCCTCGAAATTGATTCTCCAAGATCGATTTTCGCTTTTAGAACAAAAAAATTGATATTTCCACTACTCTTTTGTTGGTTGAAAAATCCAATAGACAACATTTGCTGCGTTTATATGCAATTGAAATTTCAAATCAACATTGATCCACTATATAAACGAATTAATAGATGCAGAATTTTTTTCCATCATTTTGTTACTTACTTTCTTGTTTTCTATCTCCTTGTTTTTTTGGGCTCTTTCATAGTCAAGGTGGATGCATTTGTTTGTCGTTTTTAACCCAAGGCTCGAGGCTTTTAAGCTGAGCGCTTTTTTATTACATTTGACACTTTTTAGATAAAATTTTAATTTCTAAATTTAAGTAAATCTCCGCCCAACTTGAATTTGATTCAACTTCTTTAGGGGAAAAAAACTACATTTGTCTATCGGGCCTATCTACAAATAGGGCCTAATCGTTTATCTCGCTATTTTATTTGGAAAGTAAGAAGATAGTGAGTAACAATCATATATTTGTATAATGTAATTTTCGAATAAGAATTATTTGATATTGGATATCTCGTTCTTTTTTAAAATGTATACAAAATTTATTAAACATAAGCAGAACATACATAGAGAAGAACATATTATGTTTTGACAGCCTTCTGATTAGTGTTTTTGAAACACTTAATATCTGTCTGTCTGATGTAAGCAAATTTTTAAAAACTTTATAAGACTTGAAAAATTTTTTAAAAATTTTGCATGCAAAGCGTCTGGGGTGATACTTTTTGGACGAAAATGAGAGAAAATTATGATGTTTTCACTTTCTCAATGTTTAAAGTTTTTTCAAAGGTTGTAAAGTAAAATTTAGTGTTTTAAAAACTTTTAAAAATCTTACAGCTGTCGAAACAATAACATTTTTTCCAAAACTTGTCAATTAAAAATAAAATAAAATAACCTAAACAGGCTCACAAAAGGTTTTTTCTAAGTTTCACTCTTTTATAATCCAAAATCAAAAATTTCGGTTTTTGGGATAACCAAAAAATATTTGTTTATGTTTGATAAACATATTTATAAAGTTTTTAAGTTTTCCCGTTTAGTTTATTTTTTTACTTGAGAACTTTTTTTCCTTTTGCGAGAAATTACGTTATTGTTTCTCTTTTTAAAGTTTTCGCAAGATTTATACCAAGACCGATTATTTCCTTGGATCATTAAGTTATAACAATGGAACGAATTTTTATTTTTGTATGTAGCCATTTTGTCTTGTCAAATTTTGATACTAAACATAGGTTCTTTAATTTGAAATTTTTAGTTGAAAATTGAAATACGAAAAAATCTAAAATTTTATATGCGATAAAGTCTGATGATTTTTTACATATTAGAGTAAAATTATCTGACGGTGTTCAGTAGTTTAATAATTTTGTTAATGATGGCGTTTAGTAATTTAATAATTTCGAAATAAAATCAGGTGATCCTCAAAACTTCCACAAAAAATTGATTGTTCCTATTTACTTTTTAAGTAATCTGACAGTAAGTCTGATGAGAATAAAGCTTGACATAACAAAAATATCAAATCATTTATTTGCAATATTTAATTGGAAAAAATAGGGTATCTTCGGAATTGTATCTACGACACTTCATACACATTCTTTTAATCAACAAAAAAATTTGACGATGTGTTATGTTCCGAATTGATTTGATGTTGGGTCTGCTACTTGTTAACACTGAAATATTTGTCAAATTGTGTATCTAAAATGCTTTCGATACATATAGTTGTAAGTAGAAATTTTTAAATTAAAATAAAGAGAATCAAAATGTTTTCTTATTAAAGTAAACAATGGAATGAAATAATAAAATGCATCAAGATTTTTTAGTTTTCAAATGTAAAATAATACAATGTGTTTAAAAAAGGATACATTGTATTAGAATTTAAATTGAAATTTTTTTTTTTTTTTCGATCTTGACAAAATCGTACAACTTTCATTTGATTATTCCAAACAAAACCATATATGTACATAATTAGTAAAATTATTAATATTAAGTGTACACTTTCTGAAATTTGTAAAAACACATGAAAATTAACTCGATATTTCGAAGAAAATATGTCTGTTTTTTGAAGTATAGAATGTAATGAAATTTTGAAAAATGAGACTATGTTCACTTTTCAAAATTTCATAGTGGAAGGCTTTTTTGAAATACAAATGTTATTATAACATAAAATTATAGAAATGTTAGAACTAATAATATAGAAAAGGTTTGAATTTTAACCTATTGTAATTAAAAATTTGAAAAAAGTGATGTTATGGGAAATTTATGATGTTAAAACATGATTTTTATATCTTCCATAAGAAAAATATGTATTTATTTCTTAACATAAAATATCTCTTTATTCGTCTCAGTCATGATAAGAATACATACGTGTTAATTCCTCAGCTGTTAAATCTCTTCCTGCTCGGCCTGTATTTTCAGCTGTGGAATATAATAATTTCTGTTATTTAGTCCGTCAGACAAAATCTGAAGTCAAAAATGGATTACATGGGTTTACATGGATTTAGATGTTAGACTTTTATCAGATTTAGATTAAATCGTTGATTTTGTTGTATATGTAAATAGTAACTAATTGATAATAGCAAATTATATTTCACAATTAATAAACATGAATTGGTGAGGAGATTCCTCAAATCCTTAAGGTTTCATTTTATATAAAGTGTGACATATCGAAAAGAAAATCAACTTTACTCATCCCTTATATCTTTATCTGATATTTTTTCCAAAAAAAAAAAAAACAAAAGTCGAAATCAAAAACTAGTGTAAAATATATTTTTGTGGTGACAGCAGCTGCTGCTTCTCAGTGGTGAGAACTTCTTTATTTTTATTTTTTTTTTTGTAAGTGTTTATTGTTTTCGGTGAAAAAAAAAAATAATTAAAATCAGTGTTTACAAATAATAAAGATTGCAAAAAATAAAACAAAACTTTTTTTTACACTGATAATTTTTGGAAAAATATTTCAGAATTCAGGTATTAATTTTTATGTTTTTATGATATAAGTGGGGGCCCAAAAATTTTTTTTAGAATGGCCGAAGGCTTTTTATTAAAAATTTTATATATAAGTAGATACATATATTAAAAGTTCAAGTTGCCAATTTTGTCGAATTTTCTCTGTACTGTACGTCACAAGAAAAAAAAAAACAGTTTAAAATATATTTTTGAGCAAAGTATTTAATTGTCTAAATATTTAGATGCATAAACAATATGGCTGGTTAGTTTTATTAATATTAGAATTATGCCATTTTTGTTGTTTTATGAACAAGGTCTGTAGAGAAATATAATGAAATCATATTACAAGTACTCAGGTCTTCGTAGTAGAAAGCAATGATGGTGACGACGAATTATTTAAGCATAATATTTTTATATATATATATATATATATACAATTGTTTATACGTATGGGTTGCTTAAGCAGGTCTATTTTAACAGTGTATGTGAGGAGTTATATGGGATTGGGACTGCGTAAGTTTTGTTTTAACAGCAATGTATTGCTCGCATTTAATTTTAATACTATATACATATATATTTACTAAGTAATACTTATTATACACATTGTTATAGCTAAGACAGAAAAACACCGTATTTTTTCTTTTGTAATTTTTTTTTAGTTTTTTGTGAATTTGAAGAGCACTGTTTCAATATGATTTTTTTTTTTTTTTTGTCAGATGGATTAAGCTTTATGTAGTGAAGTGATGAGAAGGTTTTACGTAAGATGGGCCTGAGTTTTTTTAACTGGTTTTTAAATTATTTCTGTAAAGTCGCTATGACATGCGTAACCTGCTAAAGTGAAGTTTCTTTTTTTCACTAAATAAAATGGTGTTTCATACCGTTACAATATGCATTATTATACCAATATTTTTAAAAAACTGTAGGTTGACTTTTAGAAAAAAAAAAATAAAATGCAACTAGTTCTTGCTAAAAAAAATAATTGCATTCAAAAATTATTAGATACGCCTAACTTTTCTTTCTATTCAATATAATTATGTATCAACTACGTATATATATATGTATACGTTTTTGAGATTATCTATCTTCTAATATAAAAAAAATTTTTTTGGGACCAAATTTATGTTTCTTTTATAATTTATAGAACTTTTTCAGAGTTATAAAAATGATTATTATATTGATTAAGAAAATAATTCCAACTCTAAAAATTTCATTTTTAGATGGAGAATATGAATGACATAATGGAAGATGATGGTTATGCTGGTTATGAAGCAGATCCTTTGGATGATAATTTTCAAGTTAAATGCGGCCAAATTCTTGTTTCAGCTACTCAAAAATTTTCCTTGCGTTGTGCAGGATGTGATTTGGAATACGATAGTTTTAAAGATTTTATAAATCACTGTATAGAAATGCATTCATTTACAGATTTTGAAGTTGATACAAAAAACAATGCAACAGGTCGCAAATCAGTTTTTGAATTAAATGAGGATTCTAATATGAGTAGTTTAATCACGATGGGCCCGCCAGCTTGTGGCAACTTAGATATAAGTAATGGTAGCTCTCAGAATTTCTCTGAAAAAGGAAACAGGAGTTTCAAAGATCAAAATCAAGATAGCGATATTTGTATGGAAAGTGCAAAACCAAGAAAACCACTTATAACTTTAAAACCAATTGAGTCATTACAAAAGAAAACCTTCAGTAAAAGTGAGGATGATTTTCGATCACCACGTAAAAGGGTTTATCAACAATCAGAATGTCGTTTCCAATGTAAATATTGCGACAAAAGTTATCCATATTCAAGTTCGTTAAGTAAACACAGAAATTTATTTCATAATGAAATAAAAAAGTATCAATGTTCATTTTGTGATAATCGTTTCACAGATGAAATATATTTAATACGACATCAGAAAGCGCGCCATAAAAATGCTTTGCAACCGTATGCAGAAGACCCAATAATATTATTAGAGGATTTTGGTGATAATTTAGGAGATAATAAAAACAATACCGATAATTCTAAATATCCCTCGGTTAAAAATGAACCAATGGAAAATTATATTGCCAACGATGATCATAATATGCAAAAACACATTAAAAATAATGGTAATCATAACGATAGCGAAATTAAGTCAAAAAACAATACTTCATTTAGAAAAGATAAAATTATCTATTCAAAATCAAATTTTCAAGTTCAAAATAATATAAGTGGTCAATCTAGTAAAAGCCCTAAGATGCCAAAAGTGATTTATAAATGTACAATGTGTCCAGAAAGTGAAAATATTACATTTCGATCAAAAAAAGAATGGCAGGCACATGAAAATCATGCCCATCTTCAGCCTGAAAAATTCCGTTGTCAAATATGTAACGTTGGCTATCCCTCAAAAAAACTGTTCCAGGATCATGAACAAGAAAAACATCAGGATCAGAGACCTTACAAATGTCCAATATGCTTCTTTGCTTTTAAAGAACGTAAGCACTTGATGCGACACGAAAAGGTGCATACAGGTGAAAAACCTTTTAAATGCCCATTTTGTGCAGAACAGTTCACAAGAAAAGACGCACTCAAAACACATCATTCAAAAGAGCATCCTGATATGCCAATTGATCATATTAAATAATAGAAAATTTAAACTTATGTATTTAATATTTAAATTATTGTTTTTTGTTTTTTTTTTTTATTTTATTGAGAAAAAATTGAATGCAGGTTATATTTGAATTTCAAAAATATCTACTTGTATTTCTTTAATCTTTAAACGCGTATAGCATATGCTTTATCTATAAAATGAAAATTCCAATTTTAGAAGATAAAGATTTTTTTTTAATAAGTTTTAATTTAAAAAATAAACAAGTATTTAATTATATTATATAAATAATATTAAGTGAAAATAAAAATCAAAAGAATGGCGTTAAATTCCCGTATTATATTCAAGTGTAAAGTAAACGAAAATTAACTCAAATGTTTTATACCACAAAAATTATGACTTTCACCATATAGATGGTTTTACTTTATTTTGTTTTTTTTTTATTTTGAATTAAATTTGAAAATAACAAACATGAAACCAAACCATATTATTATCTTAAAATCTTTTTAAGTTTTCATAGCCCATTCTAAAAATTAAATGAAAAAATCGATAAATAATATAAGTATAAATGAAATTTTATTGTATCTAGCATAGTTTTAATTTAAAACAAAACAAAAATCATTTGAAAATTTTTATCGGTTATAATACAGGGTATTTCAATTGAGTAGTTATTAAATTTCAATAATATACTTTACATATATATTAACATAAAATATACTTAATTTGAAAGTAAATATTACGTAAATTTGCAAAACACACAAAGGTGTATTAATTTAATAACCAATAAGTTATAAATAAAAAAATTTTTGCATACAACAAAATATTCAAATTACTATTTTTTTTAACTTTGGATTTTGTAATTTACTATCGTGGGCAAAAATTTGAATGACTAAAAAATATCTTGTGTATAATATGTTGTGTAGAAACTAAACTTCACAATTAAATTCTTATTATGATAAAAAAAAATAAATTAACAAAAGTTAAATATAATTTGACATAAATAAGATAATAAAAAAATTAAATTTTAGCATATGACCAAAGTTATTTTAAAATTATCTAAAATCGGAATTATTTATATCAAAATAGTAAAAGAATTGTTAAATAAAAATTTCAAAATTATATTGACCTTTTTAAGGTTTTTTGTTATGTAATATTTTACGTACTAACTCTTTTAATTCCCTATTTTTAATTTCTATAGGAGTAACTTCATTTTGTATTTGTATAAAATTTCAAAAAATTAAGAAAATCCCGGCGTAACAGTAGCATATAAATATATATATTTGGGAGAAAAAATTAATTTATTTTTGATGACTTTAATGAAAAAATAACTAGTTGTGAGGTAAATAAATTTAATGTTTTTTTTTTTTTGCAAAATTCATGTGACAAAAATTTTTTCAGATTAAATACATATTACATACATAGTGTGTACGTACACATATATACGTATTATAAATATAAATTCTTTTATTATATATTTATATAATATATTCTACATATTAAAAATTGAAGAAACTTATTTTGTATATTTATATAAAGTATTAAGTTTTAAGTTCAAAATGAAAAGAAAAAACAAGAAAAAAAAAACAATTAATTTAAAAGAGAAATTTGTTAATTATTGTACTTAGCATCGAAGAAAAAAAATTAAATATTTAAATTTATAAAAAATAAAAGATAACAATTGAAAATTTTTATCATCGTAATTATAGAAAGCAAAACAAAAAAAAAAAAGAAAACAAATTAGAAAAATTAAAATAAAATATTTTCATAGATATTAGATATTATGATAAAAAAAATTATATAATTATTTAGAATAACACTAAAAAGTTATAAAAATTATTTGTATTCTCAAAAATTTTCATAATAATTTGTAAAAAAATGAATAGTTTATAGAATTAACTATTTGATAATAGAGGTAATGTGGGTGTTTAAAATTGTTTAAATTATTTCAAAGTTTTTTTTTTTCTTTAAATATAAATAAATTTAGTTAGGTGTGTAAAACTCTAAAACTTGATCTTTTATTTATTATTAAAATACATATATTAAATGTCGAAATTCTAATAATTATTTTAACTATGAATAAGACATTCTAATAATTATTTTGACAAAATGTATGAACGCAGGTGAAAAAATATAGTGAGCGCTTGTAATAAATGTGATTGATACACAAAAATTGAGACGGTCGAACAAACAACCAATTTTAATATCTCATTTGTAAAATTAATTTTTTACGATGTTCAAATTCAGTTTAATAAATTTGAGCTGCAAATTTGAAAATTAGTCATCTTTTTTATTATCATATTTGTATTTATGCACCAAAAAAATTGCACAACTTAACAATATTACAATTATGTAACTTATTTTATTTTATTTTCAATTTACATATTTTGACTTACAGAAAACTAAAATTTACATTAAATCCAAAAAAAAAAAGACAATGATTGTAGAAAAAAAAAACAATACCAAAAATTACAGATATTCTAAAATTACAATATACATACATGTATTATTATTAATTATCTTGGAATCATGTAGACAAATAATCAATTATCTATGAAAACAAGAGTTTTTTAATCGTGTCCTTTGTTAGTGTGAAATCAAGTGTGTTCACAGATTGAACTTGTTACACAGATTCAACATTCTTCTGACAGGTTCGTGTTTACCATAATTACTTTTATGAAACGGAACTACAAAAAAATCAGGAGAACGAGACCTAACATTAGCATTGACGACGATCTTCTTGAAAATATCGGGATAGATTAAATCAGACATCATAAGTTTAAATGAATATCACAATAAGTTGCTTAAAGTGGGTAAGTCAATCAATTTGGGTTTGTTCTTATAAATGGGGAAAAAATGGGATCCTCTCAAGGAAGGTGACGAAGCGCAAATCGTAAAATACTCTTCTGAATCGACTCAATCATATTAATGTGAATATTGTTAGACGACCAAACTTGTGAGGCATATTCTAGATGGGGACAAACCAGAAACGAATACAGGCACTTTAAAATATAGGGGCCATTAAACTCTCTTTATCAGCGTTTAACAAATCCCAAGAAAGAGCTTGCCTTGCCAATCATATAGTTGTAGTGATTAGTGAATCATAGCTTATTATCAAAGTAAACCCCCAGGTCCATAATTGAATCATTTCTACTAAGAACTTGACAATTTAATGTATAGTGTACCACATGTAAAAGTTATCCAGATCACCCTGTAAAGAAAGTGTTGTTTACAAAATGAATCCTCCTGAAAATGTTCATATCATCAGCATAAATTAATACTCCGGAGAACTCACGTGACTGCCTCGGGGAACTCCAGAAATAGCCGCAAGCGGGGATGACACCGATGAACGAAAAAGAACCCTGTATTTCCTTACAGGAAGATAAGAGCTAAGCTATTACAAAATTATTGGAAAATCCAGATAACCTTAACTTTAAAAGAATTACGTCGTGGGGTAAAATATATCAGACATCCATTGCTTAGATCAAGCATTAAGTTTATCACTAATAGACGCAAATGAAAATATTATTTAGTCTGTACTAAGCAATTACCAGTTACCAAGCAACAGCGTTATCATTTACAGAAAAGGGAGGGAAAATGAGAGGAATATATAGGTTAAAAGAGGGAAGAGAAAAAGGGCCAGTAAAATAAAATAACGAGCACAACTTAAAAATAATAAATAACAAAAAATATTAAGACTAACAACATACCAAACACCAGGCAGGCAGAAAAGAGAGAAAAACAAAATAGATAATATAGATAAATAAAGGCGAGAAAGAAAGGCAAGAACCTAAAAAACAAAAATACTACAAATTTAAATTACACAAAAGTCTAGATCTAAGAGTATTCTTACTAATAGCAGGATCAAATATCAAAGAATAAGAATTAAGAGAACGCAACGTTCTAGTGACCGGCTCTTACCATAATCAGTAGAGTAATAGCAAGCATTGTACAACTCAACAGATTTAAGATTCCTTACTTTATACCTAAGAGAAACCTTACCCAACAAAGGATGGCCCCAATGGTCCCCGACACTAGTTAACGGATAAACGCTATGTCAACGACAACCTTGCTTAGCTTCATGCAACGGCAATCTCAAAGGTAAAAATTTCTTCTGAACAGATTTAATGCGAGAAATATTCACAAGACGAAAGGGCGCCCAAACCTCAACAATTAGCCTAACAAATGACACATACAAATGCTTCGCAACATGCGGATCAATAAACTTCCTAGCCCACCTATTTACACAACCCTACCAAGGATCATATTCAAATGAGCACCAAAATCAAGCCTGTGATCAAACATAACCCCAAGATCATGAAAAGTGCTCACTCTCCCCAATACCACCCCGTTAAGGCAATAATCATGCCGGACAACAGAAGACTCTCTCGTCCGTGAAAAGCTTAAGACTCGATACTTGTGAACGTTAAGTTTCAAGCCGTTCACCCGATACCAATCCCAAAAACTATCCAAATCACTCTGTAACTCCAGACAACCGACCGAACCGTCATCACACCTTGGAGTCATCTGAAAAACGCCAAAGGCTTTGCTAAAGTCAGTGTAAATCAGCAACTTAAATTTTTATCTGTGGAAAAATGATCAATTTGCGATTGTTATCAGTTTGCAATATTAAAATATTGATTTAAAAAGAAATTTTCAGTACATACATATATAATTTTCATATAATTTCACATATAATCTTGACATATCTTTACTGGGCAGCAAGAATGAAGATGATTTAAATCAAAAATTTTAACTCCATTAGAAAACAACATATATAATTTCAGTGCACAATTACAGCAGTATTGTAAACCAAGTCCACATTTTTGTTATGCTAAGATTAATCAATATTTATACCTAGGAAAATATAAAAATAAGAAGACAAGCTTTAAATTTATTATAATCATTATATTTTAAAAATAAGAATAAGGAAAAATATTTCAATTACATCGATTTAATTAAAATTAATTTCTTTTTATTAATGTCATTATAATTATTTTTATTACTTATTTTTTTGTGTATGAATCGATTAGCTATTTGTATAAAATATGTTTTTTAATTTAAAAAATTAGAATTTAATACATGTAGAAAAAATTTAATTGAAAATCAAATACAAAATAGTGTAATCAATTTAATGAAATGAATTACTATTTGTTTTTGACTTCAGAATTTCCGTTTCTATTTTTGAGCGATGTTGTATGAGCTTAAAAAAAAATATATATGAAAACATGTACTTAAATTAATTGCAAGCGATAAATTTTCAGAATAAGTTTTATAATTTTATTCTTTTTTTTTTCAAGTTTTATAATGATAGTCAAAGACATGATAATGAAAATTTTAAATTATAAATTTTTATTATTAATATTTGTGACTTATATACTGAATAATGATTAAATATTTATATTTAGTCGCATTTCTTAGAAAAAAATGTACGAAAAAACAAAGAAAATCGAAAAAATTAAATTATAATTAAATAATTTGGTTTTTATGTTATAATTTATTTAACTTATTTTTATATAATTTATATTTTTTTTAAGTTTTTGATATAGCAATAATTGCAAGGTAAAATTAACTAAGAAACTTTTAAAACAAAAAATAAATAATGACATTTTTTTTCTTAAATTGTTAATACATACCTTGTAAAATAAACGCTGATCTAAAAATGACAAAATAACATTTATGTTAATCATTAAATATTTGTTTTTTTTTTTGTAAATAAATTTAATTGTCGCAATATAATGTGTTTGAATAAATTTCTATTTTTTTTTCTTATTGCACAATTTAGAATTATGATTAGATTGTTTATAAAATTCATTTTTATCATTCGAATCAATGACAAGTATGGTGTTTATATTAAACAATTAAAGCAAATTATGATTTTTGTTTTTATATTTTAGATGATTTATAATTTAATGATTTATTAATGCAATTAATCGCTTTGATCGGATGTAAAAATATATTACTTAATTTTAGAAATAAACTAAAAAAAAATTGTTATAATTAATAATATTGGAGAATCAATACTTAAATATAGATACAAAGGTTATGTTTAATGAATTAGCTTAATTTAAAATAATAAATAATATTAATCAAATAATAAAATTTGATAAAATTAAGTTCAAAAATTTTACATTTATTTTAATTTTCCTTGTTGTTTATCAGTTTTTAATTATTAATAAATAATTTATATTACGTCAGTTTCTTTTTTCAAGTTTTGTAAACATACTAATTAAATATCCAGGTTTTCTTTCATATTTATATCTTTTTTTCATATTTATTTGTTCTTTTATAACATTAAAACATATATGTTATGTGTAGTTTCGTTTTTTTATATATGAAGGATTCATTGTGCATACATTCTGAAAAGTAAATGAATGATTATTTTCTGTATGAGTATAAAATAACATTTTGTGATTTAATAAAATTTCATCATACACTGTTTTTGCATATAATTAATTAAATTTATGCACAATATTATGTAATATAAATATACATATTAATTTTCTTTAATATATCTTATTTACCATTATAATTAAAGAATAAGAGCTTTAACACTAAAATTTAAGGTAGAAATATATTTAATAGAAATGTTATCACTTTATAAAAATGGGAAACAGGATTTAAAATGGTTAAATAAAAATTTTAATAATAAAAAAATTAATTATAAAATTATATTTTATGTAATGTTACAATTTATTGTTATTTTAATTCTTTTAATGTACAATTTTGAATTTTTTTCCGCATTTCCCGGATTATTACTTACGAAAAATATGAGATTATTAAATTTATACTTATATTTTTCTTGTTTTCGTATAAATGTTCAAGTTTATATTACGATCAATTAGATATAAAAAAAAAATTATTTTTTTTCTGTTTGGTTTTTTTTCAAATAAGAGTACAAGTGTAAATAAATATAATACGTTTGAATTTATGTGCAGAAATTTTGATTTTAATTTATTATCTTTATCTTTTATTTATAGATAAATTTACTTACAATTTTTCTTTTTAGAATGAATTGATTTTGGTTCTATTCGTTTTTATTTTATCAATGATAATTTTGTTTTTACAATTCTCTTTTTGATTTTACATATTTATGTATGCAATTCATGTGCTTTAAATTAATCAAATATGTTTTAAAATTTCATAACATATATGTACATATGTGTATAACAAATTATTATAATTTTATATAATTATATGAATGAAATTTTTTATAAAAAGTCCAAATAAAAAATATTATATAATTTCGACATACAATTTATAAGGCATTTAGAATTTTGCTTATGTTTTTGTTAATTTTGCATTCGATTTGGAATAGAAATTGAGCAACTCATATTAGCTATCAACGGAATATTAAATTTTCAACTGAATGAAATAAGTAGAATTAAAAAAAGCAAAACAAAAATCAAGAACGATGTTAAAATAAATTATCAATTAATAAAGATCTTTTTAAGTGTTACTTAGTTACATTATTTAAAATTATGTTATTTGATTTTAAAACAATCTTTTTTGCTTTCTTTCAATGCATTTTATATAAAACCAAATATGTAATCATTATTAAAAAGTAATGCAATAGTTTTTTTTGTGTTCAAATTGTATATATTGTTAAGTTATACAAGCATATAAATGGTATTGAATTAATATGTACAATTATGATACTTTGTGATTTTGAGTTAAGATAGTAAAAAAAATAATTCTTTTAAATTAGGATAATTATCGAAAATTAACCAAAATCTGAAGTTTTTCTAATAAATAATAAATTTAATATTTATGATAACAACGACAATAGAACACAATAGAAAAAATATATTACATAATATATTGTAATATATTTTTTGTCAGAATAGCATATAAACTGTTATACATTGTGAATGCAAAAGTTGAATTTTGCTTTAGTATGCTATCGGGTTTCTGCTCTTTACTGGGAGTACAATAACTATCTTTGAAATAGTTATAATCTTTTTTATTTAAAATTAAATTGTTTCTGTGTTACCTTGCAGTGAAAAACTAAACATTCAAAACTATTATTTCTTACTGATATTCACAAATACTGCTTTTTTTAATTATTTATTTAGATTGACTTTAACTGATGCAATATATTTTTGTTGCAAAATTGCTGTTCTATTATGAAAACATTTTTTGTAGAAATGCAGAATTTATGCCTATTATATAATTTTTGATATTTTCAAAGTATATTTATATACATTTTTATTAATATTGATGCATGTTTCTGTTGTTAATTCCTTTTTTAGATATTAAACTTATTTAATAATATTTTACTATACATATTTCAATATGTTATTAATTACATACAATTCAAATATTCTAAATCTTTCAATATACATACGTATGCAACAAATTGATACCATATGTATGTATTTCCGCAAAAATTGAACTGAAATTCAGAAAAATTAATTTTTTGAAGAAAGTAGAAAGAATTTATGTTAAATGTTTAAATGAATGCTGTTCATGTATGTAATTTTTTGTGTACATTGGAGTATCTACTGATTAAGCCACCATTGAATTTAATTATGTTTAATTTTCTTTACTTTTTTTATGTTTGCTAAATTACTGTTAGTATAAAACAGATTAACAGAACAAATTAATATTTATACATATCTTCATAATAACAGTTATGTACTTATTAATTTATCATTTTTAAGATATTAGTGTATTTAAAAATATTTGAAGCAAATTTTACAATACACGTTACTTTTCGTTTAATTCTTTTTTTCTTTTTTGCCTTCTTTGTTTTTTAAGTCAATTTCCAACAACTCAAGATGTAAAGCTCGTTCGTGTTTTAAACGGTAAGCAGCTCTTGAAAAATGTTCATCACAATAATGGCATTTTATTGGTTTTTCACCTGTATGACATCGGGTATGATCAACAAGTCGGCTTTTAGTTTTAAAAGCGGAGGGGCAGTATTCACATTTATATTCTCTCTCCTCATTATGTACTGTTAACATATGTGCTTTTAAGCGTGATTTAGATATGAAAACTCTGTTGCATATTTCGCAGGAGAAGTTTTTTTCAGATCTTTCGTGGGCTGCTTTATGTTCAAAGAGCTCTTCATCTGTTTTAAAATTGCATGGACAAATGGGACATTGATGAGGCCTCAAAGCATGACATTCATTATGCTTGCGAAATTTCGTCCATGAATCATAAACTCGTTGACAAAGTGTGCACTTGAAATTTTTGTTTTCACAGCACATATCAAAATCTCCTTCTAAATTTAAAATTTCAGAATCAGTTGGTCTTTGACCACGTGATTTGCCACCACTGTTACGTTTTTTCTTTCCAGAAGAGCTTTGTATAAGTGTAGCGTTATTATTGGATTCTGAAAATGCAGTTGCTTCTGATGAACTAGTTGGCTGTGATGAAGAAGTAAGTTCTAGGATTGTGGTTGCTTCGGACAACGGCATTGAATCTGAGTATGTTAATGGCTCTAGGGATGCACTATCCGACATTATTGACTTGGTCGACATATTTAAATCAGTGAACATCATATTTTGATCAGTTTTTGTTGATAAAAAGGCTGTTGTTGAGTCAAATGTTGAAAAATTCGTTAATTCCGATTGTGAATTGTGTTCTGTTTGACTTGAGTTGTCATCTAGCATTGTAAAGCTTTCTAAATGCATGTTTGAGTCTGAAATTCTAGGTTTCTTTGATTGCTGCGTAATTTGCGATGTATCCATATTGGTAACAGCATAATCAGAAGAAGCCGATGACGTGTTTAACGTCGCAGAAGAGTTATTACATTGAGTTGTGATTAATTGCGCTTCAAACGTTGATGTTGTTGACGAAGATGCTAAATCTCCGAGTATTGTATGGTCATGGTGTAAGATACTAGTTGACTGATCGTAAGGTGAAGTAAGATCAGTTAAGTTTGCAGTATGCATAGGAACTACTGATGGTTCAGTGAAAGCAGTTAACTCACATAATGCCGAAGGTTCCAAAAGTGTTAAGGATAATTTTGTCGCTTCTGATATTGTTGATGGTTCAAGAGATGTTAATTCCATCGCCGAGTTCGTTACCTGCAATTGCGATTGTTGCTGAGACTGAAGAACACTTGTATCATTACTGGAGTGATGAAAAACTGCTGTTGGTTGAAGGGGGGTTAAAGGAGTCAAACTTGATAGAGATGTAAGCGTTGTTAGTGGTGTGAGTTCTGTTGTCATTTGTTGATCATCATCGTTTGGGCTTTCTATTACCTCGACAGGTTGAATAGCGGTTAAACCAGACGAAGCTGATGTAAGAGCCTCTGTTATTTGAGTGTAACTGAGATTATGCTCTGTAAAATATAGAAATTTTAATACATGCTTCTTAATATAGTTTAATAAAAAATTGTAATAATAAAACTACATATATTTAAATAAATTTATGTACAAGCTACGAGCTTCAAAAATTTTGTTATTGACACTCTACTCATAAAATTGATTAGTTTCAGCAGGTAAATATATTATTTGCAGAACAAATATTACATTATATATGTTATTAACTGCCAATAAATTTGTTCGAAACGAGATATGTTTAATCCTCTGAAAGTTTTTTCTTTCTAAACTAAAATAAACTATTACTATTATTGACAGAAAGTCTATAATAATATATTAATATATATTTAGTGCTTAATTTTAGGGATTGCTGAAAAGTAACGATCATTACTTTTTTAAGACAATCAGATGTAGGTTTGAGATGTTTGTTTTTTCGTTATCATTACCTGGAATATCTGGAGGTTCAGAAACTTCAATCAATTCCACGGAACTACTAGAATCTTCATCGTATGCTTTAGTTTTGAGCTTGGGTTGTTTCTTTGGTTTTTTCTTTATCTTAGGAACAGAAATTTTCTTTGCTTTTATTTTTTGCTGTTGAGATTGACTGTTGGTATTGTTATTATTGCTGTTGGATCTTCCACTATTTATGATCGGCTTTAAAATTTTTTCTGACCTTTGGGGATTAAAAGCACTTTCTAGCATTTCAATTCGAGACGAATCATTTGGATCCAAATGCATTTTTGAGTGTTCTTTTAAATATTTTGAGCTTATAAATCTCAGATAGCAGTGATCGCATTTGATACTGTTATTTTTTTTCGCATTTTGTGAATTCAAGAATAACGTTGAATCGTTATTTCCTACTGTCGTATTTGTTTCCACTTCGTTTTCCGTTTTCATTTTCATATCAGCATTGTCAATTTTTGAAACTTCAAAAGAATCACTGTTTCCATTAGTATTTGACATAGCATGATTGTTTTTCAAATCTTCCTTTTTCGGTTCATCTAATGTTTCTTCATTGCCATGTGCCTTGTTCAAATGATTGTTCAAATATGCTAATATTGCGTAAGAATTACCACAAAGTTCACACTTGAAAGGCCGGTCTAAATGTGTTTTTTCAACTCGGATAAACTTTTTTCCCGTTAAATGAACTTTACTGTGTTCTTGTAAATCTTTTTCGTTACGAAATTCCATTTTGCAGTGTTCACATACAAATAATTTTACCTGATGAACTTTTTTTAAATGATTATTAAGATAAGTAACGATCGAAAAACGTTTATCACATTGTTCGCAAGTATACAATTTAAGTTTTGAAGTTTTTTGAGGATCTGGAGTTTGGGAATCAGCTGCAGCTGCTACAACAGATGATTGATGTAATTTTTGATGGATTTTTAGTATTGTAGGTGTTGAAAAATCTTTGAAGCATTGATCGCAACGATATTGTTTATCAACTGGTAAAAGATCATGCTCTTTCCTGTGTTCTGTGAGAAGATCTTCATTTAAAAATTCTCGTTTACAACGGTCACAATTAAATAAGAAATATCCATGAATTTTTTTCAAATGCGTATTTAAAAATGTTTCTACAACAAAAGCCTTATCGCAACCTAATTCAACACATTTAAATGGTCTTTCAGATTCATCGTGATTTTTTTTATGTTCATTGAGTTCATCTCTAAATGAGAATTCTGCTGGGCACATATTACATTTAAAGAACTTTGTTTCATGCTGTCGTCGGTGTTTATATAAAGTATGTTTGTTTTCAAATGTCTTTTCACACAAATTGCATTGTAATGTTTTCAAATGAATTTTTTCATGTTCCTCTAAATCATTTATTTTAGAAAATATAGCTGGACATGTGTTGCATTCATAAACAGGATGTTTGTACATATTGTGAGTTTTTAATAAAATTAAAGAAGAAAACGATTTTTTACAATTGTAGCAACGATATGATGTTTTTCTTTTGCACATTCCTAATTTCTTAATTACTAAGCGAGGATGAACGTAAATTGAACCTGTGAGAGATAACATTCCCAATAAATTTAAATTATTTTTATAGTTTTTAATACTTTGTTCATACTAATTTCACAAAAATGAAAATTTTTTATATTTTTTTTGATATAGATATGCAAATAAAAAGTATTTTCACTTAAAAAACAATAATTTTTTACTTTTATAAGAATAATAAAAAAAATTATGAATTTAATTAAAAATAAAGCACAAAATTGTACATTAACTAAAAGTAAAAAGAAACATAGGTGAGAAGAACAAAATCAACTTAACTTAATTAACTTACTACACGGGTTCGGCTTATTTAGTATATGTCACTTTCAATAATTTTCATTATAATTTTTCTTTTATCTGGACATATGTAATATTCAAAAAAGGTACTATTAAATGTTTATATATTTTTAAAGATTTTTTATAATTTTAATTTTCATAACTCACAAAATTATTTTTTATTTTGATTTCAGCAATCCCTTTCTGTATTTGGATAAGAATTAAACATTAATTTTAAAAAATGTATGTAAAAATAACAACTATATTAATATTGAAAATTGTAGATTTTTATAATTTTATTGGATATTTAAGTAAATGTCAGCAAATTTTTAGTTGTTCTTAACATAACTATCGTTGATGAACTTATTACTACGTATGTTATATTATGATTTTTGTTTTCCTTTACAAGGCCTGTGGTAAAACCTTATTACTTTTATGTAGTGTACGTACTTATGTATATAATTTTTTATTATACCTGAGCTGCAGCAAACAAAGAAAAAGTCCTTTTAATTCTTCGAAAGCAATAAACTAAGAAATTCATTCAAATGCCGATTTATTATTATCTTTTCGAATCATAGATTTCACAAAACCTTTTCAACATTCATATATAACATCTCAGATTTGAAAAACTTTATACATTCTGTATACATACACATGTTTGCACACTTTATCAGGTAGATGGTAAAATTAAATTGAAATAAGGAAGGTTAAATATATTCTAACAGTTTATAGTAACGTTTTAGTAAAAAATTAAGGTTAATATTTTTAGTAACAGATATTGGCGTGTATAAGAAAATTAACATTAGAAGCAAATCACTTAAATTTTGAAATGTATCTATACGGAAATATCTCACAAAAGGAATTTTTGAAAATTTGTGGCATCTTTTGAATCGTTAATTTGCGTTAGTAATACCACTTGCAATCAACCCGTGAAGTATTATAGTTAAAAATAAAAAAAAGTTCAAAATATTATAAGAATAAAGAGCATGCACTTTAAATAAAGTCTATTAAATCTAAAAGAAGAAAAAGAGAATTTTTCATAAAAAAAAAAATAAGTTCTTAAAAACAATCAGTGTTATTTACACAAAGATAAAATAATAATATTAATTTATTTTTAATATGACAATATTAATGTTGCAATATTAAAAATTTTATAATATCTACTGCTATATTAAAGTTTTTTATTTAAAAATTAAATCAATAAACTAAATGTAAAAGAGAAAATACACGGTTAACAAAAAATAACAATATACAAAATTAATTTATCACAAAATAAATTAAAAAAAAAACTAAAATTTAAATAACGTGTGGTATGAAAATATGTAATTGTCTTTGAAAATAAAATTAAGAATAATTAAAAACAGAGAAGATAGAATTTAAATAAATTTAGTTATTGATAAATTTATATTTTGTACCTTTATTATGATTTTTTCTTTCATGAATATCTTTTGTTAATTGCATTGTAAATTTCGATTTGCAAAATTTGCACCCAAATGATATTGGCATACCGTGACTTTTCATATGGTTATCTAGTGAAATTTGTGAAATTGTTTTTTTATTACAAATCGAACACTTAAATCCAGATTCATGTAAACGATAATGTTTGTCCAAATTTGTTTGGCAATCAAATTTTTTTTTACAATTTTCATATGAGCATTTAAAACTGTAATTTTCTTCGAAATTTTCAACATGCTTTTTATGTGTTTTATCAATATGTGTTTGTAATGAACTAAATGTTGGAAAAGCTTTTTCACAAAAATCACAATCAAATAATTTAAGTTCTTTACTTCTTGATCTTTTATTTGTTTTTTTAGGAATTTCAGGAATTGCAAATTCCTGATCTTTAAATTGATTATCCCCAATATCATTTATGTTACTTTCCAAACAAGACGAGTCGATGTCACTAGTTTTGTTTATGTTGTCATCGATCTTATTAATTTCCTTTTCTTTGCTTTCAATTTTTGGATTTGAATTGTTTTCCTTATGAGCACGTTGTTCATGTCTACGCAAAGCTTCTTTCAGTACATAAACTGAATCGCATGATGGGCATTGGTATTGTATTACCTTATTTAAATGATGAACTCTTAAGTGCTTATCTAGATAATATAGGGTTGCAAAACACTTATTACAAAAAGAACATTTGTGTGTATCACCAGCGATATGCAAACGTCTGTGACGGCTCAATAATTTTTTATCACTACTGTTAAGTTTTTTATTGCAATATTCACATTTTATAAATACATTCGTAAGCGATTTATTATTATCTGGTATAAGCTTTTTCTTGTCCTTTTTCTTTATAGGATCTTTAGAAGTATTAAGATTGTCCTGTTGAGTTAATTGCATTTTATTTTGCAATAATTCTTGTGGCGGATTTTCTAATTCAATATTTTTATTTTCTATATACAAATCGTTTTGATCATTTGGTGAAGACAAATTAGTTTTGCTTGTTTCAATAGTACTTTCTACTTTTTCAATAGTAAGTTTTTTCTTTCTACTCTTTTTTGGCCTATCAAATATTTCGCTGTCTCCAGAAGTAATGTTATTAGGTGATATCTCGGCAAAGTTCATATTCTCCATTTTAAGCGCAGATTGCATTTGATACATTTGGTATTGATAGCTAAAGTCAGCCATCAATTGGTAATACGGATCCGTATCACGTAATACATGTGCTGCCAAATTTTTTTCGATATCATTTACACCAATTTTTTGAAAACTTTCGTCGTCGCTTGTTGTAGTAACAGTAATTTCTGGCAAATCTCTTTTGAAGAAGTTGTTTAAAATTTCCATAGTTTCAGTTGGGGCTAAAGTAACATCAGAAACAATTTCTATTTTGGGTTTAAAATCAACCTTCATGGGCATTGTTAATTGGTTTGTTAACATATTTGAACCATTGTATTTCAAATTAAAATTATTTTTAGGAAAATTTTTTTTTCTTAAATGTGCTGTCAGGTGTAATTCCAAAGCATACGAAGTTGCCAAAATTTTATCACATATGTTACATTGAAATTTTTTTCCTATTTCATGTAATCGTTCATGATATGACAACTGATGTGGACTTTCAAAATGTTTTTTACAGTAGCGACAATCAAGTGGGGAATTAGGATCTCTTTTACCTCGTTTAATTTTTTTAATAATTTTCTTCACCATTAAATTCTTTGACGCAGTATTTTGATTTGACGATCGATCTGTAGCATCACTAGAAGTACCATTTGAATCATTTGCATTTCCATTTGAATTTATTGGAGCCTGTTCATTATTCATTTGTAATATTGTAGCTATATCAACTGTTTGAATTTGCTATAATATGGATACTTTTAAAATTTATTCTTATTTACAGATTAATAACTCTTACCATATTGTTATTAGATTTACCAGTGGTTTCATGCATTTCCTCATGTAAAATCCTTGTTTTATCAGAAGCAAAATAATGATCACAAAATCTACATTTAAAGTCTGCATTGATTTTATGGGAACTTTCATGGGTTTCTAAACTAAACAAATTTGAAAAACATTGATCGCAAAAGTTACATTGAAATTTTGCTCCATCCTTATGCAATTTTTCATGATAGGAACGTTTCTTTTTCGAACTGAATCCTGAAAAACAAAGGAGAAAAGTAGTAAAATTGAAAAAAAAAACTGTAAAAAACTTACTTAGGTCACAAAATCTGCATTTGAATTCGCCATCATTGTGGTTCATAATTAAATGTTCAATTAAACCTACTTTTGTTGGAAATGTTTCTGGACATTGTTTACATTTAAATTTGTTTTTCGCTTTATTTGAAAATGCCTTATTATTTTCTTTGTTACAAGAACCTTCAAAATTTTCTAAGGGACCGTCATTTTCTCGTAGTTCATGCACTTCCATTACATGATTATCGAAAATAGACTTTTTTAAAAATTGCAAATCACATTTCTCACATTTTAAAGGTTTTTCACCAAAATGAAGACGTAAGTGATCCTCTAAAACTGTGCGGTTCGACAGAAAACGAATACAATATTTACATTTGAAACCCTTTTCTTTTGGATTATTTTCATTTACTGTTATATTAGTATTTTTTGCTATTTCTTTCCGATTGTCGCCTAGAACGTCTAAGTCGATGTTCTTATCAGAAGAATCGAGATGAAAAATGTTTATATGTTCTTCTAGATTACTTTTTTTTGAAAAACCACGCTTGCACTTATAACATATAACCATTCGATCACCAACATGAATTCGGAAATGTTCTCTAAGATTTGTTAAGCAAGTGTAACGACGACTGCAATATTTACAAGTTAAAAGAGCTAGTTTGTCATTTAAATCAAGAATATGTTTTGTAACAATGTTAGCTCCTTCAATTCTAGGTCTAGTATCTTTCTGAATGCTTAAGCTTAATATTTTTTGTTTTTCCCTTTCTTCTAAATCCATTTTTTCTTTTTCTTTGATACTGCGATAACTCTCTCCAACTGATAAAATTTTATTTAACTTAGAACTAGCTGGCTCTTCTTCACCCTCTTTGAAAATGTCGAAAAGTGCAGTTGTTATTTGCTTATAATTATAAGTGTCAGGAACGTGTTCTTCATTGCTAGATTTTTTATTAATTTCAGCATGAGATACCAAATCAGGAAGATTTTCTTCAATTTTTTTTTCAGTTGGAATATTTACATTTGGGTCAATGCTTTCGAGCAGTAAAGTTGGCGATTTATCTTCCTGATCTGAATTTTCTTTATTTACTTTTGCTGATTCTAAAATACTTTCTAAAATACTTTTAGGTTTCGGTAAAAAAATATGGGGCTCTTGCATAGAATTTTGGTTATTATCGGCATTATCTTCATTTTTCTCTTTAAATTGAGAAGTTTCCTTATTATTTTCGTTATCAATATTATTACATTCAATTTCCTTTGCAAATTCTTTACAACTTTCGATTAATGCCGGATTTTTAACGTATGATTTTTCTTTTTCACAATCTTTTATGTCGCTTTTATTTGTTGAGCTTACAGACATATTGTCGGATACTATTGGGCTCATGTTTTCTTCATGTTCACCAATTTTTTGTTCTGAAAATTTAAATTTTAAAAATTCAACATTGAAATTTATACAGAATATATAAATTTCTATATAATTTTCCGTATATTTATAATATTATAAATATACAGAAAATATTTACATATATGTTCATATGTATTAACAAATTTTAAAGATAAAATATGCCCTAATTATTAATGAAGTATTCAAAATCTTTTCTATTATTTTGAGAATCGAATAAATTATTTTTATATTTCTGTACAATATTTGAAATAAATAACTTGTATAGTGAAAAAATTTGCAATATTTACCTTTAGTTTCCCTTCCCAAAATATGCTTTGTAAAAGTATTAAAATTTTTAAAAGCATGCTGGCATTCTAAGCACGAGTAGAGTATGTAACCATTTGTATCAATTTTTGCAAATCCGCACTTAAACATAATCATTTCATTATAAATTCCAAACCACATAGACTGCGGCATCACGCAAGAATTTTCGTTAACAAAATCTAAAGAATATGAGTTACCACGTTTGTTTTGGAAACTAATTTCATCATTTGTATGTTCTGTGTTGAGGTGTGTTGAAAAAAGTTTTAAATCATTGAATTTTTTGAAGGTCCAGTTATTTTCATCCCAACACATATAACAATTAATTGAAAAATCCTCCTGCGTTTTATGTATGATTTCACCACAAATTTGCTCGTTTACCTTGGAAATTTCTTTTGTTTCCATTCCTATTTTACAAGAAGAACATTCTTCTTCGATTTCATCCCCAAATATAAAAAAGCGTTGTTTCGAATTATCAAAACCGTTAGTTTTACTTTCATCACTAGAAAATACTTTCTCTTCGGAAATTTTCTTTTCTTTTACGTCTTCATTGGAGTTAATTTCAATTTTGTTTTCAGTAAAAGATTTTTCATCTGACAAAATTTCTTTTTCGTTCATAGTTTCATCCAAATCTGTTTTTTGAATATCGATTTCATTTTCAATCTTAATATTTGTCGTTAGTTCTATTTTGGTCTCTATACTTGTTTCTGAAATGCTGATGTCGGTCTTTGAAATTTCGTGTTTATTTTCAATTTCTTCAGAATCCGAATTAGTTTCGTTTAGACCATCCATAGTTTTTGATTCAATTTTTATATCAGTAATATTTGTGTTTTTAATGTCAGACTTTGTATCTGCAATATTGCAATCTTTTACTGTATATTCCTCTAACTGTTTATCTGGAATTTTCTCAATACTAGATGTGGAAATATTTATGTCTTTTTCTAAGTTTTCTTCGTGAATATGATTTTGTGTTTCATGCATTGGACTTTTAGATTCCGCCTCTTGAACTACGTTGTTCTGCTCTTCTGGTAATAATGGCATGGGAATATTACTTGAAATTTCCTGGGACATATTGATTGAATTTTCTTTTTCAGTACAAATTAATGGCTCTAAGTCGTTGACTTGTTGAATGTTACATGTTTTATTACTTTCATTTTCGCATTTTTCAGATGCTTTTCCTTGAAGTATTTCTTGTATAACTGGCTCATTATTTTTGTTTGAAACACCGCTTTCACTTGAATTGTCAGTTAGCAATGTGGTAGGTTTTGGAATTTCGATAGGTTTGTCATTATTTATACTTTCTTCAGAAGTTGAAACCTCATTCTCTTGGTTTTCTGTAGGCACGTGTGATAAGGTAATAGATGTACTTTTTTCAATTTTAGAAATGTCTTTTTCTAAATTTAAAGAGCTCTCGTTCGTTAATGAGTTCAAACTTTTTTGTGTTTTTCGACCACGAACCTTTCTCGTGTTCCTGTTTGTAGGAAAACTGCAAATTAAAAATAGTTTATAAAAAATTACAAAAAAGCTATATTTTTTAGCATAAAATACAAACCTTTTTTTAACCTCTTTTTTAACATTTACTTTTTCAGAAATCAATTTTGTGGCTACTTCATCTCTAAGAGAAATTCTTCTACTTGGGTTTCGTCTAGGTAAAATACACGCATCTGATTTTGAAGATTTATTTGAATTTTCACTCGAATGGGAATCATTAGAGTTTGAATATGAATATGTTTCTGAGGCTACTATATTTAAAATGTCCTTTACTAAAAGTTTTTTCTTTCTTGATATTTTCCTAATTATATTTTTTTCAATTTTTATTTCTTCATCCGAGTAATTTTTCAATTCAACTTCGGGGGTTTTACATTCTTCCTTAGAAATTTTTTCCACTTTAATCTCTTCTTCAAAATCAATCAACTCAAATAGTGGTTCTACCATTTTGACTACTGGTGCTGCCACTTTGGTCATTTTGTCATCACAAGTTTCTTCCTTTTTGCTTTCGGTTAATGAACTGTAATTTTTATTTAATTTTTTAATATTTACTTTCTCTTTTTTTATATGATCTAAATTATTAAAATTCTTGTTTTTATCAATATTTTTTTTCTCAATTTGATTAAGTTTATTTTTATCACAATTAATTTTTTTTTTTAATACAAGACATCTAGCGTCTACCCTTTTGCAAGGAGTGTCAGTTTTAATTTTTTTTTCAGGAGGTTCTGGCTTTATTTTTCTTAACTTTTTACACACTTTTTGTGATTTTTTACCCAATTCCATATTTTTGAAACATTTGTAACTATTTTTTTTTATTTATTGAATAAATAAAATGAAAATTGCAAACCTTTAATTTATTTGCTTCGTCAAAAGAATGTTCGGCATAAAAATATGCAAATCAATACAACAAAAACAATAATTTCATATAAGTTGTCAGACAAATGCATAACTGTCAAAAGTTTATAAGAAAATTACCAGATAGCGCTAAGGTAATTAAAAATAATATGTTTTATTTTTTTATGGGTGGTTGACAACCTCAAGGATTACTCAAAAATGACGTTAGTAGGCTTAAAATATATTTACAATACTTACAACTGGAACTGTTGATGTGACAACACAGGTTTACCAAATTAAGAAGAGTTCATAATTTAATTTTTGTATTTTAAAAATAAGCTGTTTTTGTTTTTAATTGTTGATGAAGAATTGAAGTAATTAAAATATGTGGATTAATTGTTTAAGTCTAAAAAAACTGATATTTATAATATGTATTTAACTGAAATTTACAAACATTAAAAAAAAAAAAAGACAATGAAATATTGAAAACGCAGTAAAAGAATTGGGGATTTGATACACAATTTATTTTATTTTTAATAGTTAAAATTACGATGGAAGGAATTATTGAGAATGAGAATTGCGATAAAATAAAAAGTCATGTCATTGCGGTAACTGCAAAAGTAATTTCAAACCCAGTTGCCCGAAGTTTGTTCTGTCCATTTTGTGCAGATGAATACTTATTTGAATTTTCCTTGAAAGATCATTTACACAGAAAGCATTCTGAAGCGTTAGAACGCCGATATAGCAATGAATTGCCTGAAAGCGAGCAAGCTGAAACAGATTCTTTGTGTCCTTATTGTAAAGCAGTATTTTATTCAAAATTAATAATTCCAAAACATATTTTTCACCATCATGGACGAAACTGGCTTAATCATTACCAACAAAATTATGGCTTGATTGAGTTAATAGACACAGAAAACAATTCCACAGTTATGTATACGTCTTGTTCACCAGGATTAAGTGATATATTTGACAAATTAATGTCTAAAGAACTCGATTCGGAAAATAATTTAGAAAGGATGAGCTTAAATTCGCCAAAGTTAAAATCCATATTAAAAAAGACTCCAAATAAATCATATAATCCTATATTAGGTTGTTATCAGTTACTTATAATTTTCTATTGAAACTAAATTTAACATTTATATTTTTAGGATCACCGTCCAGTGCATCTATTCGAAGATATCGTAGTGAATTGCTTAGGCGATCGTTATCAGCTCGACGTGAACTAAGGTTTGATTTGCCACCCTTACAAAAGTCTCCACCAATTATAAGAAAACATAAAAAAATTTTTGATTTACGGCGGTTTTTTAAACTTCGAAAAACCAGTAATAAAAAAATGAAAGGTTCTCCTATTCAGAAGTCGAAAAAGAAAGCAGATAAATATTTTAATTTAAATATCACAGCTGGTACTATGATAACAAGTACTCCTGTAAATACTCTTGATGACACACTGGATAATTTTGATGTAGTTGACACGTACGAAGTAAGTTACAGAAGAAGTAATGGAAAAGTTAAAAATTTAAGAAGATCTAATCAACCGTTATTATTTTCTTCTGAAAAATTTCAATGTGGTTATTGTGATGAAAAATATACCAGTAATACTGATTTATTACTTCACTCAGAAATGCATAGATCCAAATGTTTTTTGAAAAAGTTTTTTAAATGTGGACAATGCGGGAAAAAATTTTTTAAGAATCGAAATTTGTTGCGACATATTTTAGTTCATAATAACTAATTGGTAAAAAAGCTCGAGAACGGCTTTCTTACTTGTTTTTTTTTATTGCGCTTGCCTAAACCGATTTGCTCTGCATTATGCTTTTGTGCAGCATCAATTGTATCTTACATAGATAGTTAAAAACCAATCTCTCATTCGTACTACATGCAAAACTTTGCTGCATTTTAGAATTTAGCGGAGAATAATTTTTACTTTGCAAATGTATATAATTTCAAATTGAATTCATTTTTAATTTAAAAGTGATCAAATTAATTTGTTTAAAGTAAAAACCTTTGTTTTTATTTTTATACCTACACATTTGCGAATACCATAAATCACAACTGGATTAAAATAAGCACTTTTTTTCAAAAATTTTTTGGAAAAGTGCTAACTATGGTTTTAATTATTGGTTTATGAAATCGAGAAAATATTAGCGTATATAATATTATTTACATAATATATTCGTCTTAAATTTTACTAATTTTTAAAAAATGATTGAAGCCTATAAAGTTTATTAAAATATTTCTAAATTTGACAAAGAGTTAAAAATTTTCGTGCGATGCAACGAGCTAGCTTTACCTCGAACATGCCAAATCCAAGTTCCAATTTTTAAAAATTTCAATTTTGCGAAATCACTTTTCTCTACTCAATTCACCTACATCTACATCACTGCCATAAACCCCGAACCCTAAAAAGTTGAATTGAAAAAAGTAACATATATTTTCCGAAACATCAGCCGAAATTTAAATCTCCCTAAAAACAAAATATGTACACATGCTTTCGATATAATTTTTTCGCAAATGAAGAAATTTGTTTCGGTAGAGGTTATCACACAATTCTATTAAGAAATGGGATATTTTCCAGCACATTCTTTAGTTTTTGATATAGTATATTAATTTAAATTGTTTTTCAATAAAAAGCATACCAAGGTAGAAAACAAATAAGAATAGTGAAATATCGTTAATATTATAACACTCATTTTACATGTAAAGCATCGTTAGTTTAATGTAGAAGGTATTTTTTAAAGTTTTTTGTACTTTTAAATGTTGAAAACTTATGTAATTACATTAAAAAGGATATCGACTACTATAAATAGTTTATTGTTATTTAACAAAAAAAATAACTAAAATGTATTCTTAATATTATGTGAAAGTCTTAGGAATGAAAGCTGAATGATACTTTCGGTCTGTATCCATCACTACCTGCGGTATATTCTACATTATATTCATAACCATGCTCATTATTTGATAGACTGAATGAGCCTGTGTCTGAAACATCATATGGATTTTCTTTATCCTCTGGTTTATCTTCAATATGAATAGTTTTAGCCTGTCTTTGATTATCTGTTTTGAATCTATATTAAAAGAAAATAAACGATTTTGAAAATAAACAGTTAAAAAAAAATTTTTTTAATTTTCAATATTTACGAATATTCATAATCTTTTGGCCCCCATGATTTGATTTCCATCTGAGCCGGATTAGAACTTGGTGCTGCTAATCTTTCAATTACATTATTAGATTTTGCTACAGCGGGAGCTTTTTCTTTCACTTTTTCTTTCACTTTTTCAACTTTAGGTTCGGGTTTGCTAGGAGTTTCGATTTTATCTGGTTCAGATTCGGTTTCTTCAGATTTTGGAGCTTCTTCTGCTGGAGCAACGTTTTCAGCAGAATTTTCTTCGTCTGGTAACGGTTTTGCACTTATAACATATGTAAGACAAATAACAAATAACATAAAACTCTACAAAAAAAAATAACAGAAAAATAAAAAAAATTACGAAATCATTTACTTTTACGGTTATTTCATATTCGTTAATTTTATTAATTTTATAAACTTACTAAAAATTTCATTTTTTTTTTATTTTTTTAATATATTGAATATTTTAAGCAGAATTTTCAAATTTATTGATTACTAATTAATTTGTTACTAATAACACTGAAGTTTTCTTGACAAACGCTAAAGGTTAATTAACTGATATAATATCATTTGCATTCGATTTTTATAGAAAAGATTTTGATGAAAAATTTGTGATGATTTTATTCAAAGAAGCTAAATTTAGAAGCAATAATATTATAGACAAAAAGAAATGAGATAAACAATTTATAAAATAAAAAAAAAAAATTTCTAACCGGCCGTAAATTGATTTTTATGAATAAAGGTAGAAAAGATTAGTTATTAAAGTCAATCTTAAGGTAGCGCAGCTATTAATTTCTTTAATAACGTGCTTAAGTTGCTGGATATTCAATTAATTTATATGTACATTATTAATTCGATATCTCATGCAATTTGTATTTGAATATATTATATCTTAATTGTTAAAATTTTATAAAAGAAAAAGTTGACATAGCTTAGTCTTCTTGAAATCAATAAAACTTTGTATAGCTCGAGGTTTTCATCCTAGGAGTTTGCAATAAAGTCTATTATTGATCATTTTGGAGCAACAGATCATTTCAATTTGATTTAAAATCGAATGCTAAATCCAGAAGCAATATTCGAAATTTCTCGATTTTTTGTAGTGAAAACAGTTTAATTGATCAGTGACCGTTTTTCTCTTTTATCCGACATTGTTCCTACTTCCACAAACGCAGGTTCGAAAGCAATCGTAATCTTATATTGCGTACTGGTTTTAAGGTAGAATAAATATAAATTTAAAAAACTTCGCTAGAAGAAATTTCGCTAAATTTTTATGTTCTGCCTAATTTATTAAAAACATGGAAATGCTTATAAATATGGAGTTTATAAGCATTGCCATGTTGTTAATTGTTAAATAAAGATTTTAACCTGTATTATTCATACAACATACTTATTAACTTTTGTTTACTTCACTAAAATTTCATGTTTTTCAATATTTCATTTTAAATAAATTTTTGTTTTTTTTGCCACTTAACGTTTTAGGCTCTTCTATAGGCTTAGTCTTTGGGCAAATCTGGCAATAAGTATATAATTATACATTTATAATTGTATATTTTTTTGTTTGTGTAATTTCTAGTATTTTTAATAAGAAGTAAAATACTTGCTAATGAGATGAAATAACGCTAACAAAATACTTGTAAATAAGAACCAATGCGTTATAACCTCACATGGCTGCATGGTCATATGGGGTCATAACGCATACCAAACAGCTTCAATTGCTGATGAAGAATTACATACATACATAATCTGAAATTTATTAATATCAAATTTATTCCACATTTACCTATACTACATATGAGCGTAACAAAAAATAATTTCATATTATAAATAGAGTTAATATTTATAATAATTTTCTAAAATTTCTAAACAAAAATGACATTGAATAAATTTATACCTATTATTACGGTGTAAAAATCGGAATTTGTCTAAAACAGGATAGGAAGGTACATAGAAAAAATCTTTTCAAAATGAGTTCATATTATATTAAAACAAAGTATGTATATGTACAACAAACACGAATATAATATGTACCAGTCAGTTATGTCTACATAATTGAATTTTATTAGAAACTTAAAAAATTTAATATGCTTCTCTTAGTTAATGCTTTCATGTTTTTTTTTTATTATTAACATAAATCATCATATACTATTTTCTTATTATGATTAAGATATTATCGATTTTGGCTAATGTTGCTATGAAATTTAAAGAAAACAATATGAAATTTTTGCGTAAACATTTTTAATTAAATATTAGAACTAGTTAATATTTTGGAAAAATAAATTTTTTTTCTCTACTGTTAGATTGTACTTATACATATTTGTGTGGAAGTGTAGGTGTTTTTCAAAAATTGGATGTTCTTTAACTGAAATTTTTCCAGCATAATGTACATAATTCAAATAAATTAAATAAGTGTTTTCAAAATATATCAGCAAAAACTGATGCAAATTTACAGAGAATAATATGAAGTATACAGACCTAAGAAATTTTAAAATTTATAACTCGGATAGACAAACAGCTATGCACCTTACCTGGTGTGCTGATTTTTTTCCTAGTTGTATTAAAGGTACTGTTAAACGAATTAAAGCGTTTCTTATTTATTTTTCTTTTATTTTTTTAATGCAAACTTAATCCAGTTTATTTATAAAAATTTGTACTTAAGTATGATATGTTTATGTGTAAAACAATCTTTCGGTACGCGGTCTATGTGTTAGCTTTTGCTGTGTACATGTATAAAACATAATAATTACATAATAATTTTTAAAATTATGCTGATTTTTTCGATCCTTATAATATTACTAATATATTTTGATGACAAATTTTTAAAATATGTAGATGAGTTTGTTTATTTACAATTTTCATATTGTATACCTGAAAATCGAAAATATTTTTAATTTATGTTAATTTATAATATTCTTTATTATTTATTTTAATATTTTTATAATATTCTAATAAGGATTATTAATTGACGGGTCGAAAACGGTTTGAATTTATTGACAAAATTTTAAAATAAAAAAAAAAATACTGCAAATAAGAAGAATTATCCTATGTATGTACAAATCCTATACTACATATGTAGTTATAGAAAAAAATTATCCTAATTTAGCAGCTTTCAATTATTTGATTTCAGTAAATATTCAATTTCTAAATTCGATTCAGAATTTTCATTTTCATTGAGCAATTTTATGTTTAAACTGAATCATATGTATGTATATACAAAAATCTCATTACTACAATGTCGAATTGAAAAGTTTTTATTTACCGCATTGTTCTCTTTAACTCCGGTTGCTTTTGCGATTTCGTAATTATGAAATATATATGTATCTAGTAATTAATTATAATAATAAGAAAGCTGAAATTTATAAATTATAATTAATAAGAGATGTGGTTTTGTGAAACTGAAAAGAGGCAAGAATGTAAGCCTGCAAAATCATTTGTATTGAAAATTAGAAATTAAAACTATTCAATTCAGCTGTTCGAATTTTCTTAAATTGACTTTTGAATCAAATTCAAATTGGGTGTTAATATTTTAAATTAGTTGTTATTATTAATATAGATTTTTCTTTTATTATTTTCAATTATTTCCGGTTTTGCAGATTTAATATTTAGTCATCGGCTAAAAAACAGAAAAGAACAATAAAATATCGTACAAAAATAATAACAAATTCGAAAACTGTAAAAAAAAGTAAAATTTTGAATTTAAATATCAATTATTATGAAATAAAATTAATTTAACCTTTTCCAATATGAATAATTTTTTCTACGATGTCACAATTTGGTTCATGGTTTTTTGTTATACTATTTAGTTTTTCGAACTTTACTTAAATTGAATATACAAACATATACATATAATAACCGTATAATGCATTTCAAATAAGTCACATTAAAATAGGTGTGTACATGCATATATAATTTTATAAATAACAATGTATGTACATACGTTATATAGGTGTACATTGATCTTATATAATAAATAATATTAACTATAAAATAATATAAGATGTTTTTTAATTTAATTATATTTATATGCGAGTATTATCATTTATTGTAACGTTAATTTAATTTGACAAAATAATTTTATTTTAATTTAATTTGCTTTTATTTATTTTTTTCAATATTTACTTACTATTTAAATAATTTTAGAAAAGAACAAAAGTTATGAACTTATTAATTTATTTTTCGTGAATTTTTTGTGAATTCTGTTTAGGTACTCTCAAGGCTATAATCTATAATATCGCACTTCGCTTTTGGTTTTCTAAAATTATATATAATTATAAATGTGACTTCCTTAAAAATTTTATTATTTTATTTATATATAATTAAAATAATATACTTCAGTCAGAAATAGGCGAGCTCCTAACTTACTATTTATTATATTCATACATAAATTTTATATTAACAAAATTTTTATTCTTAATTTTTATACATACATAGATAATTTTTAATAACAAATACATTTATAATTTTTTGCACAATTTCTTAATTTTATGAATAATTATTATAATAATAATCAATTTTATGAATATTAAGATATTTTTCTTTACAAATATTTACATTGTAAAGCAAAATCAGATTGACAGCGTTTTTATTTCACAATTAATAAAATTATTAAGAGTATTAATATTTAATTATTATTGAGTATGCATAATTTCACTTTCCATTGTATATGATAGATGATTTTATCTAAATTTTAAAAATAAAATTAATCAAAATAAAAATTATGTGCATTTTGTATTTTTCATATTAGAGACACAATATTCGGTACAAGCATTTTTTTATAACATTATAATACTCTATGTTAAAGAAAATACAAAATTTTGAACAAGAGAAAAAAATAATTTGCTTTTATAGTATAAACTATAATTGTGACAGGTAAGTTTCGGAAACGAATTTACAAATCAAAACAAAAATGTTAAAAAAAACTGTAAAATATTTTTATAGTCGCTATAAATAATTATAGTACATATGTATGTAAAATTGATATGCAAGGAAAAACTAAATTATCAATACAGTTTAGAAGACAAAATTAAATTGGAATTCTAAAACTCATTTTTCGTTCAAAATGTCAGGTACATTTGTAATTTTTATTTCTTTATTAATATTATGGTTAAAACGACAATTAAAAGTAAAAATTTTTGAAATTTGTTTTATAAGAATTTTGTTTATTTAGAAATAAATGAATCATAAAAATTTGAAAGATGCCAAAAAGTTTTACGATACTGAAAAAGTTGAAAAAATTTATACCACTGCTATTTTAGCATTTCTAAGCGGGTTTGATATTTGTAGCAATTGTATAGAATTAAATAAGAATTAAAATTGTAAATTGCAGCCAAAACAATTTTAGGACCTACAACCAAAATTGAAATAATATTGCGAGAATTACGTACGGATATTTTTGAGTTTTTTTTTGATGTAAAATCGATTTCTTTTATGTTTCTATTTTGTGATTTAAATTGCCATTCAAATGTGCTGATTTATAAGAATTTTTAAATGCGATTTCAACCATTACCTAAAAATAATATTTTACTCGATTTTCTTCATCATATTATTATAGTTGTACTTATTATTTTAATATACGTGATCATTCATTTTTTACTTATGAAACAGTCACCATCATCTGGTTCTTTCAATGATATTTTTTTTTTGTACAGTCTTTTATTTTTGATTCAGAAAACTTTTATGTATAGAAATATCGTATTCTGTATTTGAAAAAGAAAACAAGTAATAGGTTTCAAGCTATGTGCAAAAACAAAAGAACAAATTCATTTAATTTTCCATTATAAATGAATAATTATGCGTTCTGAAAAGTTCTAAACCCGTTAAAAAAAAAAAAGAAATTGAATTGTAAACAGTGAAAATATTTGGAAATTAATTATTTATTTCCTATGTAGCTACAAATGTGTACATAATATGTATATATATGTAATTTGTGAAGATTGTTGTTTAAACAATAAGTGTATATAAATATAAAAGTTTTAATTTTCGATGAATACAATAAAAACACGATTTTATTAACTAATCAAGAATATATTTTAATTACTTTTGATTATTGATTGTGGCAATATTTTTATAGTAAACATAATGTCAGTATGATGTATGCATCTATTAAAATAAAATTTTGTTAAAACTTTAAGCGCGTCAAATTAAATTTATTCTAAGGAAATTTTTTTGAAAATTTTAATCAAAGTTTTTTGTTGTATGTTTGTAAATAAGTAAGTGTATAAGTGAATATAATTTTTTAATAATAATTTATAATAAGAAGTAAAATAAATCCATGACAAAATACTGTTGGGCCCATTCAATTTTTTATTGTTATGATAATTTAAACAAAAAAAAAAATACTGGTTTCTTTTGAAATTTTTCATATTTTTCTATACTTTTTTTTTTATTTTTTCAATTTATTTAATTTAATATTCAAGTTAGTTATGTTATGAGTCTAGCAGCACGCGATGATTCAACTTTACATAGATTATTTGTAAACAATAAAGATTTAGAAAATTAAATTAACTAGAAAATGTGTAACTTATAAGTAAATTTTATTATTTGTCCGTCATTTTATAAACAATCTTGAAGGTAATCTTCTCATCAAATGAATATTAAGTCTCATCATACATTTTATATTGTACATAGATAGAAGACTTGAATTAGTAAAGAAAGATAAATAGAGAGATTGCAGAAAATATTACGCGTACTGTCAAAGTGTTTATGTTTTTTGAATACGTGAAAATATTTGTATAAAAACATATAGCTTTGCCTCCATTATTTTAATTGTCTTATATATTATATACAAAAATTTTACTCATTTTTGATCCTCTACCCGATGGTATACGGCACCTAAATTGTTGGTGTATCACCCTCTACATGCCCCTCAATTAATTAATTTTAATATACAGAGTAAATGATTTTTTCTTTTTAAAATAAAAATTACAAGATTTAGAAATGAGAGGATTTTTTAAATTAAAATTAAATTATGTTAATTTGATTAATTATTTCATTTTGTAAAATATTCAGGCAATTGCCCTAACGATATTACGCGCCGTTATTAACATATTTAATTTTAAAAAATATCTTTAACCTATAGTATAACAGTTTCATTTCAATGTTTAGATTAGTGAGATGGGATCAAAGAGTTATGGAAGTATTTATAATCATAATAACATAAATAACAATGAAATCTTTTACAATGATTACGTTTTAAAATAAAGGTAAGATAGAATAACAAAAAAAAAAAATTAACAATAATAAACTAAAATATAACAATAAGAAAAATGTATGACATAATATTTCTTGATCTTCGTATTATAAAAACAAAAACAAAACTAAATGGTAATGCTGCTGTTGGATACAGGTCTGGATCTTAAAATAAAATTCTTCTTAAGTTAGTCTTGTTATTGAATTAATTCTGTCATCATTTCGTATTTTATTTATAACATTAAAATTAAAATTTTATTATTAATTTTTTGGTTCTATTAAAAATTATAACGAAAATAGAATTTCTGTGTTTTCCTTATTTTACAATAATTGTCTGTGTATAGAAAAGAACAAAAGGATAATGAAAGTATTTCTAGTTTTGGTGAGATATTTTGTTCTTTTTTAATATGAAAGTATAAGTATTTGCAATTTTGAATGAAATTTGTCAATATTTTTTTTAATACATATTATGTAGTAGTTATTATGTAATTTATTTGAGCATTTATTTTTATTTTATTTTAATTTATAAGAGTTTTATATCATGTTTTTGGTTGACGATGTCATTAATAGTTTTAGCAGATGATGATTTGAATTCATCAAATGATTTAAATAATAAAAAATTTGATGATCCGGGACCAGCGAGATCTTTACCAAGAAGTGAAAGAAAAAGATTAAGATTATTAAAATTACAAAATGAACATAAAATTAAAAAAAGGGATATTAGTGATGATGATAATGATGAAGTTGATTCTTCACTGTCAATATCTACAACCACTAAAACACCATCATTAAATTTAAGAGGAAATATTAAAGCATCTGATACAATTCATAATGATTATTCATTAAAAGGCGATAATGATTTTTTGGAAGGAACAAAAAATTTTCAATTTGCGTATGTTTAAAATTTTTTTTAATATTATAATCATCAGAATATAAGTACAAATAGTTATATATGTATACCTGCATAAATAGTTAACAGTATAACAGTTTAATACTCGAAAGTTTACAAACCTTTCATCTAAATGTGCAGAATTTTTTTAATCTATGCAGCGCTGAATCTTTAAATGTGTTGTAATTATAAATAGATTATTCAAATATTGCAATTTAGGTATACATTGAAAAAGGTTCTTTGAAACCATTAATTTTGTTTATTATATTATTATAATTGTATTTAAAAACATCGATTTTGAAGATGCAGTTTTGGAAATTCAATGTACATGTTTATGTATGCGTAAACCCTTAGTTTTAGTTTAAACATAAATCTATTGAGAGTTACCATACATAGCACTAAATTATCAGCTTAAAGCATTTTAAAATAAAAACTATATTATAACTGTCATACTATGTATGTTGTGAATTGTGAATTTTAATTTGATTACGTATGTTTTCGATCATAAAATTAATAACCTTATACTAACTATAGTATAACTGCTTCACATTATGCTCGTGAATTATTGGCGTGAATAAATTTTAATTTATATTTTAAATTCATTATGTACATAAATGCATGCAGATTCAAGGAAATAAAAGTTTATTCACAATTGTATTATTTTATTTTCATAATGTTGATAATATTATTATGATTTATTATAAGAAAACAAAATTAATATTTTGAAAAAACAAAAAAAAACAGAATGCAAAAAGTAGCTGGCTATCAATTTAATTTTGAAATTTTTGATTTTGCAATGAAAAAACAGTTTTCACTAGAATTTTGGGAAATGAAATTGAATAAATTAATTGAATTTTTTTAGTGCAATATTATAACACACAAAAAAAAACATTTGAACAGTAAATATATGAATGTGTATGTATATATATCAGATAGTTTTGTACGTACATACTTATGTATGAAATTTTTTATTTAAAAAAAATTTGGCGATGTTCAAATAAAATTATAATTTTAATTTTTTGAACAAGAATAAAAAAAGTATAAGTCCTGAAATAACTATTTATTTAAATTAATTATTCCAAAAAAAAGAAAAACAAAATAAAGCCGCAAAAGTTATAAGCTACAAAACCTGTTTTGTTTTTAATATTTTTGATACCAAAAGCTCGATGCTTATTTTAATTTCATCTCATGAAAAAATATAGATGATCAGTTATTCGCTGTATTATACACGCATATATTAATTAGGGGTGAAGGTCAGTTAAAGGGCAAACATAAAAATATTAATAAATAAAATTTATTAAGTATGTAGTTAGTATTTTATGGAAAAGTATATTAGGCAATTTTGGGTTAGAACTGCATTTAGTCATGTACATTTCTATTTATTTAAATTTAAAAACTAAATTGTTAAAAATTAAAAATTGCTTTTACTTTTCTAATATATTTTCTCGGCAATATTTTTTATTTGAAATTTTTAAGAAATTTGTCAAAAACCTGACTACACTAATTTTAAAATTGTTCTACACAACAGTCCAATAGGTATCGTGTTTATAAGCGACAAAGCGTGTTTATGTACATGTACATATGTATAAAGATACAATGCTTAATTACATATACATACATGTATGAATTATTTTATATACATAATATGATAATTGTTAAATTATAAAATTTTTATGTTTTACTTATCTTAATTTTTTTTTTAGATATAATCTTGATGATCATAATAGAAATGAAATATTACATGTTGTACGAACACCAAAAGAGCTCTCGCAAGACACAATAAAGAATAACGAAGATGAAACAGATACAGTGGAAGCAAAAGGATCATTTAGTTTTGTGTCAGCTGACGGTTTTAAATATACAACAAAATATATTGCAGATAATAAAGGCTTCCGACCAATTGTATTAGTTGAAAAAATTTAATTTCGATTACAATGTTCTATTTTATTGCATATGGATAATTAAATTACAAATTACAAAATTTTACCTGAACTTAAATTTTAAAGGTTGCTTTAATTTTTTTAAAATAATTTATAAATTGATACATAGGTGCTTTGTAATGTTATATGTATATCTTGATAATTACATAGCCCTTCACAATATTTTATTAAAGTTTTAGCAGATGATTACAACTTATATTTTAACAGATGTAGTATAACTTTTTGGATATTTTAAATTTAATCTAAAATTAAATATGATCATTGATCTTACAATATTCTTGCATTGATTCTAATTGATCTTACAATATTTCATGGCAGGTACTTAAAGTATTTTTAATTCAATTTCTTGTTATGCATAATGAGAGTCATAAAAAGAATTTAAATCTTGATTACATTTTCATACCTACATATACAAAAAAATTTTAAGCGTTAGTTTAAAATGTTCTCAAAAATAATTTATAAAATCATTTTTATTTCAAAATTATTAAAATTTAAAATAGCATAAAGTGATGTACAAATTTTATTAGAAAAACAAAATTATTTTAATTGTTGCGACCCCAGGATATATTCATAGAAGGCTGCTTGGCAAATCTAAGGCCACATTGTTGTTGCGATGAATTTATACTAATATTATTTTTAATATTAGTAATATTATTTGTATTTTTAAAATAATAAGTGTCATTACGATCTGTATACGATTCTAGTTCGTTCATTAAACAATTTGTAATTTCAGCTTCTTGAATTGTTGTTGGAATGTCATAATTTTCTTTTTCGACATTTATATATTTTTTAGGTATTTCATTGTAGTCTTTTGGATTTTTTCTTGTATTATTCTTTATATTTGTAGAATTTGAGTCATTTTTTAAAACATATTCAATAAAATCACCGATATTTTCATCTAACGATGTGTTTTGATTTTTATGTGATAATAAATTTTCTTGTTCGGCTAGTATTTTATCAATTTCATCTAAATTATGAAGTTTTTCAAATGGATTTTCAATTTCCATACGTTCTTGTTGTTGTAACTGAAACTTTGAATGTTGATATTGTTCAGTCGGAGGATGGGTTGTTCGATCAAAATTTTTATTTTGCTGTACTTGATAATTAATTTGTTCATTTCTTAAAGAGTTTTTATTAAAATTTGTTTGTTGATGTTGTTCTTGATTTTTGGGTTGATTATTAAGTTTTAAATTGTGTACAGGAACATGTTTAGAAATTTCATTCATAGGTTTTTGCAAAATATATTTAGTATCAGTTGTTTGTTTAACTTGTTTGCATAAATTATCTCTTGAATTAGAAACTGATGATGAGGATGGCCGTGAATATGAAAGGAGACGCTGTACAAGTTGTTTGTGTTCATCATCTGTATCTGTATCAAATGTATCTAATTCACGATTTGAATAATTAATTTCTGTTTCGATAGTTACATTTGGTGTCATTGGAAATTTTGAATATTTTTTTATTTCAAATTGTTTTTTACTTTTCATACGACGATTTTGAAACCAAACTTTTACTTGCTGTTCACAGAGTGAAAGACGTTGAGAAATTTCAATACGACGTGGTCGATTTAAATATTCATTGTGTTTGTATTCTTTTTCTAATTCAAGCAGTTGAAAGCAAGTGAATGCTGTACGAGCCCTTTTTGCTTTTGAACTAATCCAATTCGTATCGTTAGTTAATGAGTATTGCTCTCCCGTTTCAGTTATTGGTGTTGTTGATATGTGCATATCGATCTGTAAATTAAAATTAAGTTGTATAATTTTTTTATGTTTAAGTAAATTTTTATAACATGCAACTATGGGAATTTCCAATAATTTTTTTAATGATACCTAAAAATGAATTTTTAAAAGAATAAGAAGTTTACGCGAAATATTCGCAGCTTCAAGAGTTTTTATTATGTTTTCGTAGAATTTTCAAAATTAGCAAATTTTTTTATATTATATTCACCTTTTCAAATAGATCATCTTTGTTTATAATTTGGTAATCCACAACATGAGAGTTTTCCGTTTTAATACTTGATTGCTGTTGGTAACGAAAATATGACATTTTCAGTTAATCCTTTAATGTTGCTCTTTTATCAGTATATGTAGAATTAGTAGTTCTTTAAGTAGCAGCGGTTTAAATTTCAAACTGTTCTATTCAAAAAACTAATTTAAACTAATACATTTCTTCAATATTTTCTCGTTTATATTGGTTTTATTTAATGTTAAAATTCTTCACAGACAAATTCATTATTGAGGTGTCATAAAATTCAGGACAAATTACAAAAAAAAATGCTTTAAATATTGTCTTCTTCAATTTACTAAATACCTATGTAAAATATCAGGTAGATCCTTTTACGAATATTTATAATAATATTAATAAATGAATATAGAAAAATTATGTAGTCTAAATTTGATTTCATCTCGTCATACCGTTATTAATTTTAGATATTCGTGAGGTTACCTCTTTTTTAAAGCCCTGTATTTTTATAATTTTTTTTTTACCTAACTTTGTGAAGCTCAGGTGTTAAAATAAATATTTCCATAAGCATAAGGTATTGTTTTTGTGGGCTGTTTATTACACTTTTTGCAATTATGGTTTTTGTTTTTGTAAAATATGTCGTTATATTATACTTAATATTAAAAATATTTTATTTTTATGTATTGAAAATTGAATATAAGGTTCTGTTATGCACGGTGATCATTTTTGCATATGTATGCGCATTTAAAATAAATTAACTGAAAGAACATTTTTAAATAAATTAAATATAGTCATGAATTTTATTTAAATGTATGTAATAATGAGAAAATAAAAATTATAATCATTATGATTTTTTAATTTTAAACGAATACAAAAATATATTGGCGCCACTTGCTTAAAATATATAAAAGGTCAATAAACGGTTCAACTTTTAAAGGAAAACAATAAAATTATGATCTCTTAAGCGATCCAGTCGGAAAATTTCATTGTATTTTTCTGCTAATGTGAAGTATTTATTAATTAATTCACAAAATCGTGTGGTATATTTTTAAAATCATGTATATATTTGAGATTAAATAACAATATTCATCGCAAAAATTAATAAATAGTTTAAATTATGCAGCACACACATAATTGTAAATCTAAGAAAGAAAAACTTTAAGTCCTTTAAAATAACTTATATTGCAGGATTATGCGTGAGATCGTTATAATAAATCTTGAATTATTTGCAGATTGATTATGAGAAGACATTTTAGAAATTCTACATTTTTATATTTTGAATTTTTTTGAAAATTCGATAGCGAAAACACTTTCGTGAATTCGAATGTTCGAAGTTAAGTTGCCGGGCTACTATCAATGAAAAACAATATAAATATAGTGGATACCTTCGTTAACAAAACATTTGTACGGATGTCACAGAGTTAACATGTTTAACTTCATTTTTTCTTATTACTTAGATATATCAACTTTTTTTCTATTTGTCACCTAATCAAAAACCAGGTTTTTCAATAAATATTGCATAATTTTACTTGCATAGTTTGGTACTAATTGTTATCATCCACGTATGTACTATAATGATTGTAACGGTTAATTTAATTCAAAAAATTGTTGAAAATTTAATCATATGATGTCGCACTAGTCGTCAAAATACCATTTTTTTTGACGAACGTTTTATAAATTTTATTTATTTCTTGGAATTGGAAGTGATAACGAAAAATGCTAATTTCACTGGAATTGATAGCGTAATCACTGAAAGCTTTTTCGTTCATTTTAATTATATTTTCATGTTAAAAGTTTAACTGGAATTTTATATTTATGATGATAGTCACAAAATATTATTAAGTACGAATATTATTAAGAACGGACGCGCCTTTGTCATATTATTTTTTAATTTTATATATGTAATAAAAAAAAATTTCATTGTTATTATTTTACAATCGCAATATTGATATTATAGTGCACAAGAATTTCCGGAAATGGTGAAAGAATTAAAAAAATTATTTAAAAATTTGATTAATAAATCAAGAACAGATTCAAACTTGGAAATAGATGCAGTTGCTATAAATTCAACTACAAGTGATAATTTAAGGACCCAGCAAAATTTACAAGTAGTGGAAAGAGAACAGATTGATGAAAATAGAAATGATTCACAGCATGAAAATACTATTGATACCTTCCAAAATAACGTCGTACCGTCATCTAATAATAATACTGTAGTAGATTTACATCCAACATCATCATCAAATATGTGGAATACTGCTGTGAATGAATTGAACAGTGTACAGAATGTTTATAATTTTTCAAATATAGATGGTTTACATATTGGTAACTCAATTGTATTTAATGGTAGCAATACGAATGATAATGGTAGAAGTAATAGAAATCGAAATATTAATTCAACAACAAATGTACAAAATGTAAATCAAAGTCAATCAAATCGAAATAAAATAAAAATTACGGAGTCGATAAATAAATTATTTCGTTCTGTTGAAGATGTAGAAGAATCTGTATTGAGTGAGTTATCTGAATTCATTGGTAAAAATTATCAAAGACTAATGAGAGATTTAGGTTTGTCACAAACACAAATAGAGACTGTGGAATTGGATTACAATGTTCTTGGTCACAAAGAGGTTTGTGTATATTGTTTTATATTATTTTGTATTTAAATCGCATTTTATAAAACAATTTTTTTAATTTTTATGTGTATAAGAGTTGTGTGTATGAATATTTAATGTATATAAAGCGTTAGGTGTATGTTTTTATTACTCAAGTACATGGGTTTATTATAACTTCGTAAAATATGAAATTGGAACGCATATATACATATAGATATGTATGTATATTTAAAATAAATTATTTAGTAATGCAGATTCTATTATTAAAAATAAATCTTATAGTTTTTATCCCTTTTAAACTGCTTATATTGTTTGTTGTTGATAGGTTATCGGTTATCAAATTTTGCAAATATTTTAAAAAATTCCATATCTGTGTAAATATACAATTACTTTCAACATAATTAAAACAACACATTTTATATATCATATATGTATTTTAATTTTTGGCTTTAAACATTTGTTGAGTGATTTGTTCACCAACCCCGGGATTTCCCATTTAATCATTCAAAAAAAAAAAAACGCTTTATTTTTATTTTTAAATCAATTTATTTTGTTTTCGTCCATATTGTGCGATTATACATATAGATTATAGAAGATCTAATTTACACTTTAGTTTATTTCAAAAGAAGTTCACTTTGAAAATATCTCACTTTTCCTTGCGGTGACTTTTATAACAAATTTTTTGTGTATCGAAATATATAAGCGTTTTTATTTAAAAACCGGTTGAATGGCGATTATTGGTCCAGACTGCATTTATATTCAGTTCCATATTATAAATTTAATTCATAAATATCAAATAAAAATTAATCTTATCGTAACAATATGTAGAAACAAAACATTTTAAGTGCAATTATTTGAAAAATGAAAGTTTATAAACATAAAAATTTTTATTAAAAATTAAACTTGTTTATTTTTTTTTTTGTTTTGTCAAAAAATAAAAAAGAGACAAAACTTGTTACTTTATATGAAAAAAAAAATTATCAAAAGTTTTATTAATACTTTATTTATTTTGCAAAAATTTTTTCACGTATGTATAATATTAAAACTTGACAATATTGTTACGGTAAGCTTTCGTTAAAAACACAAAGAAAAAGTACAAGGTGAACATATGACGTTATTCTCAATTCTTATAGGTACGTACACACTTGATCGTCACTGTTAAACCAAAAATTACTATTTAATTTTGTACATTTTTTTTATTTTCGTACATTTTAAAGATAAATTATTTTCAATAGAATTGGGACAGACTTTTATTAGACTTTATCAAAGCTAATTAGAATTACATATATACATATGTATGATAGGGTTTGTAAATATACCTATATATAAGCATAGATATAAGAACACAGTAAAAATAACATGTATTAAGTATTATAAATTATTTAGCTAAATAGATCACACGAGCAATTTTTGTCGTTGGAAGCTATGGTTTTCATAATCTATTCAGACATTTATTTAATTATATACATATATGTATAATACTTTTTTAGTAGATTTGTAAATTTTCTATATAATAATATACAAAATAATATAAAGTAAGACATAATATACATACATAAGTACATTCATATATCTATAGAACAGGTCTGTTTGTTTACACAAAATTAAGATAAATTTTTGAAAAAAAAATAAGATATTTGTAAAAATATAAGATTCGTACATACTTGTTCAAAGACAAATAACTTCAAAAGCGCTAATTTTGGATGAACAGAAAAATATATTGAAAAAATATTTTCTTCTAAATTTCTGAATAAGTATTGAATTTAAATAAAATTCTTCGTTTTCTTTATCACAAAATTTATTCCCCATTACAACAAATTTGCAACAAGATTTTTATGTCAATATTCTCATGTTTTTGCCAACATACTTCTTTTGTAATATATTGAATGTATGTATGTACATACTGTATGTTGTGTCAACATATACTTATGGTTTTGCAAACATAAATTTGCGAATATTTTGATAATTTTTCTTGACTGATAACGAACTAGTTACCTACATACATATGTATATGAATAAATTTCTATTTAGCATAAAGAGGGATCTTTTTTCAAGGCATTTAATATTTTTTCTCATAATCCATGTACAAACAAGAATAATTGAATAGTTGATGGATATATAAGCTAAACTTACGTCATCGAATCAAATTTTAACATTTTTATATTACGATTTATAGAAAAAGCGAAAAAATGAAAAGAATTTCACAATTCTATTCCACTGTATTTTATTATTATAAGTTTTAACTTTAAATTTCATAGAAAATTATACGAAACATATTTGATTTTTTATTTTCTTTATTAATATCTAAAATTTTTTTTGTTTATTTTAGATTATATTTCAACTCCTTTTAAAATGGTCTGAAGAGTTCTTTGAAACTGCAAATTATGGGAAATTATCAAGAAAGTTATGGAAATGTGGTTGCAGGGAATCTGTTGTAAAATTGGAAGAAATTTTATCACGACACAAAACAAACAGAGAATCTAAAGAAGATGAAGAGCAATTTAAAGTAGAAACTGAAGAGCAAGATCAAAAACCTAATCAAGAGTTTAGAGAAAGTGAACGTTTATAAATTACAACAGAAAAATATATATTATACATATGTATATATGTATATAAATACTTAATATTTTCGGTATATTAAGAATTTTTGCCTTTTGGAAAGTTAATTAAGTTTTATATCTTTTAAATCAAGTGTGATAGATTAAAACTTCATTAAAATTTAGAAATGCCTTATTTTTTTTTTAAATTAAATTATTTTGCATTAAAGAAAAATATACAATCTGAATAATTATATATGTATATATTTTCTATAGTTATATATTGGGGCTTATTCTGAATATTGAAACACTAAGTGATAGTGATATTTATCGTAAAAGTTTCAAAAATTTTATTACAGACACGAATCATTTGTTTGGAATTAGTTTGCATTTACAATAAAAATACCAGCCTTTTCTTTAATTTTGGGAGTAAATGAAATAAAATTAATTTAGTAGAAAAATTATTAAAATTCGTACCTTACATAATAAGTTATAATTTTTTTAACTGTTTTATGTATAAATATTATTGAAAATTAGATCGACTTGTAAATACATTAATATTCTAATATTGTACAGCTGCTCAAAATAATCAATGGCCATATATTAAGTAACAGAAAATTAAATGCATCACAATCCATAATTAATATACATATTTCTTTTTAATTTCATATATAAATAAGAGTTATTTTGTCTTTTTAAATTTTTAACATAGATTTATTACAGAAGATGTTATACTTTATTAGTTTTTTATAAAATTATATTATTGAGTATATCTTGAAGAAAACCAGACAGAAAAAGATGTAAAATACTTTCCAAATAATTAAAATTTTAATATATCAATTTTGTTTATATATACTTTCAATAATTAAAAAAAATATTTTGTAATGTGATAAATTTCATATTTGACTTGGTAGAATAAAAATGTGAAAAAGTTTTAAAACAATTTATGTTAAAAATTTTTATTCAAATTGCATGTATACAATTTTATATGCTTATACTATTCGTAAAAATATAACAATTTAAGTTTTAAGGTATGAAAATATTATAATTAAATAGTTTAACTAGAATTTTTGGAGAATTTCATGTAAAGTTAAATAAATCAATAAAATGATTAGTTATTAAGGAATTTTAATTATTACACAGTCAAAATTGGATAAGATCTTTGTTTTACATTCAAATAAAAAAGTATTTTGCATTATTTTGTTAAAAAACTTTTAAGTTTGATTTTATAATCATTTGGTTATTTATTTGGGTATTTTAAATAGATTTCTAGTGTATTTCATAAAAAATAATTGTATTTCTTATAATTTTTGTTCATTGCATTAGAATATTTTTTATGATTAGGAATCTCCTTTAATTCGAAAGAGATAATTTTATATTCTCTAACATATATTTCGTGCAAAACGTACGCACTTGATCAAAGCCAATTTACGTTTCACTCTTATTTATCATATATTTTCATTTTGTAAAAATAATATTATACACTTTTTGATATATGAACTTGGGAAGCGTTTAGGTACTTTAACATTGATATTTCTATTAATGGAAAACTTTATAGTCTTATCAAAAAAAATTATAAATATATTTCAATTGAATTTTTTTTTTCAATTGGTTTGATAATTTGTGATAGCTTTTATAATTTTATAAGATTTTTTATTTATAAATTCAAAATTTTTCCTAAAATCTTTCAGTATTTAAAGTATATTTTCCAAAATGAGAGTATTATATTTGTTCTTAATTAGCGTATTTCTGGTTTGTGTTTACGCACAACGAGGAAGAATTGTTGGTGGTGATGACGCTGAAATTGAAAATTATCCATATCAAATTTCTTTGCAATTAAAAGGACAACATTTTTGTGGAGGTTCAATTTATAAACCTAATGTTATTATAACAGCAGCTCATTGTGTTGTTGGACGAGAAGCAAAAGATTTAAACATTAGAGCTGGTTCGAAAAATAGAGAAAGTGGTGGTGTTGTAATTAAAGTTAAAGAAATAATTTCTGCAGAGGAATGGAATGAACAAACAATTGATAATGATATTGCAATAATAGTATTAGCAGAAAATCTTCAGTATTCAAATAAAATTCAACCAATTGAATTAGCAAAAGAAGAACCAAAGGCAGGAAAATTGGCAAAGATTTCAGGATGGGGCTTACTAAAAGAAGGTGGTAGAGAATCACCATTAATATTAAAAGCAATTACAATTGCAATATGGGACAGGAACGATTGCAATATATTAGTTGGAGAACGGTTGACAAAAAATATGATTTGTGCCGGTATTAAAGAAGGTGGTCAAGGACCTTGCCAAATGGATTCTGGTGGACCAGTAGTTGTCGATGGTAAATTGGTTGGAGTTGTCTCATGGGCTATAGGATGTGCTAGACCTAATATGCCATCTGTTTTCGCAAACGTTCCAAGATATATAGGTTGGATTTCGTCAAAGTTATCTTAATAATAAAAATGGTTGTATATAATTTTTTAATAATAAGAAAGTGGTAAAAGAAGGTTGATGTGTTATTTCTTGTTTAAAGACAAAGATTTTTATATTTTGACTTAAATTTTAATCTTGAACCTTTATTCAATTTGAAAATTGTGATGAAAATGTAGAATATCGTAATTATTTTAGGATAATGCTTGTAAATATTTGTGGTTTTGATTTCTCTTCATTTCTGGAAATAACAAGCAGATAAGACGTTCACTTCCTCTTATTAAGTTTGATTTATAGTTCATAAATTAATTTACATCATTCAGTTCCCATAATTGTAACTATAATACCTCGGAAGCAGGTTTACAAAATCCGCTTAGTGTTTACAAAATTATAGTTTTTAAGATGTATTGAATATTTTTGAGTCGAGTATCTGGGACCAGAGAGGGAGCTCGCAAATAATATTAAACGTGGCTTTATTTGCAGAATATTTTATTAAAAAAATATTTCTAATTTGATTGACTTCTTTGGAAATTCTTCGGAGCAGTACTCCTAAATTTGTAAGTCAATCCTCAGGAAATTCAATATGATTATTAATTCCATATTTTTTGAATATTCATAAATTTTTTTCGGGGTGCATATTTAATCGTGATCTTATTGAACACTTTAAAAATATTTAAAGAAATCCCTAATAAAAACTTATAATAATTGAAGTATACAATCATAATTTTATTAATGTACTTATTATGATTCAAATAAAACTTTTCAATTCCTTATCAAGTACTTGATATATTTCGTAATAAAGAGGAGACAATAAGATTTGATAATTTATAGATAGTATGTAATTTGAAAATATAAAAAGAATATGCAACCGTTATTTCTTTCAGTATTTCAACAACAGCTTTCAAAATGAAATCAATTATTCTAATATTAACCACAATATTTTTTATTTGCGGCGGAGCCCATCGCGGTAGAATTATCGGCGGAGAAAATGCTGCAATCGAAGATTACCCATATCAAGTTTCAATTCAATATAATGATGGTTTTCATTTTTGTGGAGGATCTATTTATAAACCTAATGTTATTATAACGGCGGCTCATTGCGTTTTTGGATTAGAAGCTGAAAAAATACATATTCGAGCTGGTTCTAACAACAGAAATAGTGGAGGAGTAATTGTTACTGTCAAAGAAATTATACCATCAGAGAATTGGAATTCACAAACTATTGATAATGACATTGCTATTCTTATTTTAACTGAAAATCTTCAGTATTCAGATAAGATTCAACCAATCGAAATAGCTAAGCAAGAACCGCAACCAGGAAAATTAGCTTATAGCGTTGGGTGGGGTTTAACTGAAGAAAATGGTAAAGAATCACCTGTAATATTACAAGCAATTTCAATTCCAATATGGGAAAGAAACGACTGTAATAAATTAGTAAAAGCGAGATTGACAGAAAATATGATGTGTGCTGGTGTCAAACAAGCTGGAAAAAGTTCATGTCGCATGGATTCAGGTGGTGGTTTGGCAGTTGATGGTAAATTAGTAGGTGTAGTTTCCTGGGGTGAAGGTTGTGGAAAATATAATTCACCATCAGTTTTTGCCAATGTTCCGAAATATATCAGTTGGATTCAATCAAAATTAAATTAAAATTGTGATATTTTAATTCCAGTTTTAACAATCAAAAATACATTTTAAATATTTAAGAAAACTTTTTTATTCTTTTATAAGATAACGAAATAAAGGTAAGTTTTGCTTACTTGACAATTTGACCCATACTTCGAATTAATTTTCTTTGGAAATTTCCTTTATCCAACCAATAAAATTTTTAACATTTGTATAAACTCCTGGCGAATTTGGTTTACCGCAACTTCTGCCCCACGAAATGATTCCATAAAGTTTATTATTCATTACAAGTGGACCACCAGAATCCATTCGACAAGAGTCTTTACTACCATCAATTTGACCAGCGCAAAACATATTTTTTGTTAATTTCCCTTCTAATAAAATGTTACATTCCTTCCAATCGAAAATTGGTACATCTACTGCTTGCAAGTTGTCAGGTAATTCTGGGTCAATTTCTTCCGTAACATTTTCATCATCTGTTACGCCCCATCCACTTATATATGCAATATCACCATTTTTCAAATTGTCTGTTGCTAGTTCAATTGGTTTAATATTATTAGATATTGGTAAATTCTTTTGAAGTATCAAAAGAGCGATATCACCATCAATTGTTTTTTCATTCCAAAGATTAGAAACAATTATCTTCTCAACATTAATAGTGATACCACCGCCTTTTCTTGAACTTGATCCAGCACGAATAATAATCTCTGAGGGTGGAATACCATCAACGCAATGTGCTGCAGTTATTATTGTATTTGCTTTATAAATTGAACCACCACAAAAATGTCCAAATCCAGGATTTGCTATTGAAACTTGATAAGGATAATCTGCAATATTGGCATCGTAGCCACCTATAATACGCCCCTTAAAAGAATTAATAGCATGCTTTGCTGAAATTGCGGGAATTAAAATAATAGATACTAATTGAATTAACATGTTTGATTTTTTAAATATAACTGAAATAAAAGTATTCCAGGCACAACTCTTTTATACATATACACTAGTTGGTCAATGAAAGTTTACTTCAATTTGAAAAGACACTTTATCAATAATAGAAAATTTATGGTAATGTTCGAATTCAATTGTACGTAATTAACTTAGGGAAGAGTGTTATTCTAATTTCATGTTCACTAAACTATGAAAATTCACCATAAATTTAAATTGAGTAAAAATATGTGAAATATATGTACATATGTATATACCTCGTGCATGGTATATTAAAAGTTTTCAACTCATATAAATAAATTCTAACTTTTCGAATTATCACTAATTTAATTATATATTGTGATATATAATTAAATTACATACACCTTATATGTATAAACATAGTGTTTATAATTTATACATATACAGTTATGCAAATTTACCATTGCATACAATTATCTAACGATAAACTTACATACAATTCGAGGAATTTTAAAAAAGTTAGACAATTTTAATCTAATAAAGTTATAATTTAACGGTTCAAAATTAATGTTATCATGGATTCATAAATTTTACATAAATTTCAATCAAACAGAACAGAATCAGAACAAGCCAAACAGAATAGAGGCCAAAACTAGCATATTCTAGACAGTTTGATGAAAACTGGTGCCTAATGTTTTTTTTTAGTTAAGGATGTGCAATTATTAATGAAATCAATCAAACTTAAATAACAATAAAGTTTGGTCAAACAAATGGTTCGTAATGTAGCACTTTTCCCTTCAACAAGTGAAAATACTGCTTTTAAAAAAAATCCAGGGATGTACTACTAACTGCATTATTAAAATTACCTTCATTCATATACGAATATATTTCAAAATTTGCATACATTTAGGATTAGCAATTTATGCGCTATTTGAAATAAAGCAAAAAAAAAATTAAAGAGGTGTCATTTAACATAATGCTCGATTTTGAATGGTAATTACATGAGTTAAGAAAAATAATTATATTTTTTATGGTATGAAATTCATTGTTAGCTCTCTGCTTTTATAGAAATTTGAAAAAGCTCGCAGCTGCAGAAATATCAGGTGTCAAAAATTCAAATTTTACAAAATTCGTGAAGGCGATAACTTGAGAGGGGGTGGTGATGAATAAAAATTTTCTTCTAACGATATACTTTTTATAAATATCTAAGAGCTACCAAAATTTCAGACTACTACAACCCGAGGTTTAAAAGAAAAACGATATCAAAAATTAGCAAAAAACGGATTTTTGACAACGGTAAATGTTAACTTCCATTTTGTTTTATGTAAAGTTAAAACATGGTATGTTGCGATGGAAGAAGTCAACCACCACTTTTCTGCGCTTGCAGAATTTAAAAAATGTTTCTGTTTTTGCTATAATAATTACTTAAAAATGGCATTTTTACGATTTGGAGGGGTTATAACTTTTAGATGAGGGAAGGTAGATAAAAATTTTCTTCTACGGAAATAAGTTTCTGGTAAAGATCTATGTACATATGGAATTTCAGCTTTCTATATTCAAGGATATAGAAGTTTTGTAAACAGACACACAGATAGACCGTCCGTCTATAAGTACTTTTTTTCACAATTTTTTTGAAAAAATTGTTTGCATGTTTGCATGTATATTATTCATATATGTACGTATATTATTTAAAACGAATGTAAATATCAAATGACTAGAATGAAACAGAATGAATAAAATAAAAATACTGGAAAAGTAAAAAAATCAGTTAAATCTTTCATAGTATTTGTTTATGTGTACCGATCTGCAAAATGAAAGTGAAAAAATTCTACTTAATAAAAAGGGTGACATCTATGAGCAATATGAGCAATTAAACTTTTAAGAAAATTTTGTATGTATAAATTACACATGCTATAAGAATTTTTAACTCTTATTTTTATAATATCTTGAAATTTAAAATTTTTTGATTTTCAATTGAAGCAAATTTGACTTGTATACAAAAAAATTTTTATTATAAAATTAAAATAACTCGTTTATATTTAATTTAAAATATAAATTTAATAATTTGATTAATGTTAGTTTTTCTGTGACTGTAAGTGAAAATTTCTATGTACTATATGCACATATTTGGAAAATAAAACATGGAAGCAGCTCTTAATCTAAAAATTTAAAAATTATTTAATTTTTGTAAATTTTGATTATGCTAAGATCAGAGAATTGTATGTAGATTATATTTAAAAGTTAAAAAATGAAGTAACAAATAAGTAGTTGCAGCGGCTGCTTTTAAATAAATATTGCAGCATTGCTTAAATTTATTTTAGAAAATTAAAAATTTCTGTTTAATTTCGACGCCAGAAATATTTTTTAAGAAATGAGATATCATACCTTTTGGAAACTTCTACAATCTAGTCGTCACTTTATATTAATTTTTTACATTATTTGTAAAAGAGTTTTGAGTTTGGTATACATACATATTTAATTTTACTTTAGATCACTTGAAATAAATGGCTTAGATCTATACCCTGTCCTACGTGCATCTACGTTTACATTAAATGTAGGAAAATCAACTACAACAAAAAAAGAAGAAAAGAAAATCAAAATTAACAATAAATATTTTTTAATTTAAGTATAGAGAGAAAAATTACCTTTAACAATTTTCAGTAGAAATAGAGTAGAGACTAAAACTAAAGAGACAATTTTAAACAAAAAAAAAGGAAGAAAAAACATACGAGTATACTCAGTAAAGATTAAAAGAAAAAATTTATTTCGTACAATCGTACCTATTATATTGTGAAAGAAAATAATTTTTAATCAGTTGCGCCTGGCTGCTAGACCAATATTGACGTTATTAACGATTAAAAGAATTTATCGGATCATATTATAAATTTGAGTTTTATGGATATCAATACATAAGTATACACATACTTGCAAATACATATACGTATATGTATATAATTTTTTTTTATATTTTAATTATCATTTTGATTTTTATATTTTTATGCTTTAAATTTCTATTTATAATTAGCTGTTTCTTTTTATTTTAATAGCGTTATTTTTTAATATTTTTGAAAGAATTGAAAAGCTTATTGTGCAGAACAAAAAAATTTGTGAAAAAAATTTATAATATGTTTTTTTATTCTGAATTTACAGAAAAAAAATTAAATATATTAAATAAAATATTTAATATGTAATAAAGTTTTATTTAAAGTAATAAAAAAAAGAGTAAATTAAGAAAGTATTGGGCGAATGTTGAAATTATTTTTTAATTAAAAGAAATGTGGTGAATAAAATATCAAAAAAAAAGAAAAATTGTGAAAATTTTTTTGAAAGTGTTGATTTATCTGTGTTTGTATATATGTTTATGTAAAATATTTGATATATTGATTTAATGTTCATGTTTAACCAATAGTATAATAAAAAAAAAAGCAAAAAGCCTCCTGTATTTTGAAGTTTAAGATATGTAAAAATTTTCAAATCATAATTGAAATCGAAAAGTAAAAAAAATTAATTAGCTATGTTGAAAAATTTGTTTGCATTTATTTTATTGTGATTATTATTTACATATGTCCATATTTAATGAATGCAGTATTGCTTTTACAAAGGTAAGAAAATTCACCTCGATCTCTTATTATTCTTTTCATATTATTTAAATATTTACTGTTTGTTTACTCACATTCACATACATTATTTAATACAGTTAAAATTTGATTCTATGTATACGTATATGTATACACATATGTACATGAATATAATTTCAATACAGTATTTAGACTTTATTTTGGTGAAAAATTTTATTTTACTGGTATATTAAAAATAATGTTTATTATGACTACTTTTTTATTTTTATTTATTTTTTATTAATAAATATAATTTTATCTTTGAAAAATTTTCATCTATCGTCAGTCAAAAATTTAATTGCTGCCATATCGTTTTTTATTATTATTTATGTTAGGGTCGAGATTGTACTCTTTGAAACAAATTTAATTTTTGATTAGAAGTTTTTTCATATAATCGAAAAATATTGGTTCGATATTTAAATATTGCTAAAAGAAAGAATATAAAAAATGCAAAATACTCGTACATAAATAATAATTCTTCTTCTTTTGGAATAACACAAGTTTGGTAACTATATTACTCTTAGTGTTGACACAAAGTTAAAATTTGCAGCTTATTGCAATATTTAAACACCTTAATTTTTGACAAATATACGTAAAATTATATACCGGCATTCAGTATCAGTATCTCGCTATTTCAGCATACTATATCAATGCAGAATTTCGTTGAAAAACAGAGAAAAGTAGGGTGTTTTTGTACTTTTGCACAGTAGGCCACTGGTATTAGTATAAAGTTATAATATGTTTACAAAAGTAGATGTATTTGTACGATATTGTGCTTCAAAATATATACGAGTACTATCATCAAAAGCACAATAAAATTTACTTAAAATTCATTTTTTTCTCATAACAATGAAATACGTTTTATATTTCTTAAGTCTTAATTCTAAATGCTTAATGCACAATTTATTCTTGTAATAGTTAGCTTTAAAACTTAAATTATAATTTAATTACTAATTAGATTATTATAAAATTTAAATAAAAATTATGAAAATTTATTTCATAATTCTGTGAATATATATTTCAGAATATAATAATCACGGGTTTATTAGAAAGTTTACTTAACAGTGTAGTTGTTGTTAAACATAGAGTTCGCAGTACAGAATTGCGGCGGGATATTATAGTGACAATAATTTGATAGTGTATACGTAAAACAGTTAAGTTATAAAGTGAAAAATTAACAAGAAGAGTCATTGCCGGTTGAAATAAAATTAATGTTTTGTTTCTGTTTTTAACAAATAAATTTAATGGGGTCGTGCGGACTCGTCGTGTTCTATGATGGCAAAACTTGCTTCTATTAAATATATATGTATACATATTATCAATGTATGTTAATTTCTGTTAATATATATTTATTAGTATGATCTTCTATAAATTCTTTTTATCCATTATGTTTTAAACTTTTGTATTTTCATT